GAGGAGAAGTGGTTGAAAGAGACAGAGAGAGGGGGGAAACACACGCGCATTAATCAACTTTTCCATACCTCTTCCCCCTCCAAAGCAATATCACCGGGTGCATCTGTGCATCTTAACTTTTCCCCTTCTATTCTGTCCCGTCCTCACCTGCCACTCAACTCTGACATTGTTCTTTTGCGCTGTGCCTATATCATCCAGGGTCATGTCATGATAGATGGATGTATCTTCTTGTCTGGCTCTCGCGGAATAGAGTGTGGCTTGCGGGGGACCCAACCAAGCCTTAATAAGCTTCTGGTGGAATCTGAAATTGCTAGATCTCGACGAGAACAGAGGCAAGAGACGCCATCAGTTGTCTGGAGTATGGCAGTAGCAGCACTGCTTTTACCAGGACTCGTCGCCATTAGGAATTCTGGACGTTGATGCGGCAGATGCGCTGGTCACGTGAAAGGAGGCTATTCTGCTTTCCGTCTCGGTCCTCTTGTTCGATTCTCCATCAATCAGCCTCGTCTTTCCTGGATGTCCGTCTTCTGTGCTCAAAACTTCCAATTGCATGTGGAATTGCGCTTATCAAGGGATGAGGAAATTCAGCAGGCTACAGTCAACGGCTAGTGCCTTCATAGCACAGTTGTGGCATATGCTGAACGACAGCGCATTCTCGGTTACCACGAAGCTTTCCAGAACGTCTTTCCTCGGTGCCTCCTAGAGCTAAAGGCCCTCTAACATCCCATGATTTACCGAAAGGTTATTCTTAACTAAGACGCGCACTAAACCCTCGAATATATCGCTCCTACTAATGGGTAACTTACACGATAAGCAGGATCCCGGGCAGTCGCAGATACGTTAACTTATAAGGGAGTCTCCCGGTCTTCTTGTTTAACGCACTACTTAGAATGCCCAGGATGTCGAATAGCATGCTTTGGGACCATCTGGGTGGTGATACTGGTCTTAACTGGCCAGCCCCATCCGCGAACACGGAACAAGCTCACTAGTTCATTCTGCTTATTTATCTGGAACCCCTAAGCCCCTACCTTTGCCTGATCGATGAGATATGATCACGAATTCACAGTGCACGACTCGGGATATAAGAGTCTGCTGCTCTATCAGCGTACTGTAACAGCTCCTATGTTGACTAATGGGAAGCTCTGCAGCCTAGCCTATAACTCATGGTAACGACATCTTCGAGAGACGCTTGCCTTTTAGAGACTTCGATGTGTCTCTACCGAGAAGAACACGAGCCGGTGTTTTCAATGACCGGATGCGACGCGTCACCGGGGGTTTTCGAAGTGCCGTCATCATCCAAGGTTTTGAAAGGGACTTCTCTCGCTCAGCGTTTCGTGGTGGTTTTCACCACCCGTGCGCTTTCGGCTTTTCCGGCTTGGCGTCTGACTTGCACCAAAGGCCTCAAATCTGTGGCAGTTGCATTCGTTATAGAATGAGTGTCCCTGAACATTGCCTATTCAGGTAGAGCTACTGGTGGACCTCGCGTCGTAATGCCCAGGGACTTCACACCACGAGTGTCGGGGCACCTTTTCTTTTGTCAAACAAGACCAGTGCTCGAGGACAAGCCAGGTTGAAGGGCTTGGAATGAACGTGGACTTAAACCAACGTAGAAGATGTCAGGAACTCCCACTCACCCTCACTGGCTGGCCATACTGTGTCTTTCATCGTATATTCTCGTCTGACTCAAGTCCTTCTTTGGCTTCAATCTCATATGTCCTTCTGGTAAGATGAGGATCATCTCTCTTGCTGTCACGGCAGCCTTGCTTGGCTTGACCGGCGCCTCGAACTCTTCTTCCACACTGGGCCTCCTGAAAGCCAATGGTGGCAAATAGTCTCAATTTCCTGTCTCATGCTGCACGGATACGACTAGTAACATCCAAGAAGTGGCTCTGGGTGACAGGGAGGCTGTATATGAGAAGGCATCTGCCTTCGTTGCAGGACTGACTACTGATCAGAAGCTGGCTTTGATCACTGGTAGCAGTGTTAGTTCGTCCAATGGTAACTTTAGTGTTCCGGAGTTTCTTGATGGAGATATGAGTCTCCAAGATTATTTCTATGTCTCTGCTTTCAGCTTGTCCTCCGCTCTAGCTATGACCTGGGACCGCGACGCCATCTATGCTCAAGCCAAAAAGCTGTCGGGTCGGAGTGTCTACAGCAAAGGTATTCAGGTGGTCGCTGGGCCAATAGGTCGTACCCCTTGGGGTGGCCTCCAACGCTGCTATGAATGTCCAAGGTTCCGGGCCAACCTACCAAGGCCATTTGGCAACCGGTACCGGCTCTAGACAAGCATCTGTTCCCTATGTGATTACTCCTTACGTTGCCTGATTCAAGAGGGCACGGATAGTACCGCCGTGTCACCGTCCTATGCCAAACTATGCCACCAACTCGGACCTCTGCCTCGTTTTCATCATTGCGCTGTCTGGTGAAGGGGCGGACCGCACCGAAGCTGTACAATCAGGATCAAGACACCATGGTGAACACGGTTGCAGACAATTCCAACAATACCGTGGTTATCATCAACACCATTGGCTCCCGCCTGCTGGACCAGTGGATCGAGCACGACAACGTGACAGCTGTTCTCTACGGATCTATTCTGGGCCAGGAGTCTGGCAACGCAATTGTGGATATCCTCTATGGTGATGTCAACCCTTCGGGTCGTCTGATCCACACTATTGCCAAGAACGAGAGTGATTACAATGTCGGGCTTTGCTACACTGCTCAATGCAACTTCACTGAGGGTAGGCCATAATCCATATATGAGTCGCGGCGCTATTCACAGTTGCACCCCTAATGCATGTACAGGAGTTTACATTGACTACCGCTACTTCGATGCAAAGAATCTTACCCCCCGATACCCTTTCGGTCACGGTCTTTCATACACCTCTTTCAAGACTAAAGCCCCCAATGGTAACTGTACCGTCGGTGGAACCAGTGGTCCATGGGACGTTGTAGGAACTGTCTCTGCCCGCATCACCAACAATGGCACGCATACGGGTGTGGGAGGTTTCCCCGCTGTACCTTGGGTTCCCCAATGCAGCGGATCAGCCTGTTCGTCAGCTTCGTGGGTTCGAGCGTGTTGAGCTCCGTGCCGGACAGGAAGCCATCGTGACGTTCAGCCTGCGTGGCCCGTGACATTTCGTATTGGGATGTGACTGCCCAGGAATGGCTTGTTGCTCCTGGGACGTACCAGGTCCATGTCGGTGCAAGCTCTCGTGATCTGAGGCTGGACGGCACCTTTGCTCTGAGAGTGAAGTCTTAGAAAACTTGCCCATGGGAACTGACATAGCATCTAATCTTTCCAAAGAACTTTTCTTGAGAAGGCGGCTCTGAGAGAACTGCTATGGCTCATTGCTATTTTTCAGACAATTCACCTCATAACTGTGATGTTGTTTATTCTCATTCACCTACCATAGATTCTTGGCCCACTTTGATTACATAGGTAATTAAGAACTTGAGACAGTGTATCTTCGAGTTCAATATTGTGAATACGCAGCATGATTTCTATTCAATAGTCCACCTGACTACTGTCTCATTATCTCTCATTCACAGAAAACAAGCTTGAATGAATTCTGTCCACTGATTTCACAGTCACACTCTTCCCTGATCATCCCATCTTCCCGCTTTCTTCCTCCAGACTTGCCTTCTTCCATTTGTTCTTCCTCTATCTACCATCATCTCTTCTCTCTGCCACATCTATGACTCTAGACAACATCATGGAGCCTCGATCATATTCTTCTGATTGATATAGCAACCAAACTGAAGACCTCATCAGTGCCAGAGAATGTCACCGCCCTATTGGGCTTTCTGATTCCTGAATAAACCCATAAACAAGGCTCTCAGGCTCCCAATAGCCATATTCTTCGCAGGAAGAAGCCAATCTGCACCGCAGGGATAGTACTAAAAAAGCGCTTTTTTATTGGGTGCAGAATCGAGAAGCCAGATGCCAAGTTCACTCGTCTTTCCGGCTGTATGCCGCTGGCTTAGTAGAACCAAAGCTGACAAGCAATGCGCTGCGTTTCTCCCCAATGAGAAACCAATCTCAGATACTGCCTCTTGTTAGTGCATCCCGATGAAGTTGTTGAGCCGTTGCGTCGCTGGCAGGCTCGAGTCAAGGGGCGGGCTTAAGCTTTGGCAGCTTCTTTTCTACTCTGCCCTGCCAGACGTTAAGAAACCTACCCAGACGACTTAGTTTTGTGACGAGTTCTTCAGGACCGTTTGACTACGAGGAGATGGGCCATAGTTGGTAGAGAATGGGGAATTCAATCAATGCAATTGCCCGAGTCTAGAAGCCCTCGACCGATCCCCGGTTGCAGTTTCTACTGCGAATGGGCTCCGATATGCCCCGCATAGCAGCCTCTTTTTAGGGCTCGTTGACTTACTATTGCGTCCATCTTATGTTGATGTTTGAAGATCATATCCTACAGAGTAGGTACCGGATGGACCGAGATTTGTGGTCCAGGCTTTCGCAAAAAGCTCTTACCCCCTAGCGGCACATAAATATGTTCTCTGCGGCGATACGAGATCCGACTCTGGAGTCAGCCCTCCGAATTATGTCCTATCGCATCATGTAGAGGCAAAATAAAACAAAAAAGGCACATATTCGAGCAAAAGACACCACCTCTTCTTGAACGGCTACTCGGGGCGGTATATCAGTCCAACTTGAAGTCGTTCGTTCGCCTACAGTTGGCATCATGAGCGGGAACATCTTCAGCAATGTTCAGCTATACTCCAAGTCAGGACATGGTACAATCACGGCTTTCTGGGATATTAAATAGTATTTCCACCCCTCTCCCTACCTTATCGAGGTCAACTATCATCGTTGCCAGCTTATTGGCGTCAAATGAACGTCCCTCCCTGGTATATTTCCCCACGACGTTTCCCCCCCTCTCTCTTAGTAGCATAGCATCATCTTCCTTACACTTAGTTCAGTCAGGAGAATCTACAACTCTTCATCTTTCCGCAAGGCCTGTATGGGCTGCCTTATTCTTCTTAGATAAAGGGTGTTTTGATTGACCTCAACACTGACGTTCTGCTGCATGGCTTTCCGCTCGCTCGTCCCCCTCAATAGTTGTTGCAAGAGAGAGAAGTCACAGCTCCCACAACTGCTTCACGTCTGCAAGGGCTCAGAATGGTTTGATGAATGGTGCAACTGATCTTGACATACTATCGCGGGAGTACTAGTACCAGACTTTATATCGAGTTCAATGCACTGCACAAGACATCGTGTATCTTTCCCCTCATCTTCCCGTGGCTGGCTTCTTGAGGATTCAATTCCACTCTGCACATGCATCATACTGGCTTTGAATACTGGCGTAGCCATCGAGCTAGTACACTGGATACTTGCAGCAAACGATAAAGAGAGCGGTACAACAACTTGCATTCCATCCATAGTGGGGAACGGCACATGATCCAATTCTTGTATCTCATGCCATCATCCCAATACATAGTAGTCTAGTCGCTCCCAATCCTCACACACCTCACCAATCTAAGCCTCAAAATTAAGTATCATCCTGCTCACTAAACCCCATCAGTGTGATAAAAACTCATCCCCCCCTCGTAACTCAGGGAACCCCTCTCCCCTTTCGTACAGCCCTCGCCAATTCACTCTGCGCCTTATCCTCCGCATACCTTTGATAAATCGGCAAATAATACTCACGCTCACTCAGCGTCTGCCTCACACTCCTCCGTCCCTCCACAGCCGCCACCCACCTCCTCCACCGATCCCAGACGGCCTCATCCGCCCCTCCCTGGCCCGGTGCCGGAATCCCCAGCCCCGCCTTGAATTCATCAAACACCCACAACCGGATCGCCCACGGCGCGAGCACCACATCCACGAGTCCGAAGTCCTGCCCGGAGAAATACGGGCCCTGCGGATGCAGCTCGCGCGCGAACTCCTTCAGTGTGTTGAGAAACTCCTCGCGCAGGGTCTGGAGCTCCCCACCCCGCGCCGTGTCTCCCGCCGCGGAGTCGGAGCTAGAGGGCTGGTGCTGCAAGAACCGGTGGAAGGCGGGGATGATCCTCGACGTGACGTAGTCAATCCAGATGCGGGCGCGAGCACGTAGGTACGGGTCCGTGGGAAGCAGGGCGGGGCCGTGTGTCGGGTAGGCTTCTTCAAGGTATTCGAGGATGACGGTGGATTCGTAGAGGGGTCGTGCGGAGGAGGAGGAGGAGGCGTCCGGGCTGGGACTGGTGATGGTCGGGACGAGGCCGCGCGGGTTGAGGGCCAGGAAGGAGGGTTGTTTGTGGTAGGGGTTCACTTCGATGTACTGGTAGGGAATTTGTTTCTCCTCGAGGGCGAGCCAGACACGTTGCACTTGGTAGGGAGGAGTTAGTTAATTGGTTCTGATTGTTGTTGACTAGTAGACAGGGAATTGAATGGGGGGTCAGTGAAGTAGTACCGAAGCTGGGCGGTGTCAGTATGACCTTCAGTTGAAGGTTAATATGATTGTTTGGAGTTACTCACGGACAGAACCAGCCGGCGTAGAATTTCAAGGGTTGCTCGGCTTGATGGTGGGCTACAAGAGCTTTGGCGGGGCCGGTGGCCTCGGGGTGAATATCGGCATCGGGGACAGGCATGATGGGGGTGAGTAGATTCGCAATTGAGAGTGAATTGATAAGCTGGGATGGTTGCTATGGAGTTTGAAGAGAGGTGGCAGTGAAGGCGATGAGGGGATGAGGGGAATATCAATAATGACGGACGATGGTGTCATCAGATGGGATTATTAATCCAGGACTACATCCCATAACTACAATAAGTAGTAGTTGATACTACGAACTACTTTCACCATTCATTTCAATCTGACCAATATCTCATCCATACTTCTTCAGCAATTTCTCCATGATTGACACAGCGCCCGACCGATACCCCGCGCCAAAGATCGCATGATGGTTCAAATGATGGTATCTGTAGCACGTCAGCCCACTCCTTTCAATGTAGTCACTTTTGAGGACGAAACATACAACTCGTACAGCCTCACGCGATCCTCATACTCCTCCACCGGCTCCGTCTTCGGTACCAACTTGTGATATTCCTCGAAGAACTTGGTCCCAAACCCCCCGAACATCCTCATAATCCCCAACTCAAATTCGCTGTGCGCATAACACGCCGAGGGATCATAGACCACATCCCCGACACTCCCCTCATCTTCTTCGGCATCTTGACCCACAGCCTTCCCACCCACGATTCTCCCCCGACCCGCATTCCCACTCCACAGATCCCCGTGCACCACCACCGGCACGATCCCCTCCCCCTTCCCATTCTTATCATACCCCAAATGCCCCTTCCCCAACAGCCTGGGCACAACCGTTTCCGCCGTTCGCTCCACCAACTCCCTCAACCCGCCATCCCGCCCGTTCCTCCGCTCCGAGCTCTCCAAAATCGTCCGTAGCCGCTCGTTCGCGTAGAAATCCGCCCAATCATCCCGAAATCGGTTGGGCTGCTTCGTGTCCCCGCAGAAGGTCGGCACGGGGAACCCGAACCGGCGCCGGCCGGTGTCTGGGTCCGGCGGGGCGGGCGTGGAGTGGAGTTGCGCGAGCCGGTGCGCGAGGGACGAGGCAGAGGACGGGTCACTGGCGCGACGAGAGCCACCGACCCCCAGGTCCAGGTATTCGGTCAGGAGGTAGTAGCGTTTTTGCTTCTTGGGGGCAGCGGATGGGGAGGAGCAAGAGCAGGAGGAGGAGTCGGTGGCATCCTCGTCCAGGGCACCCCACGCTAGTGCTCGTGGACAAAAACTGGGTACGCTCGAGGCGATGGCGTTCAGGGACTCGTATTCCCCACGGAACATCTCGGCGGCGGAGGTTCCATTTGCAGAGGTCTTGACGAAGTAGCGGCGTTCTTCTTCGTGGCCGTCGGGGCCGGGAACGGTAGCGCGGATGGCACCGGTGCTGGTGAAGCCGGAGCCTAGGCCGGAGGTCGATAGGCTGGCTTTGGCGGGGTCGGTGATGGAGAGAACCCGTAAGATCGAGATAGGTACGGGCGCCATGTGAGGAGCTGGATCGCGTTGAGGAAGTGAGTTGGGCGAAGTGTAGAGAGAGAGGGACTGGATGAGGGGAAACAACAGGGCCATAAATTGGGGGATGCAGCAGCCATGACGTCGTTGGAGTTATCTTATCTTATCGCGATAAGATAAAACTGCCATCGAGGTCCAGCCCGCATTACGACGCATCACTTCATCTACTTCGTACTGTGCGTGGTGTGGTACAACAGCCACACCGACAAAGCATCCATCGCCCGAGCACCCAGTGTAGCGCGAGTATAATTTTTACCTATTACCTACAGATCTACATCCTCAGTCAAAGGTCTTTGTACATCAAGTCCCATCCAACGCCGCCGCCCACCCCCAACCGCAGGGTCCCACTTTCCTTCCAAAACATCGCTATGCATGAGTCAAGGAATTCACCATATCCTGCGCCGTCTTGGTTCTCTCGCGCACGTCCAAGTCAGGATCATCCTCCAAACTGGCCAGCCGCTCCAGCACCCCCATCGTCCGCATTCGAATTGCGCGATCCCGACATCCTTCCCGATCACCCGCGTCATCCTGATAAACCAGGTTGATCACCACCCACACGCAATTGATCCGTACATCGCGCGTTTTGTGGTTGAAATACGTCATCATATACTTCAACAGATCATGATGCATCTGAAGCACTTGCCGGTGCCGCGGGAGGCCTGCCGCCAGGTGTATGATCAAGTACGTCACCGACACTATGATTTCCGTCGGCACAGATATCGTCCGCGTGGTGGATACGTCTCGTCTCGGTGGCAAGGGGATAGAGCGTGGTCGTAGCTTGTCGGCCAGCGCATCTAAGAAGAGATCTTGTCCGATCTCCTTGAATAGATGGTCGATCATCTCCGATGCACCAGGCCCACAGACGATGTTGCGCAGAAGATCAAAGGTCTGTTCCTGGACTGCGATATCATCTTGACGAGCCCGCGTCGTCTGGTCCAGATCGCCCTGCAGAGTCAACTTGCGTCGCCGCGTGGCGTCCGGAAGGAACATATCTAGGCTGAATTTGTGCGAGGGCACCGTATCGGCCATTTTCATGTCCTCGTCCCCGCCGCCCTCCACCGGGTTCAACAGGTCCACCTGCTCGCCAGCCGAATTGGCTCGGCTCATACCCGCGCTGGTACTGCTGTCCATCTCGTCATCCATTCCGCGTTTGGCCAAGGCAGTTGTAGGATCCTGAGTGATGATCTGCTTGATCCATTCCGCACCCAATCCTTCTATTATCTTAATCTTGACATCATTGGTGGAATTATACGCCACATGCTTCAGCGCCCATAGCGATTCAATCCGCAGCTTTGTGCTTTGGGAGTGGGCATGTTCACACAAAACAGGAAGAACGTCAGCCGAGATGATGGCCTATATGACATGATTATTAGCACCAGAGCAAGCAGAACAAAAGGATAATTGACTGACTTCTTTCATCGGACTGAAGTCCAGAGCCAGGTTACAGATGACTTGGGTTGCTGCGATCTGAACTTCAATGTCGGGGTGTTTGATCAAGACAAACAACGGAGTCGCGACACCTGCATCAATCAGACTCGTGCGGAGCACACTGACCGACCGGGTGAGCATGCGTGCCGCCCCGCAGGCCGCCAACAGGGTGGGTGTGGGATTGCCATCAGCGGCAGTGTTCTTCGGAGTCGAGGTATCCCTAGGCAAGCCATCCGAGCACGGCTTCATTGAATCAATAATGTACGGCACCGCTCCATTTTCACAGACAGCTTTGCGATATTCATCCTTGAAGGAAACCAGAGCTGCCAAAGCCTTCAGAATGTTCTCTCGATATCGCATTACATGGCAGTGGAGTGGGGAGAATCCCGGAGGACCGAGCTGGCACTCGAGAGAAGTGGCGTCAGGACCCTGAAGGCTCTCTTCGCCGTTCGCATGCCACATGGGGCGAGCAGTGTCCTGGACTGGGTTGTATGTCTCCTTCAGGAGTTGCGATAGCCTCTTGATGGCGCCCCCCTCATAGGCATGCTTCTGCAATTCCTGATCATCAATGACCAGCAACGCCAGGACGAACGGGGCTTCCTCCCGGAGTCGTTCCGTGGATGGAATCAAACCTCCATATTGCACCCCGTCATCGGCGGCCACTTCATAATCCTTGTCCAGCATACGAATTAGAATAGGAATCATCAAGTAACAGAGCATCGAGACGCGATGCCTCTTTGTCAGGCCCAAGCGGAACAGAACTGTGACGAGACGTGCCGCCATCAGTCGGACCATCCCGCTTTCACTACGGACAATATACAGAAGCCATGGCACAACCGCAGTCTCATCGTCCTCGTGGGAAGGTCTCTCGAAGCTTGGTAGATGTGCCGGGACTGAATGGCTGTGTCGGCGATGTGTAGCACTCTGCTGGCCAAGAGGAGGGAAATTGGAGGCGCTGGGGGGAGTCTTGTTTTGCGCCAGCGGCACCGATGGTAGCAAGTACTCCAAGGGACTAGCGCCGGCATGACGGGGTACAGCCGATCCTGACAGGTAGCTTGCACCCCACGGTCCTCGTTTGATATCCCACGGGGCAAATTCAGCCAGCTGCTTTGGGAAAACCGTGACGATGCCCGGTGAGGAGAGAAAATGCTCTGCGCGCCATTTCGAGTGCTCCACGATGACGGTAACTGCGCGGAGGATGGGGGCCAATTTGGCACTAGGGGGTGCTGGGGGTGGCAGGGATCCCAAAGCTCCAGGCTCTTGAACATGCTCCTCGGCACCTGGATAGACAAATCCTTGAGCAACCACGAACGAAGCGACTTTCACCGCCAAGGCATCCAAGACTCCGCACTCAGCCAAGGCCGCCTTATGAAATTCTTCCGTACACAGCTTTCCAATGAGAGAAGCAGCGAGCTCAATGGCAGCCTGATCATGGTAGCTGCCGTAGTTTCGGCCTAAAATTCGAGCAAAGCAGCCGATATACTCGCTGGAGAAGATGAGATCCGCTAACCGAGTATCCTTGAACGCTTGTTGCTCACTCTGTAGCGGTAAACGGTCGGCCACATTATTCAGCGTTCGAAGTATTGGAAGGACGAAGCATGCGGGACATTCGGGGTTGGACAGGATGGATAGGAGGGTCGAAAGGATGCCGCTGGCAAGGATAGGAGACAGAAAAGAGGCGCCGCCTGTGTTGAAGCTATATCAGTCACTGCGCGTACCAGCCTCGGATCGATACAGTACCTTGTGCTAAGCTTCCCATGATGACGATGGCTTGGAGGCAAGTCTCATCTTCCTGGGACTGAAAACAGCGAAGCTTTGCAGCTCCGTTGGCCTCTGGTGTAACATTATCCTTGCCATAGCGGGATGCGAGGATTTTGGCCAGGACGGGGATGATCCCCCACCGTACCCAGGCCTCCTTCCGCTGGTTATGGCCTATCGTCTCATTCTTTAAACTCCGTAAAGCCGCTGCCTGCGCTGGTAAGGAGTCCGCTGTTTGAAGTTGAAGCAGCAGCGGAGGCGCTGAGGCGCCGGTCATGGTCCGAAGTCGCCGCCTCCGCGGGAGGGCCGTTTGATCGATTACGTCGAGGGACAGCGTGAGCGCACTGATTGCGCCGAGTCGGGATGCCAAAGAGTGAGGTACAGGAGTAGGCGAACACTTTTTGTTTTCAATTGATTTGTGATGAAGCCTTTTTCGATGGATAAGAATGCAGCTTTTATGGTCAAATGGTTGAAAGTGATGGATAATTCGCAGTGGATTGAATCGAGAATGAATTGACAACTGGTGGATGTCACTGCGGCAAGAGACCCTCGGTGGTGCTTGAGGAGGGCGTCGTGGGACTGCGACCAGAGAAGCACCACCAACCAAGCAAAAGCAGGACACTAAAAAGAGGTCGTCTAGAGACAGATGGAAGAATAAGGACACAAGCAGCAGAAATTCAACCTAGCTCGACCAGCTCGAATTGTTTGAGCGGTTGATGCAGCTGTCGATGATAGCTGAGCTCGCTGTCCGTTGCCGCTGCCGGCCGCTGACCGCTTTCGGCCGGTGCTATCAGGTGATCTCACCTGACAGCCACTTAGGTGCGCATTGCATTAATGGTTCCAATGACTCAGATTATGCACAAGTGATTGCGGTGATACTGTGCACAGTATAGTCATGTGACTCAGCCCTATCGTTGGGTATCATCGCCCCGGCGCCCACATGTCTTTCTCGCTTCTGGCCGACTGATCAGTTGTCACCAGAAAGCGAGTCTTGTGTAGCATTACAGCCAATGACCAACAGCCGTTGCTGAAATCTGAATTGAGTTTGAGGTCAATTTTCCACGAGGTCTAGGTCGGTCAATTTGGAAGAAGGGGAAAAATGTGTAACCCCAAGACTGAAGAACCTCGGAGTCGGAGAACCCTGGTGAACTGCTCCGTACTCCGTAGTTAGTGTGTGGGTAGACCGCCGCGGCTGGCTCGTATCATGTATGGACAAAAGCAAAGAAAAGGAGCGCATGATCGTCAACTGACAGCTGACTGACCACAGTAGTGGAAAATGGGGGAATGGGGTCTTCCATGGGAGAGAGAGTCTTTTCCTAGTTTCTACTTCCCCAGACTAGGGAGGAGCTTCTCGAATGAACAATGATACTGCAGTGTGTAGGTAGTCACCGCCCGTTTCTTGCTTATGCCTGCCTCTAAGATCCTCACTATCTCCAACTCGTATCGATGGTGGGTTCGTGGTAATACGCTACGGACGGTGGTGCCGATAACCCGCATCACTGGTTTTGATCTTGTCACCGATTGGTTATTTCTGGCTCCTATTGGGTTCCTATTGGAGGCTTGAACCCCCTGACCAGCAAAGAGAAAAAGAATCCCGCTCCATCTGCGGCGATGCAGGTCTCGTAATTACCAGTAATTCCCCTCTCTCTTTGTCGGGTTTCCCTGATCAGCGTCATTGTTTTAAGTTATTTTTCGCTTCTCCTTCTCCTCTTTACTCCTCCTTCTCCTCCTCCTCATCAAAACTCCTTTTCTCCTCTTTTCCCCCTTCTCTGCTTACAAGCCTTACATTCTCTGGTGCGATTTCTAGTTCCTCCACTCTTTTGGTACAAAAGAGTCGAAGTTCTCTCATTCCCCACAGATCACAATGTGTCTGTGCACGCCGCCCTTGCCTCTCGCCGCAGCACAAGGTTTCGCAGCGTCTGCCAGCTTCGTTGCTCCTCGTTCAGTCGTGCACCCACGTGGTGGTCTCGTTGGGCGGAGATGCTAGTTTCATCGCCTTCACCTTCCGCCGCCTTGCGCCCATCTCCCGCCTCCCCTCATACCCACCACCACCACCACCATCCTCCTCCTCCTCCTCCTCCTCCTTCTTTTCTTCCGCCTACTACTAACACTAACAACATTACTCCTCATTCTTCACATTCTCAATCGTCCATCCCTTTTTCTTCCTCCTCTGCGGTCTCGTCTTCCTCTCCTCGTCCGCCGGCTCGTCACTCCTCCTCGATCACGGCGCCCTTTGCTTCACATGACCAGCATGAGCCCTCCGGGCCTGTTCCTGCCGCCTCATCCAGTCATCGGTTTGATCTCCATTCCTCCCGCGCCGCTATCGAAGAGCTGCGGTCGGCTTTAAAGCGGCACACCGTTGGTCATTTCCCTTCGGGGCCCTCAGGGGATCTGCCTCGCGGTCGGATGTCCGCCGGGCTGACCTCCTCTGGGGGCGGAAGTAGCATCACGTCTGACGCAGCCATTCCCGCCTCCCATCATCCCTCCCACCCTCACTCCCACTCTGCTGCTCCTTCGCAATCGTCTGTTCCTGCAGCCACCGCTGCAGCTGCCGCATCCGCTTCTTCCGCCCCTGCTCCTGCATCTGTCTCCCACCCAACCGCTACGCCTCCCATGCCAGCCCCCAGCAGCGCTGGGTCAGGGTCCAACAAGCGCAATAGCCCGAACGGCCCGGCCGGCGATGGAACGCGGCCCGGCGTCCTGGGTCATGCGGACCTTGAAGGCACTCAACCTAAACGGTTGCGCCCAGAAAAGCCTATGGTCAAGTTGCTTCCGGCTCGCTACGAGCTGGCTGATGCTCGGGATTTAGTGGTGTTGATCTCCAGCATGCTGATGGAGCTGATCCGATTCAACGACAAAATCCCTCTGCATCAAGGCCGGCTCACCCGCTTTCACTCTCGAACGCCACCCCGGATCTCCGTCCACGACTACTTGCAACGACTGACGACCCACGCCACCCTCTCACCCCCGATTTTGCTTAGCATGGTGTACTACATCGATCGACTTTGTGCGATGTACCCTTCATTCACCGTATCCAGCCTAACAATTCATCGGTTCCTGATTACCAGCGCCACGGTAGCCAGCAAGGGGCTGAGCGATAGTTTTTGGACCAACAAGACCTACGCACGGGTGGGGGGCATCAGTATGACCGAGTTGGCACTGCTGGAGCTGGAGTTTCTTTTCCGTGTTGAATGGCGCATTGTTCCTGAACCGGAAGTGCTCGTGGACTATTACCAGAGCCTGGCAGAGCGGTGCGATGGTTATGCGATTCAACGCGATAGTTGATCTCTGTTCCATGTGTTGGGTATCGTTACTTTTCGATCGCATCACTTTCATTTGAATTGCCTTGTATCCGAGGTTTGGAGCGCACCTCGCATTGGGGTCTATCCGCGGACGGTTCATCGGTGTCTGTACCAGTACATACATACACATACACGGGGCTTGGAGTTGACATTGTTTCTTTTTTTTCTTTTTTTTTTTTTGCATGGATACGACGGCGATTAAGTAATTTATATTCATACGGCTTTGTTTTTGTTGCTGCGATTATCGTCTTTCGTCTTGCGGTCTAGTTCTTGTACAGCCCACATTTCCTTCAATTTGCTTTCCAATTCTTCCTCTACAAGTGTGTCTACAGTAAATAGTTATTCCTCCGTCTAGCTAGTGTATCCATGCCGGAGATGTACTCCGGACGAGAGAACTATAGGAGACATGAATTATAGTTACATGACGTCGATGATTCTGCCGAAGTATAGCACTAGACTATACGGGTAGTGGCCAGGGCTTAGGGTCTAGGGCTCAGGGCTGGAAGAGCTCCGTTTCTGGAAAACCAAGTCTGCGCTCCAGAACTGCTGCGGAGAGCGTCGCGAACGGGCTGTTGTTGTCTCGTCCCAAAGCAATGCATAAGTGGTGCTTGCACGTCTATTCTGCTGTCCTATAATTCAGATCTCTTCACAGCTTCCTCGTCTTCTTTGGCGGTTCTGAGATATCTCGTGAAGAGCCGCATCATTCTCAATTCATCATGGAGGCGGAGAACATCCTGCGCGGGATTGCACCTCTTGTCGGCGAGGTGATTCCCATTCGCTCCGTCCAGGAGACTCGCCCAGTTGAAGATTATGGTATCTCCTCAAGTGGCACTGAGATCTGACCTGACGGTCATCCTGTTAACTCTGTCCAGCGGACGCTTACGTCGCCGAAGTCAACGTCAAGACCGCGTCGAAAGTGATCAAGTCAGTTTCCACCTCTTCCACCTTGTTGTTTGCTATACTCTCGCAACAAGAAATGACCATAACTGACCGTCTCCAAATAGAGCCCTCGACTCTGCCTTCCCCCGCAATTCCTCCCATCCCCTAAGCCATCTCCGCCGCTTCGCCAAGCACAATCAAATCCCCGAGTCCCTCCGTCCCACCTTCCTCAAGGCAGGCTACACCCCCTCGCAAACCATCTTCGTCCTCATCCCGTCTCCCCTCCCAGCGCCAGAGGCGCTCCAGACTCTCCTCGCCCCGTTCGTCCCGCCACCCCGCGAACCCGCAGCCCCTCAACTACCCACCGAGCCCTCAATCCCATGCGCCCCAGCAGCACCTACCTCCGCCGAACCTACCACATCCTCGAGCACTACTACCCGCAGCAGCAGCAGCAGCAGCAGCAACATCACCCTCCACACGATAACCGTCCCCATGCAACCCCCGCTCACCCCTCAACAAGCCGACCTCTGGTCCTCCAAGATGTGGCCCGTGGTCTTCAACCCCGCCGCACCCCGCGCCCTGATCGCCCCACCCCCGCAGACACTCGCGCGGGTCCGCGAATCCATCGCCCCGAAAGCCGGCCACTACCTGGCTCTCGCGCAGGTCGTCGCCGCCGAGGCGGAGCGCAGCGGCCTCGGACGCGGCGTGGGCGCCGTGGTCGTCGACCCGGAACTGGAGCCAGAACCGGCACAAGAACCTGCCGCGACACAAGCCGGGCTCGACTGGACCGGAGCGATTGTCGCCGTCGCGGGTGATGGACGCTATTCCCGTGGCGAGGGGGGCAAGCCGGCGCCGGCGCCTACAGCCGGACCGAACCCCAAGTGCGGGACGTACGATGCCGACTGCGAGGGGGGCCCCGAGCTGCATGCGCTGATGCGGGCGGTGGAGTTGATTTCCAGCAAGCGGCGGGAGGACAAGCCGGGCAGTCGGCGGCAGCAGATCCGGCCCGTGCTGTACCAGCTCGAAGAGTATTTCCTGCAAAAGTCCGACGCGCAGCTTGATGCTGCGGAGACAACGACGGAAGGAGTGATGGAAGGCGGTCGAGAGGAGGAGGCGAGCGAGGACGATGTCGCCGCGCCGCCGGACAAGTATCAGAAGACCACCGAGACTGAGGCGCATGCGATTCACCTCCACCATCACAAACAGTCTGGGGAAGGAGAAACAGCGGAGGAAGGGTCACGTGGGGCTGGGCCGCGCATCCGCTCGCGCGCGCAGGGAGGGTATCTCTGCAACGATCTGGATGTGTACCTGTCACATGAGCCGTGCATCTGCTGCTGCATGGGACTGCTGCTCTCGCGCTTCCGGGCGGTGATCTTCCCCCGACGCGGACGGATGGTGTCGGGAGGTCTGGCGTCGGAGCCAGTGGTCAAGCCGGTGCCCGTCGAAGCTGAGGCTGAAGCTGAAGCTGGAGGTGAAGCGCCAGAGGCGACCGGTGAAGCCGGTGAACCTGCCTCGAAGCAGGCCCGCGAGTACTACGGACTACATTGGCGCAAGGAGTTGAACTGGCGGGCGCTGGGGTTCGAGTTTGTCGCGGCCGGTGATGGTCCCAATGATGAGGGCAGCAGTGCTGAGAGCGGCGTCGCTTTCCATGCGTAGAGTGACCGGTCTGACTCAGGAGATGTTAATTTGTATTGGTAGTCGATCATAGAGGCCCCCACTACTATATGTGAGTATCACACTCATGGGTTGGGGACATGGCGAGCAGCGCGCTCTTCAGCTTCAAGCTTTAAGAATGCCAAGTGAGATTTCAAGATACGTCTGGATGTGCATTCCGATAGTTGGCCTTGAGGCCAGTCGCTTGCTTGTCCAATCCGTCTATCCTAAAGGAAGGCATAACCCTGCCGCCATAAGTCCTTGACTGTCAAGAAGTTTTCGACAATGTATTATCAACCCGTGTGCGGAGATCTATATTCAAAACATTGAGAAATCGCAGCATCGAAAATCAACACCTAAATCCTCATCAGTGAGACCATGCGCACCACCAAAGCCGTGGAATCATTCCCAATTAAAGTCTGTTCAAGCAGAAGCAGACAACACGACCACCCCCGCCAATTAAGTAGTAGAAAAAAGCTGTAGGTATGATATATACAGAAGCATTCCCAGTATAGATACAAATGAGTCAAAGACGAAGAAAGGATCCGTGGTATCATGTCGCACAGTCATGGTGAACAGAGTGGTATCATAAGTGTCAAAAACAAAGGGGGGAAAATCAAAACAGAAAGCCGGCCGGAGTTTTGAAAAACAAAAAAAAAAAAAAGAATGGAACGCGAATCTGTACAAGGGTTGGGCGAGGTTACTCTTCCATCAAGGCGTCGTCTCCGGTCTCACGCCACTCTTTGGACCTCTCGGTCAAGCGTCGAACTCCCGCTACGCGCTGCGCCCAGTGGGCTTCAGCCGGTGAGCGGAACGTGAAGCCACGCTGCGAGGAGATCACGCCGATGCCCTGCAGCACCGCCTTGCGAGAGTCGCGGGAGAAGACTGCTGGGTGATTAATCCACTCCAAAGCGGCCTGCAGATCGGCGTCCAAGGCGGATATTGTTTGTGCATCGACTCCCGCCCCAGGCGTGATAGTAGCCGTGTCCGACGATGCTGAGTGACTATCGAAGGAGGAAGATGTCGGGGTTCCACCGCGACTACCAGAATCACTGGTGGCAGCTGGCTTCGCGCCCGGAGGGAGAGGAGGCAGGCTACCTTTACCGAGACCCTTCAAGATACTGCGAGTCTCGCTCAAGAGGTGTTGTGCGCGATCATGCTGTCCGCGCGAAACAAGAGTCAGTGCTCTCGTCAACATGTCGGAAGTCAACAGCTCCATACGTCGCTGGACAATGGACGGAAGAGGTGGGATGGGTGGGCTAGCCGGACGGCCAGGCTTGGCTCTTGGATTGGGCGGGAGCATAGTAATGGCCAGCAGCGAAGGCCGAGGGGAATGCGTGAGATGACCGTCCCTCAGAAGATCACCGTATGTGAGGTCTGCCTGGATTAGTGGGACCTCCTCCACACTTGACACGCGCTGATCATCGGTGTCCGAGCCACCTCCAAGAGCTTCGAGGCCAGATACAAGGCTCTCCCAAGCGTCCTGAGGCACCTGTTCTTGACTCGAATTATCCGGCGGAATGACGAGTTGGACGAGAATGTCACGCTTGTCTCCGAAACGGAGATCCCCGAGGGCGGCCTCTGCGTCGCGTCCGGTGGCACGTTTGGTGGTGTGGAGAGCACCGCTGATTTTGACAAATTTGGCCGGGGACCCCTCAGGCAGACGGAGCTTGAGCTTGACATTCTGATGCGAAGTCGTTTGTAGAGATCCTAAGCAACCAGCCACGCACTCGCGAAGCATCATCCAGTCCTTGACATAAAGATATGAGCCTTTCGTGCGAGTTGACAGCTCGATCATCGTATCCGGTTTGTGGGTCAATCCGAGACCGAAGGAGTGGATGCTAATCCTACAGGTGGTCAGTGCAAGGGCACACACCTCAACAGGGGAAGGTGGATACGAACTTGGCAGCCTCCGCTCGGGAGACGACGAAATCGACGCTTTCGGGGTCGGACGTGGAGGAATCACTGATCAGAAGGATGCTGGAGACAGGATTGGCCGACTTGCGCTGCATCAGCAGGTCCATGGCCACATTGGCTCCTTCAACGACGTCTGCACGGAGACTCTTTTGGCCAACTGGCCGGATAGAGTCTAGGATTTTGCTCCAACCACCCCAACTCTTGGTAGTCATGCCAACTAAAGGCACTCCTCCTCCACTGGAACCAAACGTCACCAGGCCCATACGGTCGCGAGGGCCGAGGTTCTGTACGAGAAATTTGAGGGCATCGCGCAGTAGGGTAATCTTCAACCCTTGCATAGAGGAAGAGACCGGTATCACAACCACCAGATCCAGGGGTATATGAAACGAGGACGGATGTGGGCTGTCCATGCCGGCATTGGTATAATCCGTAATGGCCGTGTTGTTGGAACGGGCCGCTCCGTGGGACGAGTTCAGCGAGGCCTGACGTTTGATCTGAGTGGCTCGGTACTCTTCTTCCTCCGCGCCAGAAGTATCCAGGTCGAAGTCGCCGTTTCGGGACATGCCATCTACTGGATGTAGATCGATGAGGGCCCGTCGCCAGATGTCAAGTTGTTTTCGGGTCGGGAAGCGAAGGTAAAAGCAAGGAAGCTCAGCCACAGACAAGTTCAAGGTCAGGACGAGATCATCTATATATACCGCCACAATTAGTGATCAACTTCACCTACTCTTGGTAAATCAAACTCACCAGGAGAGATCTCCATGCTTTGCAGGTGTTTCTTAATCAGAATCGATCCTTTGAGCGTTGACCTCGTCGCTTTCGGCTTCGCCGACTCCTCTTCCTGAGGGCGATGATGGTTGCTCTTCTTTTCTTTGACACAGATTAGCATCTCCCCAAACAAGTAGCATTCCAGCTCCTGCCAGGATTGCCGGTCTTTTCCCACGCTCATCTGACCATGCAGTCGAAGCTTGCCGAACCTATTGCCACGTTAGCTCAGGCCATCATTCGCCACGTAGCCGGGGAACGAAACTCACCGTTGAAATTCCAGTCCATGCCAATTGTCCACCTTCTTGCGCAACTGCTCCGCAAGCTCATCCAGGTTCTCTTGCGGTTCGAAGGGGATCTGTCGGGGCTCTTGAACCGTGGGGAACCGCATCGCGCTCAATAACTCCTCCTGTGGTTGAGGGGTGGCATTCGCTGTGTGGCGCAAATCGTCGTCACTTGGACGCCAACTACCCTCCGGCACTTCGACGGTAATCAGACAGGTCAACGCCTGCTGCTGACGGGACCTGTTAAGGGTGGGAAATTCGCTGCGTATGGTCACTGTCGGCGCCGGAATTGGGTTCTTCATGACCGGTGGACGAGGGCTGAGGTCGGACTCCATGGCCTGTACATCGTAGTCATGTCGTCTGACGTTGGCCGAATGCTGTGGATCATTGTAGTCCGCGGATGACCCAGCCGCACTGCCGTTCCGTGAGTGCTGCTGGCGAGAGCCTTGAGTAAGATGTTCAACACGATCACGATGGCTCCCCGTGTCCCGGCTATCTCGGCGGATGTACATATCCCGGCTCTCCCGGTTGGTAGTGGGTCGACTTCCAGCATCGCTGGGACGCCGTCCGGAAGCGGGGGCCGGATCCCACGGCGCAGGAGCGGTATAGCCACTCCGTTGCGTTGCTGCGTCACTGGTCACGGTGCGGACGATGTTGCTCAGTTTTTCTATAGGGAATCCATCAGGATATGTCAAGACATTACCTCAAGTGCAATTCCACTTACCAAGATCGAGGACATTGCCTCCCCGGCTGGTGTCCAGTCCCAGCGGCGCATCACATACGGGGCAGTACTGGCCCTCGCACTCACGAATGAACTCATAGAAACAGGCCTCGTGCGAAACATGAGCGCAGGAGAATTGCAAGACTCGCTCTCCCCGTAGAGTATGTTCTAGAGGCTCGTCACACACGGCACAGTCACTGCCCACAAATGTTCTCTCGCGCCGCGTCCGGCTACGATCCACGCCCACGCCCGCCATAGGGTTTGCTGCGCCAGAGGAACCAGAGTTTGAAGTGATATTCGGGTTCGAATATCCGTCCTGACGAGAGTCGTTTGAATGGCCGGTAGCACTGTTTGCGTTGGAAGAAGCACGGGGCCGAGTGGGGTCGGAGTGGCCAGAGTAACCGCTCCCTGGACGATCTGAGCGGTGGGTGAATGAGCGAAAAGGGCGTAATGAACGGGTATTAGAGTCGGAATCGGAGTCTGCAAGCGACAGATAGTTGGTCCCGGTCAGTCACAGAAGCGGAGGGCGTTGACGAGTCGGGGGAATTGGACCTCAGAGGTAGAGACAACAGTAAAGTAGTGATATAGTAGGGTTGCATAGCCCGACCAAGCGGAGGGTCAAGGACAATGAGTGCCTTCTTACTGTCCCCGTGTGCTCTGGAGATGATGACCGTCGTCTGCCAAAGACAGACCGCAGCAACGTCTCGCAAGGTGAGGGGAAGGAGGTAAAAGAGAGAGGCAGTGTGGAGTGAAAGGTTAGGGGAAGAGAGTGGAATAAGACAGCAATGGGTCCAAAGAAGAGACTAGCATAGCACCAGGACCAGAAGCAAAGATAGAGGCAGGAAACAAACAATATAAGATTCACGCAGCCGAAAGTTGACAAGACTCACAACCAACGCTAGTACAAGAGCAGATAAGAGCAGCAAGTATGAAGAAGGGAGAAGGTGAGGTATGGGATAGACTTACGAAGCGGAGACTTCTTTTTGGAGCGACCAAAGAAACCACGCTCAGATCCGTGACGGGCTGGAATGTTGCTGCTGTTCGGACCAGGATTGGAATCCGATCTGGAGGGGGGCCGATGTTTCCACATAGGCCTGTTGAAACAGGAGATTGAGGGGAATAAGACAAGACAAGACAAGACAAGACAAGACAGGAGAAAAGACGAAAATAGAAGATCAAGGAAGAGGGGGATGGCGGAGGTTTGGTTTTTTTGGTATAGCTTTGCCTCTTGGAACCTAGTCAATCAAGTTCAAGTTGAAGTTGGAAGGGGAAAGGGGAGAAGACTGAGAGAGAGACTGAGAGAGACTCCGCGAAAGAGAGAGAGAGAGAGAGAGAGAGACTGAGAGACTGAGAGACTGAGAGAGAGAGGAAGATGGACCAAGTGGGGGGGCGGAAGAAAATGGTGGGGGTAAAAGCAAGTCTGAAGCAAAAAAGGGCCCCCGATGTTGAGACCAAAGCCTGGAAATCTTGCTGAGCCAAAGGTTGGAAACTCCAGGTTCACTGCGGAAAGAATGGAAAAACGTCAAGAATGGGGGGGAAAAAAGAGAGAAGAAGACAAAAGAGGAGGTGCAAGTTGGAGATAATCGTGATGATGTGAATAATGTTACGACGGCGCCATTGATAACCCACTCCCCCAAAGTAGACTGTGTTGCTAGCAGTTGATAAATTTATAATGATTATAATAATTTTCTTCACTTTGACTTGCAATTTTCCTGCAGTCTGTTTCTATTGAATTGAGCATTATTCCTGGCATCATTTGGTCCTCTCGCCCGATTTCTTCGGAGATGCTTCCCACTGGAAAGGCTGCAGGTACTGCAAATGAGCCGTGGTTGCGGCCCCCGGCAAGAAATTCATTCATGGTACGGAGTTCGTACAGTCAATGCTAAATCCAGTTAACAATTATAATTAATGAACAGGGGAAAAAGGAAAAAGGGAAAGGAAAAAAAAAAAAAAAAAGGCCACAAAAAAAAAAAGAAAAGAAAAAGAAAAGAACCCCAACTAGGCTGGAGTGGGGCGAAATGGCAGCCGCGCCATGGATGCTGCAAACTCACTGAGCCCACTTCTGTGGGGCAGATCCAGGGACTTAATACCGTCCTGTTACCGTGTGCCAATTACCTCCACTTGACCTTCAATGGCTTGCCCCTGAATTAGGTAGTATTTGGTGAAAGGGTCGTGGTCCAAAGTGTTGAATAGATTGCCTGGCATGAACCATGAAGACATAATATACTCATGAACAATCCTCATACTGGAGTACAGCACTTTCCTGGAGCCCTCATATGCCAGCACATCCCCCGGGGACCTCGTAGACTAAACTGGTGCCAAACCAACCAAGTGGTGGTCCGACAGGGAGACAGACATCAGTCGATATCGAACCACTAATGATCCATTTGCCCTTGCCGAGGGAGTAGGCACATGCTACAGCGGTTTTTGTCGTCACCTCCGAGTCGAGATATATCCATTTCATCTGTCAGGTCCGAAGCCTCGGAGATTTTTCTCTTCTTCATCATTTAGCCGTCCAGCCACGACAGGGCTTCTAGTCTCTGCAAGTCGCTGCTATCGATAATAGGCATGCAGCTCTAAGTCATCTACTCGGTGCCTTTGGCTGACTGGCTACACAAAAGGAGATCATGACATGCAGAGTACTGACGATGTCTATTGAAGTTTGTTATAATGATCCTCGGACCTCCAGTCGATACTCTTGCACAATGCAGCAACGATTGACCTCAACAATGCGCAGTGGGTTGTCGATCCCTGAGCGTTTTCTGTCAGGTCTGCTGGTGAGGTTGGGTGCTCTCTCTCTCTCCTGAGTTCCTGAGTCGACCTCTAGACGAGTTGACCCATGGGAAAGCATGGCAGTCGAGGGTGGTAAGTACGTAACCCGCCGGTCAACGAGTGGTGGTGGTTTGCTGCATAACAGCGGGATCCCCACCGTGGGAGAACTTCCACCCGCAAGGCTAGACTAAACTAAGCTATGCTTTTTCTACCGCATGCCACTAGACCTACTCGGGTCTTTATCCCCTAGTCTTGCTGCCCCCCTCCCCCTAAAAGTCTCAATGAGTTAACAGAGTCAACATTGGAGAGTCAAAAGGGAAAAATAAAAAAAAAAGGGGACACTGGTAGCCAGCCAATCCTCGAGACGAGATAGCACTCAAACTATCTGCTAAGGAGAATCAGAATAACTAACTAGGTTAACTAAGTTGACTAGGCTGTTTCTCTTTGTCCTACACCCTTTAATTTCACACTCTGCACTTGACGGATGAGTCATCCACCGGAACCCGACTGCTGGGTTCAGTCCAAAAAATCCGACCATGCGGGGAATCCATGGGCAGTAATTTAAATATACTCCGCGGCGTAGTGGAAGGGGTATCCTCCCCCTCCCCACCCAACTATTCCCGACCGGATAGAAAGTGCGGTAGATAAGAGGGGACTTTGGTAGCCAAGCATGTTGTCAATGTCTGCAATGTGGTCAAAGAACCATTTGGCATGAGACATGCAAGAAACAGCCTTCCTAGAGTTCCTGCTAGTGTTGTAAGCACTCAGGGTAAGGTTTAGTTAGTGCATGGACTGGACTCTAATTGTGCTCAGGCTCACTTCAAACGCATACAGACACATAGTCACGACCTCTAGTCCTCCTGCCCTACAGCATCAGGATTCAGCCCCCAGTCAGCCCCCAATCAGCCGAATGAATTCTAAGTAAGCTGCCCATGGAAAGCTGTCCAGCCTACGGCTGATCGGCTCCCTTCCGGCTCTGCTGGATGATCGTCTGATCCGAACCACAGGACGCTTTACTGGTCGGTGGTGGTGGTGGCGGTGGTGCTGCTATGCTATCGGTGCGGTAACCTTGTGGGTACAGTAGAAGAGGGGAAATGCAGTCTACCTCTCCAATCCCTCAACTTGATAGATGCAAACTTAAACAGAGAGATCCCTGTCTACCAAGACCACCCACTTCATGTTATATACACTTTCTCTAGGTATCATTGGCGCTGGTTGACCGCGATGTGGCTGATGAGTTGAGTTCGTGGGCAGGTCACGGTGCCCGACCGGGAGGGAAGCTCATCCTGGCAGGAATACCGTTCGGAACGATCTACGGAGTACATCCAACGGGAGAGTCAAACATGTTTCTACTTTCTCCCGCGTCGCGGTTGGTTGCCATCGGGATCTTGCCGATAAATCACGTTCTATCTTGTCCGTCCAACTCTTTTGCACCATCGTGGTCAACCATGGGTGGTCAGTGGCTGGCAAAGCACGCGTTCTTGGTTGAACAACGGGAAACCCAGCAATAAACGTTTAGCTTCGATGGAAGGTTGGAACGGTGGTCTCAGTCACTTGACGGCATCGTTCTTGCCTCCATCGCATTTCCACAATTTTCCCTTGATCGGTTCAGCGAGGGACCAACAGATGCCGAACATCTATGGAGAACTGTATATGGAGTGTATACAGAATTGATCAGGGATCGTCTAAGCCGTATCTCATCTGGAGCCCCACGATTTCGATCGCTCTGCCCCCGTACCCGGCTTTCAACAGTATGCACAGGCGCCAAAATCCCATCAAATGACTGGTCATGCACGAGCCGGGGGGAAAGTAAAGTAGCCACCACCGCCAGCATTGTCTCCTTTGATCTCCTTCGTCATGGCGTTCGACTGGTCAGACATCTCGCCTTGCCCAGCTCCACGGCCCGACAATCGCGCGAAATTTGAGGGGTGCATGCATTGCACGGCAGAAGGACAAATCCGCTTAAGACATTCACCTGAAGCAGGAGCAGTCACGGACACGCCGGGCAGACAATCTCTACTCCACTTGTCCATATTATACCGAGGCGACCATCTTCGAAAGGAGCCGAACCGGCGCGCTCCCGTTCCCTTGTGACCAACAATCTATAATTACAACCAAGCCAGCCATGTTTCTCAACCAGAATCATGTAAGCGGCTCCTTTCAGCGCCGTTGGCAAAATGGCGCAGAGGGAAGCAAGTATCCTTGTTCTCCGGCAGGGGGGTTGAAACAATCGTGAAACTCGCCAAATCACCACTTTTTGAGAATTAATCTCGACTGTCTGCTACGGCCCCCGGCTAGCACGGCCCTTGGACAATGAAAGGCGATACATTCCGACAAGCCCTGCAATGTATCACGCAACAAGAAAGTCCGAGCCTGCTTGTTAGGTTGTGGTGGCATATGCGACCTGTCATGACCTACCCTCGCAGAAAGGGAAATTGTGACGTGTGGAACTGCCCATCACTATCCGCCCGCTATGACCAAGTGCCTGTCCGGTGTTTGCATGCCATCATACTATACAGTGACAGTAGTCAGATGGGTGCCTGCAGAGAAGCTGAGCCTCGCAGGAATCAGAGGGAGACTGCCTTCGTCGAGATGGACTCTCGGCCAATTCAACCCTTCCCAAAATGGCTGATGGACAGCCAATAATCCACATAGTCTGGGCCTCACGCAAGGTATTCCATCGATCAGTGGGTTGCGACGACGATCGTCCGTAGGTTAGATAAGTCGCCTTGCTGTGGGATTTGGTCATCGGTTTATCATCCGATCTCCACTGTGTGCTTTTGCCAATCTATTGAAGTCGAGATTCTTCAAGGCGCCTCTTCTCCTCTTCATCTTCATGCCTCGGTAATTGTGCGCTTGTCTAGTACGAGAGCTGCCTCAAGTACGGAGTACGCAGGGCTTCGGTCATTGCCCCCTTTTTTTTTCCTTGATAAAGTCCTCATACTATATTTTGGGTTTGTGTTAACTATAACTTACTACGGAGTACTTACCTCTGTAGTACTCAATGCGATCACGAAGTCTTCGCAGCTGATAGGCCAATGGTCAGACTAAACAGATTCTAGTAGTGAAAAGCTCTTCGGAACTCTGGAGGAGGATTGCACTTCTTGGGGTAGAGATCCGTGGTGTAGAAATGAATTATTCGGTGCTATCCCATTAGGATTAGCTGCACTCAATTACTCAAATCAACCTATTCAGTAGTTACTTCGTAGCATCGGATTAATCAATGCTAACTATGTGTGATGTCATCTGCAAACCGTGATCTACGGAGTAAAGTGGCTCACTGAGAATCATTCTCAGATTCTACTCCGAGCCTCGATCTGGATCTAGCATCCAGAATCTACCATGTATATTACAAACTCCAGGCCGACAGGTTGTGACGGTGAAAGTTGCCCCCCTCCCTCCTCCATCCTCCACTTGACTGACTGACTAGCACCGACTAAGTCAAACTCTAACCGGTGCACTGCGACAGTCATTCCCCACCAGATCCATGAAAGTTTTCGGGCTTCAGAACACAACAAATCGCATTCTTCCTCTTTTTCTAGAATTCTCCCTGCGAGTCTGAAACTGCTCGCGATCTACTGAACCTTGAGACAGTAGTCAATGGACTATCGTCGGACATGGTCCAGAAGCGGCAGGTCTCCTACAAGCCCCAGACCCCCGCGACCACGGAACGTGAGAGTCATGTAGATGATTCTACCAGCACAAGTTCGACTCAAGAACACATCCGATCTTCCCGGTCCGCAACACGATGCTCTTCTCCGCTGAAGAGCGAACGGGATTCGTGTCGATTGTCCCGCGTCTTTGTGTCTCTTGTAACAAGATCTACAACTACTTACAAACCGCTTGCGCACCTCACTGACCCAGAACTAGAAAATCCTAACAAGTGTGGGAACGGAAGACCAGCAGGGCTATCCCTGCTCAAAAAATCTACTCAAATGTGCTCCAAAGGCGCTCCAGAAGCTGCGTAAAACAGCTCAAACAGGGCTCCAAGATTACGCCTCTTCGAGGGTGGGTCTCTTATTCCAGTCTGCGGGTGCCCATGCCAAAAGGCCGCTCTGTCACGCACCGTACCACTATCCATACCAATCTTCGGCTTACCCACTTCGCTGCCACGTTTCGAGAGAGAAACAGAAACATCCATCAGGGCTGAATATTAATAACGAACTATGGAGACTTGCGAATGAGCGATGCTTCCCCACGCTACTCTATCTACAATACGAGAAACGAACCCAGCCAAGAGTTGCGCGAGTCAACAGCGGCACGTCAACACACAATAAACAAACAGGGTTGAGTGGCGTGAAAGAATTCTTGACAGCAGTGAACCGCCATCAGGCTGACAGTAATAAAACCTAGATTTCGCGCCTCCCCTCCCCCCCCTTTTTACTTGTATCCCAACCACCAAAGAATTTTCTATGCAAAGGGGGCTGAATACAAATACTTCCCCGTTTGAGGGTCAGCATAAGCCTGCCTGAGAACAGTGTTTAGTGTGCCCTGCGCTTCCAATTTAGGGACTGCTCCGATGCAGCCCACCCTGAGCGATCATTCGGGATCTGCCCGAAATCACTGGCTGCGTGCCGATGCAGTGGTTGTGGTCGCTTAACTACCCGCTTGGGGTAAGCTGATCTGGAGGTCCAGGACCCACCAGCACGGATGATGAAGCATTGGGAGCATCAGATTTATACCTCCTTGTGCCCAGCTTTGAAAGCTTGGGAGTGGTTACGAAGCTGCCATGCGACGTCAATAAGAGTAGACAGGTGACGCAGGTGTCCAACTCTGATCTCCGCGATAGAGATCGCCGCTGCGCGGACTCAGGTACTCAGCCAAGGCGGCCTTCTACATACATCAATACCTATCGTCTCCAACGCTCGAAGGAACAATGCCCTTGCTCTAGATGCCGGCGGCTAGCGTATAAGCAAACAGCTTCAATCTTCGTTGGAAATCGGACGCATGTCAGCATAGTCCGACGTGCACGCCATGCAAACCATGGCTGACCTGTCCGGCTTTGCTGCTTATGGTCTCGCGTGGCGCTCCCAGTTAGATCCTATAGGTCAAACAACCCCGGAGCAAGTAGATAATTTCTTCTACGGTAATTTCAGACTTGAAGCGGAAGGAGTGGCAGCTGCGCAGCCACGATTCAATCCAATTGTGGTGCCCAGTGTGCCGTGAGATCGTGGCTGTTTTTTTTTTTTTCACGGTCCAGTCACGGGGGCCAAATTTGTCAAGGCGGGATCTGCCTCGACCATCATATCAATAGAATGTTGGCTGAGGGAGATTGAAGCATGAGAACTTTGTCTTACTGGAGCAAGATGTGAGCTTTGCTTGTCATGTCAGTGTAGTTGGGATGGTGAGATCATGCTTGCTAGTGTACTAGGAGTGTGCAAGTCATCGCAGCGGGACCCGCTGGAGTAGGCTTAGATTTACTATGATGCGTGTGATCTGTGAGTACTTAGTGCACATTCAAGACTTGGTCCGGATTATCGAATTGGAAGATAACCATCATGGATTAGTACTACTTAGTAGTGTAGTACCTGGACAAATACAACGGGTGCTCTTGGGTGCCTAGTATAGCCGACGCTATGCGGCATTGTTTATATAATTCCGGATTGATGCAGAATGTGTGAATTTGACGATGCGGATTGCCCAGGGCTCTGAGACTACAACAACTTATGATCACAGAGCCCTGCTGGCTACAACCTATAATCTGATTCCACTTAGATGAACCTATAGGCTCGAGTCTGTCGGACTGAGTGACCTTAAGTATCTAGTAAGCATCACTGTTTTTACTTGGAGGATTCGGGGTTAACATAGTCCGAGATTGCCAAGCATCCGGCGGTGACGCGTGAACTGATGGGAGTTGGCTTGCGAAAACTGGAACAGGTAGGGGGAGTCAATGAAGGAATCGTTGAGTAGAGTGCGTAGGAAACCAAGATTAGTTTGAGAGAATTGTATATCGACCTTTTACTACCATATTAATCACTGTCTATCACAATTGATTAAGTTAGTCCGTGCAAGACAGAAGTTGAAGAAGTAATCACTTGTTGTTTGCTTGGTTTGCAACGGCTACACCGGACGGCCTCTAAGGGATGCTTATCTAATGGGCGCCTGCCGAATTCCGCCTAGTCGCAGGGGAAAGTTTGTTCCCAACATATCCGGGCTTGTTGAAAGATAACAGCAGCATTGCTCTCCTTCTGCTCTCCTTCTCCAGCATCTCGCTGTCCTCCGCTGTCTTTCATCCATCATGTTGTTCCGTGCTGCGGCCCGTCAAGCCGCGCCTTTGAAGCGTCAGGCCTTTGCTCCCCTTGCCCGTCGCTCCGTCACCACCGACGCTGCCTCGGCGCATGCTGAGAACATCCCCAAGGTAAGACCGCTTCTTAGCCAGCCAGCCAGCCACCCACCCACCCACGCCTATAGAATCCCTCCAAAGCTTCTTCCACCTTTAGCAAAGCTGACTGTATTCGTAGGAAGATGACAAGCCCTTCACCGTCCGTCTCTCCGACGAGAGCTTCGAGACCTATGAGATCGATCCTCCTCCCTACGAGCTCGAGGTCACTAAGAAGGAGCTGAGGCAGATGTACTACGACATGGTTGCCGTGAGGTATGCTGCTACTTCCTTCCCGTCATCATAACCGAATTAACCAGCCTGGATTAGACGCATGGAAATGGCCGCCGACCGTCTGTACAAGGAGAAGAAGATCAGAGGTTTCTGCCACTTGTCCACCGGTCAGGAAGCCGTCGCCGTCGGTATCGAGCACGCCATCTCCCGCGACGACAAGGTCATCACCTCCTACCGTTGCCACGGTTTTGCCATGATGCGCGGTGGTACCGTCCGCTCCATCATCGGTGAGCTGCTCGGTCGCCGTGAGGGTATCGCCTACGGCAAGGGTGGTTCCATGCACATGTTCGCCCCCAACTTCTACGGTGGCAACGGTATCGTCGGTGCCCAGGTCCCCGTCGGTGCCGGTCTTGCTTTCGCCCAGCAGTACAACAACGAGAAGGCCACCAGCATCATCCTGTACGGTGATGGTGCCTCCAACCAGGGTCAGGTCTTCGAGGCCTTCAACATGGCCAAGCTCTGGAACCTGCCCGCCCTGTTCGGCTGTGAGAGTACGTCTTCTATCTTCCCCCCTACTTCCTCCCCTTATTGCTGGTTGTTTTTCGAGAGTTAACATTGTCTCTCTGTGTAGACAACAAGTACGGTATGGGTACCTCCGCGGCCCGCTCCTCCGCCCTGACCGAGTACTACAAGCGTGGTCAGTACATCCCCGGTATCAAGGTCAACGGCATGGACGTCCTGGCCACCAAGGCCGCCGTCAAGTACGGTAAGGACTTCGCGACCTCGGGCAACGGTCCCCTCGTCTTCGAGTACGTCACCTACCGTTACGGAGGTCACTCCATGTCCGACCCCGGTACCACCTACCGCAGCCGTGAGGAGATCCAGCGCATGCGCAGCACCCACGACCCCATCGCCGGTCTCAAGCAGAAGATCCTCGACTGGAACGTCTGCAACGAGGAGGAGCTCAAGGCCCTCGACAAGGCCGCCCGCACCCACGTCGACGAGGAGGTCGCTGAGGCCGAGAAGATGGTCGCCCCCGAGAGCACCCCCCGCATCCTCTTTGAGGATATCTACGTCCGTGGCAGCGAGCCCCGCTGGATGAGAGGCCGCACTGTCGACGAGACCTTCTACTACTAGACAACCACTCATCCTTTTCAGTAGCCAGTGACGTCGGGAGGAATATCAGGACAGGTTCAGGAGATGTGACGAATGAAACAACTTCGGGAATTGGGGGGGTTGGCGTGAAACAGCAAAGGGAGGAGAAAGGAAAAAAAGAAGGACTGGCAGTTTCCCGCTACGATTTCTCCTTTTTTTTTTTTGTGATACAAGCATCTTAACTCACTCACCCACCCACCCACAACAATCGCACTTCACACACAGCTCTCATGGAACGGTTGTGATCAAACTATGTAATTTAGCCGGGAATTATCATTATTTTTTTCTTATCGTGTTTACTTTGGGTTATCTTGCGTTTTGAAGGTGGTCCTGCGTGCTATACAATACCTACCTTGTTATAGGTTTTTGGAAAAGGCAATATAGACTGCAATCTTTAGTACTATGGTCAAAGAACACTGATGAACGGTGGATCGTATTTGGCTGGATTGTGTCTGGGATGGATTTCCCAATCCATTGCGTAATAATTTAGGTAGGGGGTTTCCAATGAGCCTTGATAGTGTATACTCAATCATAGCCCACACACAATTATCAATGGATATCAAGGAAGTATCCAGGATGAGTGAAGAAAATGAAGAAATGAAGAAGCTGGCCGAGCGAACCAAAGAAACAACATTGCTCTGAACCAGTGGGTATCATATGCAAACGATATAAAGACGAAAAGGCAGGAATTAAAAAACGTGAAGGTTAGGGGGGCAAAGGAAAGGTAGAAGAAGAAGAAGATGAAGTCAAGAACAAAATCCAAAGAACAAATATGAGGGGGTATATTGAAATTGTTGGATGGAAAAGTGGAAGATGGATGTATGTATGGAACAGGAAGAGAACAAGGGAGGTTCAGGACGGCTCCTGTCTCAACATCTCCAATATCATCTCCTGTGTTCGTTGCACCGAGTCGAGTCTCTCCTCTAGGCTTGCGCGGTCCTTGGCCAGCTCGGTCCGCATCTCCTGGCGGAGTTCGGCCTTGACTTTAGCAATAAGTTCGGGTGGGATTTGGAATGAGGAGGAAAGCTGGGGTGTATCAGGAGACTGGGTGGGCAAGGAAGGGTCGGCGTCCGACTCCGAGTCGGAGGATTGCGATTGAGATGGTAGTGGTGGTTGTTGTTGCTGCTGCTGCTGCTGCTGCTGTGTAGCGCGTGAGGAGCGAGTCTCGGATACTTTGGGCTTGAGCGAGGTCGGGGTGGAGTTAGCGGCATCGAGGTGACGGTTGAGTTTGCCCAGGGTCTCTAGCATGGCGCTCATCATCGATGCTGGCTCTACAGTACCCGTGTCACCGATTCCTGGGGTACCGTTGAGTCGGCCCAGCGCAGTAGGGGTGTTATGCTGCGACTGCGGCTGACTGGCGAACATGGTATCGAATCCGGGGGGTAGACGGACTTTGGTGTGCTCCGGGGTGGAGAACGACTGCTGCGATGCGGTTAGTAACTGCGCAGCAGCCTCACCAACGTTGATTAGCGGACTCCCACTGCCACTCACACTCTCGGTTGCCCTCTCGGTTGCCCTCCAGGTGCCCGGCCCAGGGGTGGGACTAACTCCGTCGGCACCGTTGTTGTCCCATGTCTCCCAGCCTCTGTCTTTCCTCTTTCGCGGCCGCCTCGAGTCTCTCTTCTCAATGCGTCTCGCCTCCGCCTCTTCCCACCTCTGCCACGTTGGGATCCATGCATCCACTGCAGCCCTCCACCTCGGATTTGACCGATCGTCACTCTCACTGCCCCCTCTCTCGCGCTGCTCATCTAAGAACTTCATGCGTTGCTTGGTCACCAGCTCCACCTTGCGCCGAACCGAATGCCACGAGTAGGGATGTCCCTGGTCGCGCGTGAACTCCTCCGTGACCGTCATCCACCACTTGCATAAGTTGCTGCGCTGACCGAATTCGTGAGCGTGGCGATTGCAGATGTTGAACAGCGACACTTCCTCGAGGGTGGTCAGGCGCTTCCCGTGTTTGCGGGGCCCTTCGCGGTCGCTAGTTAGACCCAAGGAGTTGTCGGCACCGATACCCGCTGCAGTAGGATCGAGGTCGAGATCGTCGCGATCGTCGATAAGAATGGTAGTAGTGGCATTTGTCGCAGATCGGGTCGTTGGCGCATTGCCGTTGGGAAGAGGTCCGCTGCGGCTGCCGTGAGAGGTCGTAGCGGTAGTATTGCTGGTGGTGTTTCCGTTGCTACCACCAGCTACAGAACGGTGACCATGACGACGCTGCTGTTGCTGCTGCTGTTGCTGCTGCTGTTGCGCGCGAGCATGTGATTGCGCACGCGTGAGTGTTTTCGCGTTCATATTGTCCGACGAACCGTAGTCCGGATTTTCCAGCGCGTCCGCCGTGGTGGGGTTTCTGCCGGAATCCGAATGATCGATCTCGCTCTCGTCGCTGGAGACTGAGACGGCTCTTTGCGACGGTTGTTGATGTGGCTGTTGTTGCGGTTGCTGACGTGCATCAATGATCACGGAAACAGGCTGTTGCTGTTGCTGTTGCTGTTGCGAATGCCGGGAGAGTGTATGAGAACGCGAATGGTGGTGCTGGTTCTGTGGTGTATCATGGGCGGTGGGCTGCTGCGGCGTCGGCTGTTGTTGCATGCGCAGATTCGTCGATAAGTTGGGAAGCGCTGCATGCTGCGGGTTCGTTCGCGCGGAGATCATGGAGGGAAGCCATCGCATTTGGGACATCGGAAAGGCCAAAGTCGCGGGATTCGAGGGATCGGAAGTGGCTGTTGTGGTGGTGGAGGCGGAGTCGATGCGCGAATTCGAAGCGGCGGCGGCTGCGGCGGTGTTTGCGGTGTGATGGAGACGATGAGGGTGGTGCTGTTGTTGATGTTGTTGGTGTTGTTTCTGCTGCTGCTGCTGCTGCTGCTGAGAATGAGAATGAGAAAGAGAAAGAGAGTGCGTATGATAGCTAGTAGAGGTATTGGCAGTTGAACCATGCCAGGGATACATGGACATGGTTTGGAGTGAGTGGAAGAAGAGGAGTAGGAAGAAAGAGGGAGTAGAAGGAGAGAGAGAGAGAGAGAGAGAGAGAGAGAGAGAGAGACTTGGTGAGCAAACAATAGCGGCGGGCGGAGAACTTAAGCTGAAAAGGCAGGCAGTCAATAATGAGTAAATTACACCCTCTGAAAGATTCGCCCCAAAAAGTCTGCAATTGCAGTCCTTCCTGCCAGTTGGTTGGTCTCAAGCCCCGCGGTGGAGGTCAGATCCTCGTATTTTTCAGGGGCTATTGGTATTGAGCTATAGTTGTAGGACAACAGCCTTCAACAATAATTACAATAATGAAGACATACGCGAACAACAAGCGTTACGCCAGGAGTTGAAGAGGATGACGCAATGGTATATTCGTCTTGTTGATGTACAGTGGGCTCCTCTACTTCCAACACCCTTACTCGACTTTTGCCCTTTTCCTCAGCCAGGCAAACAAACAAATCATAATGAATAATGAGAACAATACAGATGGGCACCGAGGATGCAGAAGAGGGGGAAAAAGTAAAGGGAAAAACAAAAACAGATAATGAAACACCCAGTTATACATGAAGACTGTGGAATATGCCCGCAGAACGGAGAAACAGAGAATAGAGAATACAAGGGATTAGAACACCCGGGGAATGCCACTACCGCCGTCTCAAGTACCACAAGAAGGCCGGAGTCATCAAGTGTTCCCCGAATGGCGACGGCACCTCAGCGAATCCAGGACGAGCCACAGGGTGTCGCAAGTACACCGCAGCGCAGATGTTGTGGTTCACCTCCAAGTATCTGGGAATCGTGGCGAATGCGCTCATGTAGTCACGCGGCCGCCAGGGGGTGGCATAGGGCTTGGTGCTATCGATCGGGTTGTCGCGCATCTGGATGAGCGCCCGGCGCAGCACCTCGAACTCTTCGTCCGTAAGTTCCGATGTATCGACCTCCTTTTCGGGGTTCTCAATGGCCTGACGGAACGCCTCAGACAGCTGGGTAGTGACGGCGCCGCTTTCGTCCTTCTTCTGGGCCGCATCCTCGGACTCCGACTTCTCGGTAGACTCCGCAGCAGAAGACTCATTGTTCTTAGCCTCAGCTTCCACCGTCTCTGCCTTCTGCCCCTCCACCTCCTGTCCCTCCTTCTTCTCCTTTTTGGCAGGCTTCGTCTCCGCGCGCTTGGCCTTGAGGAGAGTGGTCAGCTCGGAGAACTGCTCCTCGAGGTTGGCAGTCAAAACCGTGCTGTTTTCCGAGCGAGACAGCACTCGACGAACGGCCTTCTGGAATCCACGCAGCTGCTGTTTGCGCTTGGCCGGGAGGGCGTCCTTGCTGCTAGCCATGATGGCCTTGGCCTGGGCCATAAGAGCCTTGAGGGTTTCACGGGGAGATTCCTTCTTGGTGGGATCTTCCTCCTTCGTGGCCTCCTCCTTGGCCTCCTCAGCAGCTGCAGCCTCCTCGGCAGCCTCTTCAGCAGCCCTGGCCTCAGACGCCTTCTTGCGGGCCACACGGCCCTGTCGTCGCTCCACCTTGTCTTTGGGAGCACCAGTAGCATACATGACGCGCTCGGGATCGACCTGGAACATATCGCCGGGGTTGAGCAGGTAGCCGGGGTGTCTCATCTAGCAATGCGGGCCTGTATTAGTACTCGTCCACTTTTCCCTTCAAGCATATCCATCCAGACGAAAAAAAAAAGACTCGAAGAGAAGAGACCTACTGGCTTGCCATTGACCGTAACCGCACCGTGCACCACAAACTGCCGAGCCTGTCTGGCACTGCTGGCAAACATAGCCCGAAAGATAGCGGTATCGAGCCGACGCTCCAGCGGGGCGAAGGTCATGTGGGTGTAAGGCGTATTCCTCTCTTCCTTCCATTTGCCGTGCAACCTTGGCTTTCTAGAGTCCTCCGACGTCGTTTCTGTCTGTGCGGGCTTTTCCAGACCGGAACCGCGTCCGGCCGACATGGCGGACCCGTCATCCTCGGCCAAACTGAAGGTATTCATGGGCACGACGCTGCGCGCGCGCGGGGAGAACATGCGCTGCCATTGCTTCTCCGAGACCTGTTCACCGTGATAGGCCCGAAGCATAGACTTGGCCGTCCATTTCTGCTGGAAGAAGGTGCGGGCGCTGAAGAAGGGGTCCCTCTGGGTACTCAGGCTGTAGAGGTTATATTTGCTCCATGATTGGCGGACTTTCTGGACGGGGAGATGGGATTAGAATTGGATTGAGGAGGGGAGAGTGAAGAGAGACAAAGTAAGATTGACACGTACCGGCTTCTTCAAGGAGATAGTGGCCCTGTTTCTCATGATGGCGGTGGTGCTCCTGGTCTGGGCTGCTGCTGCTGCTGTCTTATTCTCCCGCAACTATCGCCGGCGGCCAAAACTTCGCTGCCGACAGGGCACGTGATCTGAGCAGCACATGATCTTGGCCGGGGACTGGGATGCTTGTTATAGCCTGAGGATTGAGGCAGACATGGCTCGGTCACTTATAGCTTCTCTGATTGGCCGGAGAAAGTCTCGCTTGCGAGTAGCGCAGACTCACCGCCCCCACCTCTGGTATATAAGCGTCGTCCACCCGCCGTTCTTTTAGACTCTTTTCTTCTTTCTTTTCTTCATACTTACCTTGTTTGGGTGGCTGCGATCAAGAAGGCGGTCCACCACAGATTGGTCCCTGCATTGCACAGCGCGGCGGAACAGTCTGTTCAACGGCCTTCGGGTCATTGACAGGCGTATTCTTTGGCACTCTTCCTTCGGGATACTCTTTCTTTTCATCATCGCTTCGCCTTGTGCGGGGTTATGGAGAAGAGAATATGTAGGCACTTTATCCCGTGTTGCGTATCTGATGAAGTCGGACCTCATGACCCTGTAATCTCGCTGGTATTAAGTCACCGTGTTGCCCAGGTCATCACCTACGACGTGCCGTGCACCTACGACGTTCCTATTCTCTTGAAAAGATGCTTGTGTGTGTCGCATGAAATGATGTTTCATTAATCATAACCCATTATCACACATTCGTCCTTACTATCAAAATTCCTCGCTCAATCTCCCTCTCGATTGGCGTTAGGGAACGCCTCCAACAGCGCCTCTGCTTCCTGCGGATTCACCGCATCGTCGAGGATCTCATGCGCCATTTCCACGGTCTCATCCGTAATGCCTGCTTCCAGCAACAATCCTTCACTGAAAGCCAGTCGCGTCAAAACAACCAGGAACTTCTGCTTTCCGCCCGCCACGCGACAGAGTTTCGCCTGTAGATCCACCGCATCACGGTGGCGCTGGATTACCCCATATACAAGCCTCATCAGCCCATTGATCATGGACGAGTGAAGATCTTTGGTCGGCGGCATGCTATATAACGCATGCACCTCATCGTGCATGGCCCGAATCACCCGAGCGAGCACGGTGGGATGGGATGCCAGGATCATACTGCCGTGTGTGCTCTCCGGTGCTTGCGAATTGAACGCCACCGTGGTCAAAAAGGACAACGCTTCCCGCCGCATATCGCATACTTCCCATGGCAGATAAGGCTTCTGCCCTTCATCTAGCTGAGGAGTCTCGCTTAGCAAGTTGGCGACGCGGTCTACAATGTAATTTTCGTTTGCGATCTGGTCCTGCTCCGTGCTCTGGATCGACCCGAACGAGCCATCTCGAATACTAGTCGACAATAGGCGAAGCATCAAGCTGATGTCTCGCAGTCGCTGCGAGCAATTCAACATCATCAAGACAAAGTCGTAGCGCATGTATTGCCAGAACGTTGCCAACTCACGCTCAACGTGCATCCGTCGAAAGGCCAATTGGAATAGAAGATTCAATGCCTTGGTCGAATCGACCAATGGTTCCAATTGCGACAACGGTGTTTTCCTTACCTGGCCCAGGTTCTGTCGGGACACAGGCGAATGCTTAAAGCGGGGCACGCCGTTGACATCGCCAGAATCCTGTAAGATGGGTACTAAGTGCTTGATCAAATCCGGGTCGTGTGCTTGCACATCGAGTGAAATCAAAAATCCCATTATCGACATGAACATCGGGATCGGGATGTAATATTTCTCGCTCAACGCACGTCCCCATAATGAGATGATGGCCCGCCCGTACTCCACCATGTAGTTGCCAAAGTCGAGCTTTGCCATTTCACCCATGAGGAGCGTAGATATCATCTGCTGAGGGTCGGAGGGAAACGCCAGCCCAGCCATTACCTCAATGTCCGGACGGCCATCTGGGATTGTGGAGTGATTCAAGATACGCTTCACAATGCTGGCGTCGAAGCTCCTAGTCTCTGGGACAAACGGTTCCGGGACGTCAATCATGGCATCGTCAGACAATTGTTCTGGTGGTGGGTCGTCCGGCGGGAGCTCTGCCTGTGGACTCAACTGTAATGGCGTTGGGCTGTCCTGGCTGAGCTTTCTCTTCCTCTTTCCAGGCCCGGTGGGCGTGGCGCGTTTCGACCTCGCCGACTTTGTTGGTGAGATGGCAAGGATTTCATCATCGTCAAAGCCATCTCGAAACGGTAGGATTCTGGATTTCTTCGGAGTGACAGGTGGCGCTTTATCCTCCGTTTGAGCCTTTGCCTTCAACTGGTGACTGCGCATCGCTTCCTCGGCCAGATCCTGTTTGAGGAATGCGTTCTCTGTGGCGAGCATCTTCCCTTCTGCACGAGCAGCCTCAACCTCTTCCATGTGTCTTGCGGCCTGCTCGGCCATTGCCTTGCGCAGCGCCGCCAGCTGTCGGTCATAGTCCTGGGTGACCTTTGCCTGGTTGGCTCGAATGATCGCGATCTCTCCAGTTTTCGTTTCCGCTATGGATCTTGCTGCCGTGAGCTCCTCTAATAACTGGTTATATCGTTCATTCTCCATCGCCAGCTATTTCCATGATTAGTTCTATAGCCGTATGGTCTCCACTTATCCCATGCTGGCGTTACCTTCTCGCTTAGTTCGGCATGAGTCCTATGTAGCTCAGCGTATTGAGAGGACCCTCCTCCCTCAATTTCCATGGGATCGGGCAAATCTCCATACTCGTCATCCGCATCGGCTTGGAGGTCACCAGTGGCTTCGGCATGAGATTGGGGGTCATTGTGATGGGCAGGCGTAGCGAAGACAGAGGCTTGTTTGAGCGCATTATCGGTATGAATGGCAACGCCGTTGTCCAGTACTTCTGCGTCAAGTTCGCCTATGTCCCAGTCGTCGTAGTCATTGGTCAAACCAGTATGTAGGCGCGGCGGAGGTTGTAAAGTGGCATTCGAGGCCCCACGATTGTCTTCGGCGACAGTCGTATGCTTGGGGTGGCCGTAAGTACGAGAAGAAGCCCTCAAATCAGGCAGGGGCTGTTGTTGGGAGGGGCCAGGAGCCTGTGTGGCACGGTATGCATTTTGTTCGAGTTGGTAGAGAGTACCCGGTGGCAGGTCGTCGAAGCCATCGTCGGAGAAGAAATCATCATCGTTTTCTTCCATACCCAGCGATGGACGATCGCCATGAGATGCACGTTTTAGAAGAGGGGATGTAGAAGTAGTGAGAGGTCTCAGCAAATGAAAAGAAAGTTATTGCGTAGATGAATGCGGGAGGGTAAGAGAAATTAGAAAAAAAAAAAAGGGAGAGACGGGGACCGACTGACGTCGACGGGGGAAGGAGGGCGCGTAATCAAGAAATCCCGACGGCTTACTCTCTCTCCCCTTCTCTCTCTCTCTCTCTCTCTCTCTGATCTCCCTCTCCCTCTTCATTCTCCTCCTCCACCTTCATCTCCACCTCCTCTCCCCCGAAAAAAAGTCTCTGCTCCTCTCTCGATATTTCTTCTGGGGACGGTCGTACACTTCAAGTGGTCACTCGGGGTTTGCAATAGTATTAGGCCCAGAACTCCTTGATCCTGTGGTCTGCAATTCACGTCTACCTGTTGTCTTCATTCCTCGGTCGCGAGTTCACATGAAATTTCATTAAGGACGACGATCATTGCTGCTTGACCCTTTTTGTTTTTTTTGCTTCTGGCATCTCTTCTCTACCCCCTTTCTTCTTCACTATTTCTCTTCTGATCAGTTCCACCCTTGCTTGGTTCGGCCCCTTCCGAACCTTTTCCTCAGCTCCCAAGCTCTCGCCAGCTTCGCCTATCCGGCCCCGCGCTCGTCAACCCAAGCTCCCGCGCAGCTCCGGTTTCCCCCTCCGTCTGTACATACATACTCTCCCACCATGTCAAAATCCCGTCGCAACGTCAGGTTCCCTCACAGGATGTCGACTGCCTCGGAGGGACGTCGGTCCAGTATCTCCGAGGCCAGCGATATCCTGTCTGATCCGGGTAGTCCGTCCAAAGACGGCTCCGTCGCGAAGCCAGCCACGATTCCGGAAGAGGTGAGCAACTGCATCACCATTGAGGTGCACATTTGGAAACAGATATGCTGACCAACCAGAAATCCGACAAACCTCAGCTATCCGACTACGAGAAGAAGAAACAGACTTTCATCACCCGCACGATATGGACCTTTGTCATGATCTTCGGTTTCTTCGTCGTCCTGTTCTCCGGCCACATCTACATCTTGGGCATCGTCACCGCTGTTCAGATCGTTTCGTTCAAGGAGGTCATTGCGATTGCCAATGTGCCCAGTAAAGAGAAGAACCTTCGCTTCACCAAGTCCCTCAATTGGTATTTCCTGGCGACTACAATGTACTTTCTGTATGGAGAGAGCGTCATCTATTATTTCAAGCATATCCTATTGGTCGACAAGGTATTGCTCCCTCTGGCCACTCACCACCGGTTCATCAGCTTTATGCTCTATGTCATGGGTAAGTTCTTGTTAGGAGACCTGCGTGTCTAGCTTTGCTAATCGGTCAGGATTTGTTTTCTTCGTCGCATCCCTGCAAAAGGGACACTACCGGTTCCAATTCACTCAATTCGCCTGGACACACATGGCCCTGTATCTCATCGTTGTTCAAGCGCACTTCGTCATGAACAACGTCCTTGAGGGAATGATCTGGTTCTTCCTCCCAGCTTCTTTGGTCATTGTCAATGACATCTTCGCTTATGTCTGCGGTATTACGTTTGGTCGCACCCAGCTCATCCAGTTGTCGCCCAAAAAGACCGTTGAAGGGTTCATTGGCGCATGGATTTGTACTATCATCTTCGGAATCGGTATCACCAACATTCTCATGCGCTACAAGTACTTCATCTGCCCCGTGAATGATCTTGGTTCGAATGTGTTGACCGGCCTCGAGTGCACCCCCAACCCGGCCTTTGTCCCTCAGCCGTACTCGTTCCCGGATTGGACTGGTGTGGAGAAGACCTTCTACATCGAGCCTATGCAGTTCCACCTTCTGGTCTTTGCCACTTTCGCCTCTCTCATTGCTCCGTTTGGCGGCTTCTTTGCCTCCGGGCTGAAGCGGACGTTCAAGATTAAAGACTTTGGCGAGTCGATTCCCGGCCACGGTGGCATTACCGATCGGATGGACTGCCAGTTCATCATGGGATTCTTTTCCTACATGTACTACCACAGCTTCATTGCTGTCTACAAAGCCAGCGTTGGGGATATCATCGAGGCCGCCATCACCGGACTCACTGTGGAGGAACAACTGGAGGTGGTCCGTGGCCTTGGCAAGTATTTGTACAATCAAGGAACTGTATCTGAAACGGTAGGCTCCGCAAAGCTCGTTGTAACCACGAAGTCACTGACATGGCTACAGATCTTGGAGTGCTTGAACACCGAGCACAAGCGCCGCTAGAGCGTCCCCCGCCCTTTGATGACCCATTCTTGTTCGGAGACCTTTCTCCGTGATGAAGTCCTCATTTATTTCTCCCTTCTTCCGAGTTTCTCGGAGAAATTACATACTTGAGCTTACGACCAAAATATGCTTCTTATAATCTACTCGTTTTCTCATCCTCCCGAGCGCCTCGGTCTGATGGACACACTTGACCGGACTTGCTAGGCTCGTCTACAACATTCGGGTTCTCTTTGACATGTGCACATACCATCCGCTGTACCACCATGAACACCCGGGGCGCCCTTCGCGCGAACAAAAAGACTACGTTGGAGTCATCAACGGGAAGTGAGGCAATTGGGGGTCTGTCCCCTACGCTACTTGATTGCCTTACTAATTTGCGGACTTCTCGTTCCTTGAGCTTCTAATTGCGTGTTGTGGTCGGTGGCGGCACAGGGATGAAGCCATGTCTCAGTAGGTAGACGTCTTTTTATATTGTAAAATTGTGGATATATAGCAATTTTGCTGGTTGCGCCTTACCTTGGTTTTGGTTGTAATTGTGGTGATGCTTCCACATCTGCTTAATGATGATTTCTTTTTGGCATTCTTCGACACAGATTGGGAAATAATTGTGGTACATACAATCTGCCATTCAACAGTCTTCTCTTATCTCTTGTAATGGTATGAGGTTACTGTGTTGGTATATGCAGTGGCGCCTGCAGTATAAGTTGCAAATCGGTTGGTGTTCGCTGTTGTGGATGCGCCTTGCCTCCAGCCTGACAACAACCCCTGAACCCCTCTTCATCATTGACCGCGGCAACTAGGGGGTAACGCAGACCCGGTCCTTTCAGCTTTTGGAGGGATACAAGCGCAGAATCAGTGTTTGTCTCCGGCTGAGAGCCGTGAGGAGGCTCGCGGGCGCAGAGGTGGCATGCCTCTGTTCGCACACCTAAGACTTGACCGCGTGCTTCGCTCGATAACGATAGGATGGATGTTTGCACCGTGCCTTGAAGAGCATGGGCGTCAGCGGCAGCGGCAGCGGCGGCAGCAGCAGCAGCAACAGCAGCAGCAGCAGCCATGATCCAGCTGCTCCTCCGTCTCAGCTGGGAGTACTCTTGCGAATCTCATCTTCCAACCACACAAGCCACATCAACCCCTCCCATCCCTCCAAATCAGAGATCCCAAATCCCCCAAGCCCCACCAAAAGAATGGAATACCAAAGTTCAAAAGAAGAAGAGGGGTCCCCTTCACTCCTCAACCTCATACTCCTCCACCTCCACCCGGAAATACTCCTCCACGCGCGCCCGCTCCACCTCCGCCCGGTCGGGCTCCAACATGAACCGCACAGCGTATTTCTCTCCAGCTCTCGGGCGATCCCCGTTAGCGGCAACGGGAGTGAGTGGGTGGTCCGGTTTGTCTTTGTCTGCTGCACTGTTACCGAGAGTGTGGCTGTTGATGCTGCCGTTGTTGCTATTGTGACTGGTGCCGTTCGTATAGCCCTTCCCCTTGGGACCGCGCGGCGCGGCGGGAGGGGGTTTCGGCTTCGGCTCGACCCAGTGCGTGTACCGGGGTAGCTTCTTCTCTTCCGCCTCGGAGTTGAGCGGGATGCGCACGGTCAGGAACCGGTCTGCGGGGAAGTGTGGGCCCACGGTGGTTTGAGCGCGGTTGTGGGTGTAGAGTTCTAGAATGTCGAGGAGGGTTTCTGTTTGTACAGGTTAGTCGGTTGTTCTTACGGTGGTGTGGTTGAGCTGAATCAGGACGGGCGCTCACTAGCCCATCCGTTATTCCAGGGAGGACTGATAAATGAAAGAGGGGTGCGAGAGGGGGGAGACACGAACCCATAACCTCCTCCCGACTCGTGTTCCAATCCTTGTAGTCAACGCCCGCTTCGACCTCCGGGATGCGCTGGTCCAGGAGTCGCCCCGCTAGCTCCAGAGCGCTGAACGCCATGGTCGAGGTGGTCTGTTTGATGGGCGCGTAGGTCCGGTACAGATCCTGGGCGATGCGGTAGGCGACAGTCGAGACCTCAGATTGCGAGGTCAGCCCGTACTTCCGCGCCAGCTTGACGAGCGTCTTTTGCGGGTGACGCGTGCGGAAGTCGAAGCCGGATGATTCCAGCATCAGACGCTCGAGGCCGATGATGCCTCGGGCGGGTAAGTCGAAGACCTGTTTTTTGCTGGTTAGTCTGGTGTTATGATACTTAGGTGGGAAGGGAAGGGATGAGTGTGATTTTGGGGGACGATGAGATGAATTCAGAGGGAGCGCTACCTGGCTGTCAGGAGCCAAATGCTCCTGGGGTGGCACCTTGAGGTTATAGGCTGCACAGACGAGCTCGCGGGATCGCTTGAGCGTGTCCTCGACCTTGCAGGCTGTGAAGAGAGCAGCTGTAGCGGCATCCTGAAGAGATCTGTTAGCATTGATGTGTTTCTGGGATAGAGAGGCTGCGAAGACTTACATTGTAATTGTACTCGTTGTCGGGATGGACGAGTCGGAATTTGTGGTAGTACACCACCGCCGTGTTGAAGGTGCGGATTGGGCTATGCATGAGATGTTAACTTGACTTTCTGCATGAAAGATAACCAAAAAAGAGATGTAGACATACAGATTCAAGTTGCGTCGGACGTTATCAACCCAGGTTACTCCCTGCAGGCGGAGGGACTCCTCGCGCAGCGGATTGACACCCATGGCGGCAATACATTGCTGGATGGTCTGCTCGAAGATGTACGGCTTGGCAACCTGGATGAACGAAGGATGGATGGGCGGCGGATCTGGGGCCGCAGTGGTGTCGGGCGGTGTGGATGAATGCGCGTCTTCTCTTCGGTCGGGTGCCATCTTGCTTCTATCTCAGATGCTGCTGCATGCGCTGCTCTTTCAGCAGAATGAATGATGGCTGATGGTCGGGGATTTGAGCCTGAGAGAGGAGGTTGAATGCCATTCATTGATTGGCGCAATCCAGAATCGCAATCAGTCGGTCAGGTGATACGGCGGGATGCACCTGCACAAATGACTAATATAGACCAGTGCATGACCAAAAGGCTGATCTAGTCGACGAGTTATGAAAGACCCATTGTGAATAGCTTCGCCAATGAGCTAGTGAAACTGGAAGCAAAAAAATGCCCAAAGCTGAGAATATTTTTACGGACATCAAGCTAGTGATGAAGTGGCATGCGGTTATTCGTACTTGCAAAGGCACCACCTACTTCTTCAAAATATTTATCAACCACTATTTTATCATGGTTCTGTTGACTATTCAATTTCATTCATGGAATATGTAAAAATAAACATGACTCCCAATTTCCAGAGCCCCGATTCTCGATTCAATCAGCTCATCTCATTCATATCACTCATTAAGGTACACCATATGCGACTTGGTGACCCGCACTCAACCCGATCGTAGTTGCTGTAATCACTTACGAAAGTCTTGAGCCTCACCGACGCTCAAATGTATGCGGAAAGAAAAAAGGGTTAAAATAAAGGTGAGAAAGGCAAAAGGGTAAGGTAGCGGGGTTTGGGTATCACAAACAAGGAAAAGAAAAGAAAAGAACAAGTAAACATGGCCAGATAGTTGAAACGGAAAGAGATAGGACTGAACTGCTTCCCTGCTCGGCCTCAGAGGCAGAGGTGGTAAAGTACACCACTGCAATCAAACCAGCACATAGGGATGCTCGCTACCCACGAGAGTCGATTCGCCCGTGTCATCCTCTGAACAATCGGGGTTCATGTCCTCTATGATAGTGCCTACACTGTCGCAACGCTCGGCTTCGTCGCCGAGAGCCAACCTCTTGGGACGAAGTTTGCCGTCGTCATCGAACCAGAACGCACCAAAGGGGTTCTTGCGCGCTAGGTCCACGGCGGTAGTACCGCCGCCCCCTTTACCGTCGCTGCCAGTTATAGTGGTAGTGGTGGTGGTGATGACAGTGCCGGTAGTTCCGGTGCCGTTGCTGCTTTTAGTGTCGTTGGAAGGCTTGGTGTTTTCGGGTGCCTTGAGGGCGAGGTCGGCACCTGCATCAATAAGAATGCGAAAGAGGGACTCTCGGCCTCGTTCAGCGGCGAGGTGGAGGGAGGTCTTGCCGTCAGCGGTCATCGCATTGATGTCGGCACCGAGGTCAAGGAGGAGGTGGATGAGGGCAGGGCGGGGAATTATGGCCATGGCGGCGATGTGCAGCGGTGTCTCGATGCCAGCAGAGGCGGCGCGGGCGTTGACATCGGCGCCGTGAGCGAGGAGGAGACGAAGGTACTCTGCAGCCTTAGGGAAAGCGAAGTCCGGCACGCCCGTTGCGACGTGTACGGCCTGGTGAATGGGCATCCAGCCCTGACTAGAAACGGTACAGACGTCGCGACCGAATTCCAGTGTCAGCTTGAGGATATCAAGGCAATCCTCGTTGATGGGCGGCGCGATGTGCAGGATGGTCTCCCCTTTAGGCGTTTGCACGTTCATGTCTGCCCCGCGATCCAGCAGGAAAAGGAACATCGTCCGGTTGCCCGCACGCGCCGCACACTGCAGCGGCGTGTAGCCCTGCGAAGTGCGCGCTTCGATGTTGGCTCCCAAGTCGAGCAGCTTTGACGCGACCGCCGTGTTAGCCGACTTGCGCGCCTGTTCGTGTAGCAGTGTCTCGCCTTCCTTGTTCCAGGCGTTTAGATCTGCTCCGCCGATCACGAGCAGATCGAAGGCGACCCAGTGTTTGGCATGCGCAGCCAACTGGAGTGCCGTGAATCCTGAGAGGGAGCGCGCCTCCACCTGCGCGCAACGCTGGAGGAGGAGCGAGATCGCCTCACAATTGTCAACTTTAGCTGCCAGTTGAAGCGGTGACAATCCGACCTCATTGGTCATGTCGATGGAGGCGCCTTTATCAAGGAGAAAGAGAATGATACGAGGCCTTCGCCACCGCACGGCCAGGTGAAGAGCCGTGTCCCCAGTGTGGATGTTGCGGAGATTGACGTCCACTTTGTTCTTCACGAGAAGGGGGATGGTAGACTCGTCGCATTCGGTTCCCACAGCCACTTGAAGGGCAGTTGCACCCTGCTCGTTTGCAATCTGGGTGTTAATGCGTCGGTTAAAAAGCACCTTCATTACCTTGCGATGTCCGTGCAACGTTGCTAGGTGCAGCGCGGAGCTTCCGTCTCGGGTCAACGCATTGATGTCAGCTCCGTGCTCTAGCAAAAGCTCGACCATTTCTTCATTACCTCGATAGGCGGCGCAGTGCAGCGGTGTGAACTTGAGAGAGTTGTCACTGGTATCCACTGCAGTACCCTGGAGTATCAGGCGTTCAGCTCTGGGGATGATACCGAAAAAAGCCAGAATGTGAAGACCACCCCAGTCTTTAGGATACTTGCCCAACCCGAACGCGCTGGGAAGCCCTTGTTCAGGAGCCGACTCTTGTATTGGTGGCCGTCTCCACAGTAGCTTGTTCAAGAACGTTTTCGTCAAGACCTGGATGGTCTGCTCGTCGTCGGTCATCTCGCGTGCATGGTGGCCCCAATATGTTGCGGTGTAGTTGAGAAACCCACTCTTGATGGTGCGAGGCGTAGCTCTGTTGTTATAATAGCAGTCATCTACCACCTCATCCGGTGTAATGGCCGTTAAACAGACCTCCGCAATGTCTTTTTGGGCTGTTGGAAAGAAGACTCGAGCGGCGGTTCCATTCAGGTAGCCCTTGGCCGTCTGATGAACGAAGCGCACGGTCCCCGTTACAGCATCGACGGTCAAAATTCCAGCTGTCTTTGCCTGTAACGTGTGTTCGAAAGTCTCATCCCCGGCTTTGTCATCGGGCAAGGGGGTATTGGTTGCACATTTGAGTTCCGCGACAGTCAACGGCCGGAGGGCGTACAGAGTCCAATACACGTAGCGAGCAGCCGTTGGATTCTGACTCACCACCTGTTTCAATGCTTCTCCATAGGCCTCACTCAGACTCTCTGGCAGATGTGCAACCGCTCGCTCCAAAAGACTTTTATTCTCATAGCGTGAAAGTAGATCGAGGTGAATCTTGGCAAGAAGGAAACTGAAAAGACGTAACATGTCAGTTCTCATGCGTGTGACACGGAGGCTCGTGTCTGGGAGGCAAATTGCGCCACTCACATCCCATGACATTTTTCTACAACTGTGCAGATAACTTCATCCTGCCAACTCGCGTCTGATTCTCCTCCCAATAGCGTCTTTAGCCGTGGGTCTTGTTGTATGCGCGAGACGGCATACATCTGTAGATCACCTGGTGCTCCCAAGATGTTGACTACTGAAGAGTTCGCCATCTGAGATACCTCTCTCAAGGTGACCAAGAGCTGTGCCTGTTCTGGAAGCTTCTTGAGCCGGCCAAGAATGCGATCCTTGTCAGAAATCAGGTCCAGGCCGTCGACGATAATGAACACCTTGGAAAACCTGTTGACCTCTGCTCGAATAGCACTTTGATAAGCCTTAGGGGAGGCTGATCCTTTTGCTGAAGACTCGGAATAGTACAGAGAAGAGGTTGCATAAGAGAGGCTCCGCTTTCGGTAAACAAGCTGAGCTAGGATGCTGCGGAGGATATCGAGAGAGGTCTGTTCCTTTGTTCGTTCTTCCTGACAGAAAATGAACACCGTTGCGATGTCGGATGATGTGAACGTCTTCTGGAGCGAATCAACCACAGCGGACCTATATGCTTATCAGTCATGCTACACAGTTCCAAGGTGTCAAGGGCCATCGTACGCGAGAAAAGTCTTTCCTGCACCAGCTACGCTCATGGGAGAAGATATTAGAGATATTCTCAGCTTAGGATATTATCCAACACTCACCTGGACCGATGCAATATAGTGTCTTAAAAGAACCGAGCAGCCAGCGTCTATACTGACTGTGGTCAAAGATCCAGCGACAAGACCCACGGAGCCGTCTGTTGCACAGGTCCGCGAGCGTAATGAACTGGTTTGAGCACAGCTGACTTGTGATTCCCAGAGCATCTTCCTCAAATTGAAGATCGATTGATGGTCCTACAAGCGTTAGTATAGACTGGATTTGCTGCATGGCTCGACGGGGTCTCATACCACAGTCTACATCGCGAGCCATCTTAAGTGTATACCTTATCTCCTGATCCAGTAAGGTGCGATCCCTATAGCCCGGTGACGGTTAGTATGATGTTCTTCGTGCTCAGGCCGTTCACGAGCCAAGAGCACACTCACTCGGAGTCCGGCTGCATTGCCAGGAGCATGATGATCTTATACTGCTCCAAGCGAGGCAGAAATGTCTTCTCCAGCAGATGTTTGCGGAAGTATGCAACGTTGACCCCGCCGGGCTGAAAATACAGCTCGATAGACTTGACAGTGGAGTCAAACCAGCTAAGCATTTCTGCTAAGGAGGAGAGACGGGCAGGGTCGACATGCCATTTCTCCTCGCCCCAGCTGATCTGATTCTGGATGCGATAGAGAAGATCCAAAATATCGGACAGCAGAGTCAGTGCTTTTTGAGACGTTTCCTGTGAGTCTCGGCCCGAATTAAGACATCGCATGGCTATGCGGGTAGCCTGGGTGGTCTGGGCAAGACCCGCACGAAGCGTTGTGATCTGGACCATGATGGCGTTTGGGGCGCGCGTGCGTGTGGGTGTGTGCTGTTGAACGCTCTAAACTGTATCTCTGCGCCCCCCGGCTCTGCTGCTTCTGTTACTAGGACTGCTCACACACGGTGGTGGCTGGGAGGTAACATGGATGCAATCGAATATGCGGAGATTGACGAGGTCGGCACCGCAGCCTGGATTGCTTTCAAAACACGTGCCGTACAAACCGTCGCAATTGGTGATCAAGGGACACACCACCGGCCAGGGAAAGTTGGAATCAACGAAATAAAAGGAGAAGATGTTGAGGAAAGAGATAGTGGAAAGGCTGTTCAGACCGTTTTGTTGTTCCAACAATTGATTCGGACCAGAAAGGCGAACCCACATACTTTGTACTAATATCAAAGCTAAGAGAAAGCCCGATCTCATTCCGGCACCCCGGCAATATTAGCTCGGTGGGCCATCCTCTTTAAAGACCTTCCTTGTCCAGAAAATAGACCAATGAAGCCGATGCAACAGGCAGACAACCTATCGATAGCCGCCGACCTTGTTAGGCTACGGCGAGAGTCTGTTCTTTCTCATACCAGGGCGTTTATGCACAATTCACTGGTTGCTCGGTTGAACGCCATAGTATCACACATTCATATATGTGTTCTTTTTGGTTACGGACAATTCAGAAATGTCGTAGCCAGCCTGCTCACGACTCTCACTCATATCCAGATGGCGTGCCATGAGGGAGGGGGTGGGGGTTCATGTGTAGGGTATGATGAGCCCACACTTTATCACACTACTTGAGTTGCTCCCCCGGTCCCGGGCGATCGCGATTGCACCCCTTCAAGCAGGACAGAGCCTTAGGGTGAGATAGTGTAGACGAAAAAATCAACACCAACAGCAAGAGTAACAGCAAGAGCAGCAACAGCAAGAGCAGCAACAGCAATGGAGAGGTAATTCGAGTGTTGCTTCATTTCAGCGAACAGACCGTCACACTGGAATGGACCTATTGACGGGCCATATTAACCAGGGAAGTGGGGAACGTGATCACCACCCGCAGGAGCCGAACCAGTCCCCACGAATGATTAGCCGCTGGGAAGAAGACCCCCGCTACTTACTTTCAGGACCAAACGCCAATGGCATCCCACGTACATCCTGGTCCGTGTGATAACCTTGTGTGAATTGGTAGGTGTCGCTGTTGTGCTGACCTCGACTCCCTTGCATCCCATCATCCTGCGGACTGCATGGAGTATCCCGGCCGGGGGAAAGGGGAGGGAGGGGAAGAGAGGGGAAGAGGAGAAAGTACTTCAGCCCAGTCCCAGATATGAAACACGCCATCCTCCAGTTGCGCGTGACTTTTACTGGCCTCTTCCTGACCGTAGCAGGATCAAGAGAGTCTGGTGTAGCTGGAAATATTGTATGGTAGTTGATGACAACAGCTCACAAGCCTAGCTCGCGTGAGCGGCTCTATGAATCTCTGAGGTGGCTTCACCTTCTCACGGAACAGGTCGCTCAGAGATTCGGGGCTTGATGAGCGATACACCGTAGCGACGAACAGTTTCGAGATTCCCTGTCGCGCCCTGAGAGAAAAGGGTCATATGGTACGGTGTATCGTTCGGCTAATGGGAGCATTACGTGGGACCTTATTTCATCATCTTATAGCCCCATGTGCCACGTAAAGTTTCGCCAATGAATCTCGCCAGATTATATCGCTTACGCAGCCTCGAGTGATGCTAGTAACCGAATTACCCTACGATCTTCATGTCTACTTTTGAGCTCTCGAACATGCGATATATTACTCTTCTCGTTTGGTTGCATCGTGTGTACAGTTGCTCATCTTGATTGATCAATGTGCCCGTTCCAATTGTTCATAGTCAGGGAGATCCAGCTCCCAGGTACCGGCTATAATAAAAACAACCAAAGCAACAAGCGAGGCGTGAGCCCGGCTCATCAGCGTACATCATGTCTAACTGTGTTGTACCTGCCACGGACAAAAGAGACATCATGTCAAGAGTTATAACACAAGAGGCTAGATGAGACAAAACAATTCGGGTAGTAGTCATAAAGTCGTTAGGTTTGGCACAGACAATATAAGAAAGTCCACAAGAATGAACAAAGGGCAGAGACAGTAAATACATGCGGCTGGGAGTCGATGGAATTGTAGACAACGAACTCATAAGGGTATCGAAATAGCCATACTCAGATGATAGGAGTGATGCCGATATAGGAAATTTTGGTGTAGGCGTGTAGAATTAAATAAAGTTTCCGTTGTGGTTGATAGACGTACCACTTTCGCGGCCCTTTCGAAGTGCCTTCGCGAGCATCAATTCTCTCATCCAGTCAATGCGTTCATCGCGTGACTTGACAGCGAAGTAATGCGCTTTGGGACCATTGACGAAAAAGCTTCTCTTGTCAAAGGTGCCATTCGTTGGGGAGGGAATCAGAGCGAACGTAAACGCTGTCTCCCCTTGAATTTCATCTTTGCGTTTCAGAACAGTCTTTTTGAATGCAGCGGTCAATTTCGAGCTGGAAGCAAACGAGGAGCATGCCACAGCATAATCATCAACGTCGATGTACTCGAGGGCCTTCGATTCTCGACTAGAGGATTGCTCGTCGGGATACATTGCCAACTGGGTGCCACGCAGAGTAAAGTGGTGGTCTTCCCAGTCGTGACGAAGAAACCGTGCATTTTTGCGCTTTTTCATCCACCCACTGTGAGCAACCTTGTTCGGCCCATGCGGTGTGAAGGGGGTTCTGCAATGAGCAGCACGTGGAGTCTTCTCCATATCTTCCGGAGTATCAATCGGTGGTAATGGTGACCGTTCTTCAAGTCGACCGAGCTTCGGCTGGTTTCGACTATTCCATACCATGCCATTCCTCCAGACGTTCTCTGCTTTCGTCGAGGCAGGCCGGGGAATCAAATCGGGAACATGGTGCATCTGTCCACCGAACCGCATGTTGGGGGGCACCGATTGCGATCCACCACGAGAAATCGGCCCTGCTGGAATTGCAGTAAGCGGAACATCTACCTCGGAGAATGGCGTGCTTTGACCGTAGTGAGAATCGATTCTGTAGTAATCAGACGGCGACAAAGTTGCCTCGAGAATACCCGATGATCGGACGGAGCTTTGCTGAGAAAAGCCCTGGTGCTTTCGCAGTATTGAGGGGGTGATGGTGCGCTGTGCGGAGTAGTTTGGCGAGAAAGTGGAGGTCGACGCATGAGTGCTGGGAATACGGAGTCTAGGAAGATGACGAAGATTCTCGGAAAGATTGCCACTGGCCTTGGCGGACTGCGGTGAGCTTGCGGCTGGCGACAATTGCTCAACGGGGGGAGTTGAAGGATCGGTTACCGGCTGAAGCTCACTCAATCGTTGGAAGTTGAGAAAGTTGCGCACATTCTCTTGTGGATCGCGAGGCCGCACACCATTGAGTTTGTCCTGTGACAATTGAAATTTGGAGTTCTGAACCTGACCCAGAGCATCGGACGACGCAACAATAGAAGGTGTGACTTCTGACTTTGGAGTTTTGGCCATGTTCTGCGCCGTAGCAGCATTTCCGGGGTCCCCTGCAATGACGACCGAACCACCTAGACCCTCAATGGGTAAGTCATGCAGCATCTTGGTGAGTTTTACCTGCTGCTTTTGCCATTTCCGACAGTTCTCGCCCTTTGAGCACATGTGGAGCTTGGGCAAAAGCTGCTCAATAGCCACGATCGAGACAGAATCTTCGGGAACGATATCCACGCCATCCCGCCGCTTGCGTTGACGTCTGCGTTGTTGAGCAGATTTGGACCTAGGCTTCTCGTCTTCGGGTGAGGGACTTGAGCAATCCACTCCAACCTGAGCTGCCATTGAGTTGGGGGTCGTTGTATCTTCTCTGCAGACCGGATCCGAATTATCTTGAGGGGCATCACAAAGCACCGATGTTGTTTTGGTACGGAGCTGACGGATGCAGCCCATAACCCGATGCCGCTTCCCAAATGATTGGATGTCAAGCTCCTTCAAGTCCTCGGATTGAAGCTCCAGTAAAATAGCGCCTGTGATATCATTGATGAAGAATTTCTCCACAATTGAATCCTCAAAGCCCTGACTTTGCAGCCATAGGACAACATCTTGAGGAGACCAATGCGAAACTTCCCGTTCGTTCGGCCTTGAACGATTTGGCTGAGCTTGGGATAAAGTAAGGGCATTCTGGGTCGGATTCTTGGGTACTGGCGTATCTTCTCTGTCGGGCTCAAGTGTGGAGGCTGAGCTGCAAAATGATATTGTGGCTGGTGCAGAGCTAAGATCCTCCATAGTCAACTCAACTTCAAAGGACTGTCCGAGTTCCGACCCATCAGACCCAATCCGAAACAGATGGGGTCCCACAGGACCCTTCACCGGTGTCTCATCGATTGCGAAATGGAACCCTGTAAGGCCGGTTGAATCCGGAGTTTTTGGTTCTTCTGGATTCGAGTCGGTCGGCGTTGATGCAGTTGTGACACTATCACCTGCGAGCTATAGAGATAAACGATTAGCCCGACAGTTAGCTTGATGCCGTCCGCGCATGGGACGTGGGGATAAACGTCTAAGCGTACCGAACCAACGCTGAGATTAGGGGAGATGTCGGAATAGTCTTCATTCGAGTCAGAATCGAAATCCGTGTCTAGAATCTCTGTCGATTCGGTATCCGACACGGCTAAAGACTGGAAGTAATGCATTTTCTCGATAATTGTTGCTTCTCTGATCCCTGAGCAGAATGAGTAATGCCCTATATGTGCATATGAAGGCGGAGGAGATGTCATACTAGACTTGTGTCTGGACGAGGTTCAGGAGAGACTCCAAGCCCAATGCTCCTGGATCCCGCCAAGAGCAATGTGCTTCTACCTCGAATTATCTGTTATGAAAGTATTCAAGTCTTCTGAACAAAGCAATCCTATGCTAGAGACTCAGTGACGGCTATGGCGTGTAACACTCGAGGCGGTTAGGATTCGGGTCGAAGGAGGTATGATGACGCTATTGAGATTGACTCGATCGAGGTATTGTACAAGCAACAGTACATGGCCTCTTTCGCCAGGCAATCTTCGTGGAGGTGAGAGAGGGGATAATTAGTAGACGGAGAATCACATCCGAGGGGGAGCAGAGATTCGACACGTATATGTAGAACCAAGGCGGCCAAAATACCTCCCAGCTGGGTATAAAAAAAGAACAGAGCACGACCAAGGACCTAGGGTACGATCGCAATGAGTGGCCGTTGTCATGAGAGAATCGATGGATGTGACAGTTTGAGCATGCACTTGCATGAGGCGGGGAGGAATGGTACTCATCGAATAGATCACTGTCGCCTTGTCCCGACTCCGGGTGCTGAGAAGTTGATTCGTCGCTCTTCTGTAACCTGGAATTATGCCAGCGCTTGGAAGGCGGTCGCCCAGGGCTCATTGCTCCGCTCATTGGCTACAGGCCATGAACCTACGACCTTGCACCCCAGACGGTCCCGATTTAGCATCTTCTGGGAGGACCGTGGCCATGGGCACACAAGTGAAGAGGGCTCAACACAATCTCACTGGCTCGGTAAAGGGCGCTACTACTGTGATGACGGGACGACAGAGTGACGGGAAACGGGGTTGGTCCGTCGTGGGCAGACACTATAGGCACTAAAGGCACTAGAGCAGCCGGCTTTCACCTTAATCACCTCAGATCATTGTGCAACGATAAGAATAGCTACAAGAAGAGGTTTTGAGTGTGTTTCCTACCACGATGGGCGGTTAAGGTCTCCAGGAATAGCATCTTCTCGGAACTATGCTGGGGTGTCGGTCAGTGCTGCTCAGCACTGGACCGAATTAGAGAGTGCTCGGGTGCGGCTTCACCCGGGAAACCAAGTAGGAGTACTAGGAGCTTTGACACAATTACCCCTCACGGTAATCTACTGTGACAGCCAGCTTTTGTGACTCAATCTCGATCGAACTTCCTGGATGGCTTTGTCTCACCGCCTGTTTTACATGCTGGTTTGATCCTAAACTCAACGCAGCAACTGTCTAGATTGCCTGCCCTCGCTTTCATAGATTCGCCGGCACAAGGGAGAAGGGAAAATGCCCGGACTTTCTTGCAATCTCTTCTATCTCGAACGTGCGATGCTGATTGAAGCAAGAGAAGGCAATATAAACCATCAAAGAGGTGTTCATAAGATAGTTTGCGCAGAAAATAGCTCCTGCCCACACTGGCAGAGATTACGAATCAGCAATAGCTGTAAAGTGCAATATGTACGGGCACCTCACAGTAACTAGTATACTGAGGAAATCAGATGCTGTCTTTGCAGTGCTGACATAAGCAGGCTAATGCGCAATGTGCAGATGCACCAGTCATGTGATATGAAACGCGGCGGGCTGTGCTTCCCTTTCCCTTTTAACTTATAGTCGCCAGTCTTCCAAGCTGTGCTCCTGTTCCCAAACTTCTATTGCACTTGAAGTTGTGACCTCAGAGCACCCAACGAAGCTTCTCCTGCATCTCGTGAGCGTTTCACTATTCTGCTTGATGATAGATAAGTCAACTACCACTACTATATGAAGAACAAAGGGGCAATTTTCTCTATTTCATACGATGAGTGCGACATGACGAGAACTCGTGCTTGTCAAACGCACATTCAAGGCAGAATTTACGTACCCACACTTTCACCACCTCGATTGCAGACGAGTATCTCGGTGAGTTGTTTAAATGGAACATTTTGAAATGCGGTTCAGGGACAGAAAATCTGCAATTGGAGTGGAAGCAGATTATTTTCCGATACGTACTTGTGAAAATAGGGCTGAAAATAAGCGGTAGCACAAAGGACTGTATAATCAATAGAATGGTTCATTTTCTTCTGCGTCATTGGAATCTTGGCAGCCATCTTTGAACGATGCAATCTACAGCCTGAGCCAGGAGAACAGTCTCTCCTCCTTTTCTAGGACTTACAGAGCCCAAATAGTAGTACAGTAAACCTCAGTCCAGCTCTGGATTATAGATCTCTGCCATACGACATATTGCATGGCAAGCAAGCCTTCTCAATATCTCTGATCAGCAAAGTCTTGATACGGCCTGGCCTTGCGATGATTAAGATCCTTAGATCAAGATCTTTTGCGTCATAGTGGATTCCGATAAACGGGTAAAGTGAACCCCGATCTCGGCTACGCAGCCTTGTGCATCCCGACCTCTCCACTTCGAGACGAACCCGTGTTCTAGAAATGTACTCGGTCAACGATGCCTTCCCCAACATGTTTTCCCAAATGGCATTGCGCCTGAAGATGGCACACTACTCCGGCGCTGACTGCATGTCATGTCACGAGCGCAGAATTTGAGTCTTGAGATAGGACGATAGCGTGTCGCATGGCTCTCCCGGATAAGAAGTCTCGATGGGAGGAGCCGCTAGCGCGTCAACACTCACGGCGTATCCCTCTTCTCGGAAAGCGTGTCAAGCGTGTCAAGATCTAGTCGCTGGCACAGAATACCAGCAGTGTGGTAAGCTGGGTGGACTTGGAAAAGCAAACCCCCCAAGGCTCTGCATTGAGAAGATAGGTTGCTAGATCCACGTCTACAAGGTACTAATTATGTTTTTTCTGCGCTTAATTTGCTATTCACAGGCGTGTGATTAGCTGGTTCGTTCGATCTAGTGCGTTATACTTGGAAGGGTCCTGAATATTCATGATGCGTCCACCACATGGAAGACATTAGTGTGACGAATCATGGGACGACTATAATTAGAATGCCGCCGAACCCATGAGCTAAAAATATAGCAATAAGAGGTCAAGAATGCCTAAAAGGGGAATTAAGCGGTTATCTTGGTGCTAAGCTGTCTAATATATGCTTCATTAGCGCTCAAACAAGCAATTAAGTAGAGACTCTTAAGGTAAGTTAGTGGGCGGTTAATAGGGTTACTAATTAGGGGATCATGCAAGAGCCTTGGACTACTATTCAGGTGCAGCAGACAAGGACAAATTGAGAGGGGAATCTTATCAATACCTTAGTACCTAACTTCTTAGCTTTTTTCTGCACGGGCCACACAGCCAGAGTCGGTTCTTGATTGGTGACGGATGCTTGAAATGCTGCTTAGCGCCCACAATCCCAACCCACCGAGCCGCCGATGGCTGGCCACTCCTACCAATGATGCTGGGGAGGGAGAAGCTTGGCATGCACCTCTTGCATCTCTTTCACACACTACCTTCTCTAACGTCGTTTCAGCAGTCGCCCAATGGCTCTCTAAACAGGAATTCTGGTGCCGTGACTTATCTTACGACCAATGAATAGTGGCCCTTTCCCAGTCTGGACAGGGGGTCATTGGGTGTTTTGTGGCAGAAGGCAGACAGTATCTCCAGTACCTTCAGTCTCTCGCATTCAGCAAGTCACCTTCCCCTACAGCGAAGGAACCGGCAGAAAAAAGCTGCTATAATAGCTGTCGACGAGAAAGCGAGTAGTGTGAAAATCTGATGGGCACAATGACAGGAACCGGGAATGCAGTCCACTTTTTAATTCATGCTTGGGGAAGCGCGAGGGCAGACGACTAGGTGCAGACCCTGACCAGGGACCCCAGTACTTTTCTGCGTCCTAATTTGATGCGAACCCCCAGGCACCTCCAGACCAAACGCTCCCAAATTTAGCTCTTAGTCGCCCACTAGTTGTCGCTCGTAGTCAGATCTTCCCCGCCCGCGGTTTGCATGTTGGTGCCGTCCACTGCATTTTCAGTTTAGCTCTACCGCCCACGTCAAAAAATAGAAGCATCGTAGCATGACGCTTTATCGCACGCTAGAGACATAAAGGTACACCCTGCTCCAGAAGATATTAAGACATCATGTTCGACACCAGCTGGTTTGAATTCAAGCCTCGCAGTCGTCGACAATCTCCGGTCTTCAATCTATACATTCCTGGACAACTTCAATTTCTCTCGCACTCTTCCCCTAGGCTGGCTCGTGCAGAGGGAGTCGGATTTGCATTGATACACTTATAATTGGGACTGTGATCTACCTTGAAGCCGGCACGGACTACCGATCTTGAACACACGGCACTTCGGAAACAAATCCCCGCATTTATTATGTCAGGCACAGTAGCATCATCGTCCAGGTCAGGGCCCATCTGGGTGAACGACAACTCTATCGACCCCACTATACCCCCCTTGAGTCCCGGCCAAAGAATTGTCAGATCCTACCGACGCTCACGTTCCGGTCAGTGCCATCGACATCTCTACGCGACTCACTCTCTTGGTCGCGAATGGGTTGAATATGCTGAGTACTCTTTCACATACACATGGGCTGACACCATGTCTCTGTGCAGGATGCTATACATGTCGTCTGCGGCGTAAAAAATGCGATGAGAATCGTCCAAGGTGTTCGTCATGCAGCAAGCTTGATATCACATGCGAGTACAATGAACCAACCTGGTGGAGAAATGTCGAGCTACGACACGTACACATGCAGCGGATCAAAAGGAGAATCAGGGTCGGCAAGGTTATGGAGAAGGAGAAGAACCTACAAGGTATGTTGTGAGACTCTGTTCGAACTCAGTCGAATTGGTTTCCCACACACGTTGCAATAGATTTCATTGATCGTACTCTTCCTTCAAGTAAGAGGCGCGTCAATGTGAATATGCCTCTGTCACGAGAAAGCTCTTACGAATCGGACACCCCATATATGCCCACTCCAAGCCTACCGTCAATGTCTTCTCCATATGGCTTCGACTTCAATGACTTTCCGTCCTGGCAAGATCCGACTGCGTCTTCCTTCACTAGCGTCGCGCCCGAGCAGATGCCAACGCAACTCCCACCGTTCTCTGCACTCCCTCAGCCACTGCACACGGCGCAAACCCTCCAGCAGATGTCGCAGTATTCGTCGCTACCACCTCCGGTTCAACACACAATGCAAGCTGTGCCACAGCACATGCACCCACAAGTGCCCTTGGAAATTACTCCGCATTATTCCCAGGCACAGGTGTCGCAGCAACTACTTCAACAATCATCCTTGCCACAGCCATCGGGCTCGTTTTCCCAGACTATCGGTGCACAGTATCCCCACCAGCTACACCAAGATGTTGTACCGGATATTTCTCAATTGGTTTCCCCGCCATTTACGCAGCAATTTGGCTCACAAGCCCTTCAGAATTTTGCCTCCCCCCAAGTTCGTCAGCAGAACCAGCAGTCGATCTCCCAGGCTTCTTGCTCATATCCCGCCTATCAGATTGACCCTCGACTTGAGGAAACAGATTCCCACAACTCTGCCAGCAGAGCCTTCCCAACCGCTGGGCCGAGCCAAGGAAACTTACAAAACTCCCAGGCTATCACCAGCACGAAATACACACATCTGCAGCATGACCAGCCTTTGTCGGCCTACTTCCAATCTACAAGCGTAGATGAAGCTGAACGACCGCTACTCTATCATTTCGTCGACAATGTCCTACCACTGATATTCCCCATTCTTGAAATCCATCCGCGAAGCCGTTCCCGCTCACGCGAAATCATTCGAGCACTAGAGACAAACAAATCCTACTATCACTGCTGTCTTAGTGTGTCTGCTATTCATGTCAAGACGGTGAACGCTGGCGCAAGTTTGACTGCTGATAATAAAGTTGTTGACGATATCATGCGCCATCGGTATGCGTCAGTTTCGGCCCTGCATCAGGCGCTGAAAACCAATAACAATCACGACAAAGTGCTTGATGGAACACTGGCAACAATACTTTTTCACTGCGCCGTTGGTGAACCGGATGATTACTTGCCGGAAATCCCGTGGTATGAGCACTTTTCGGCAGCTGCAGATCTCGTCAATAAGCTTGGATTAATCGAAGCGAAGCCCGAGGTCCCGCTACCGTTCAACATGTCTCTTACGACATGGATTGATATTCTTGGCGCGACGATGATAGGTCAGTCACCCAAGTTTGCGCACACATATCGCTCAAAGCATCTGAATGGTGTATCCACTGGCCTGCGGGAGCTCATGGGCTGTGATGATCGCGTGATGTACTTGATCTCAGAGATCGCGTGTCTCGACACTTTGAAACGGGAGCGACGGCTTGACGAATATTCTATCTGCCATCACGTATCTGCCTTGAGTGGACAACTAGAGTATGCGGAAGGAAGTAGCCCGGAGGACCCGTGCTCACCATCTGGTCTTGTGATTCCAGAAAAGCTGACCAAGAACGTGACTGCCGTGTTCCGCGCGGCGGCTCGGGTTTATCTTTCCACTCTCGTGCCCGGCTATGAGCGCACTCAGCAAAGTACAGCCAACCTGGTGCAAGCGGTCGCCGACCTCCTTCAATTCATCCCCGATGGGCCCTGGGGATTCGACCGTTCAATCGTTTGGCCTTTGCTCATTACAGGAGTGTATTCGACTCCGGGAAGTCAATTCCGCGACAAACTGGCGACACGATCCGAATTACTTGGGGAAGGGGCAGAGTATGGCAGCTTTGGCCGCATGTACCGCGTACTGAAAGAGGTTTGGAGACTTTCAGATGACATCACGCCCCAGATTTACACAGAGGCAAACTACCTGCTGCCTTCAATGAATCTTAAGCAGGGGCCGAATGGAGCTTACGTTCCACCACCCGCGATCAAGACAATCGGCCGGCCCATCAAGAAGCAAAAAGTCCATTGGCGAGACGTGATGAAGAGGCGTGACTGGCACTACCTGCTTCTATAGACTGTGCGACGCATGCATAGAATCCAGAAAAGATTGATTTGAGAAGGCAACAGCTCTGTATGTCCGTCTCCTTGCTCATCCTTTTGCGTCCGTCGAGAAAACTAACATCTCACCCAGCGTGCTGCTGCTGCGGCATTACTGAATGGCTGGCCTTCAGGCGCATACGCGAGAGGCGTTCAGGAGTAGGGGGTTTGTTATTCTCAGCTTTCACATAAACGTTATTCCTTGTGTCTCCTGCTTCAGCTCAGTACTTGCTTCTGGTTCGCGTCTTATCTCTACGATCTTCATTCTTCGCAGAACCTATGGCTTGAAGCCATATGCATTGTGTCCTTATTCATTCTCTCTATCTCTCAAAAGAGCGTTGCGGTCCAAGGCGCAAGAAGAGTAACTCTTCCGCCTTCGCGTATCTGATTCCCCGGGTGGCACAGGTGACCGGCGGTTATCTGAATTTCACATAGCGAGAAGACGCCGCATCATGTATAGCGCGTGTCGCTGGTCCTGTTCTCTGCGACATGCAAAGATTTGCGCGCGTGCTTTCCATCCAGCAAAGTATATTGATTCGATGCTTATGACTTATGTTGATGTTGGTTGTTGGTGTTGGATATGTCTATAGTTGTTCAGCCTAGCTTATGAATTTTGAATATATCATTGTTTCCTTTACCTTTCATGTCCACTATCCTTCGACATGTGTGTAGCGTACCCCGTGGATGCGCACTCTCACATGGCACTTTGAATCTCAGATAATTAACGTCCCGTTATACTTGTACACCGTTGCTTGGTAATCTTAGCAGGAGATAACAACTTTACTACTCTACACATCTCTCAAAAAGATCCTCTCTCCGCAGCGCAAATACAACCGATCTTGCTGCGATTCTATCCGAAGGAAACTCAGCGCGATTAATTCCATGGATAAGCGCATTAAGCGGAAAAGTATAGAATCAAAACTCTCTTTCATGCTCCTGAGCAGCATGATCACGTGCTTCTGAGTCGTTCATATCGACTCTTATGTTGAGATCTGAGCTACACAGAACAATAACCCTGGCTTCTAGAAGACATCTTGTTATGCTTCTTGGTCTAGTTGTGGATATTTCTGATATATGTTATCTAGTTGAATTAGCATACTCATCGACAGCTATCACCAATTCCCAAGGCAATAGCCTCAGCAGAAAAATATATATAGACGGATCGATTCAAAAAATAAATATATAAACAGGAATAAAAAAAGTTAGACACCAATTACCTCTCTCGGCGGCCATGAGATGGGTAGAAGCATCAAGTTGAGAGCTCAAAAACACATAGTAATGATACTCACTACCTTCCATCGCATCTTGGCTGCTCGAACATACAATACTTATCGGCCGCTTAGCGTATCTCCAGTGAGCTGATATTCTTTAGGCACTACACCATTACATCTGAAAGTGGAAGAAAACGAGTAATGTGAGTTCATATAAGTTTTATTTTTCATTTTTTTTTCTTTTGCCACCGTTGCTGGACTGAGCTCTATGACTGCCCGGGGTGGAACATGTCTGGATGGTGTAGCTGCTTAGTATGAATGACAAGCCAGCACCTCAGAACCGCTTTCGGTGACTGCCAGCTGGGCCTCCTGAAGTAATACGGGGGTGAAGAGGAAGATCATTCTTGCATTGCACGAGTAATAATGTTTCTAGTCAACTCCATCCCATCGGATATGTTCTTACCCGTAGCCCCTAGTGATTATTGAGGGCGAGCAGAAAAATGGCCATGAGAAAGAGAGACACGTGCTGTGGGAACTACATGAGATGTATATCCTCAAGCATGAGGCAGCCTCCCTCTAGGACAAGAGAATCTTGACCTCCATTGTAGTGGACCAGAAGCCTAACACGTCTGTTTGATTCCGGGCCTGACTTACGGTAGTATTGCCGATGATCCTTGTCAAAAGGTCTGTCAAAAGCCTGTCAAAGTTTGACTGAATGAAATGAGCTCAGTCTTGGGCTTTTTGTCTTAGAGTCTAAGAAGTACAGCAGATCAATGTTGCTGAGTTCTGATGTTCATAGCTGAAATTCACCCCAACCTGTCTCGTGTGCTGCGGAGACCATGTCTGATACAGTATTTTGAAGGAAGCTTGACTAGCTAGTTATTAAAGCCACTAATCAAGGACAGAAGGCTGCCTGGAAAGTCTTCAAGTCTAAGTTTCTCTAGCTGCATCACCAAAAGTGCCCATGGCACAGGAATAATCAAGAAGCCGTGTTGGAAGGTAACGACCATGCTGTAATCAATAGCTTACGATAGTCTAGCGACTTTTATATTTCGATGCAAGCGAATGTCAGAGCTGCAGGGTACGAGACTGTCAATTCTTCAAAACCAGCCTAAGGTAGTTGGGGCTTCTTGATAGTCGAGCACAACAAAATATCAGATAGCTCCGTGTTCTAGTTTCGAGACATCGCGTTCAGTGCTTCCTGAGGACTAGAGGCTAAGACAGCCTGAGTGACAACTTGGATACTGTCTTGATCGAGTACTGTAGGTGGGCAGTGTTAACATACACAAACAAAGCAGGATAAAGATGAAGGTAGGGAGAAGTCAGAGCAGACGTGCTGTCAAATCACTCAAATACAAATCCCCTTTCCGATAGCAACACGATTCATAAGAAAACGTTTCTATTGCTGCACATAATAGCATTGCCAGGTGTTGCAACGGCCAGGATGGCGGTTAGGAGACCAACTGATTGACATTGAGTTAGTTTGGAATCATCTGGGCCAGTTGGCAGGGTCCAAATAATTATCAAAGAACTCAAAATCGTTTCTAGGCTTGCCTCATTTGGACCCGCATCATGCAGGGGTGAATAGACAATAGATTCAGTCTGCTACCACTTGGTGATCAAGAGACCGAAGCGCCGACAAGTGAGGCTGTAGTAGAATGTCCTAAACTCTTGAAGCATTCCGCGGGTGAAAAGCATCGATAGCACATCCTGTGAAAAGTTTGAGTATCCGGTGGTCTCAAAGGAAGCCAAGCAGGTCCAATCCATAGACGTTGACATTTCAAAAACTCGATTCTTCTGAGAGAGACCATATGGCAGCTAATTTGAAACTTCATAAGTTCGTCAAGAGTGTGCTTAGCCTTTACCACAGTGACCAAACCGAAGAGGAGGAGTCACTTTTGGCACATAGAGGCCGGAAGAGCATGGATCAGCTATTCTGTGCTGCATCAAACATCGTTTGACACGACCTGCATCGAGTCATCTCATCTGAAAGTGAGCAGAACCTTCCCTTGCAGACTAGAAAAGATGTTCAGAAAATAATCACTTTGTCCCGTTTCCAAATTTAGGCCCTCATTAGGGACATATTTGAAACATGATTCGGAATGAGGTATCTCCGTTGGCTTTATTCCACGAGTAAACCTCAGTCTCAGAGTCCCTGAATATACCATTAGTCCAATGAGAAAGTGGTGACAGGCTGATCAAGGGCCGGCCAAAAAGACACCTTGCACGAACCACGGTACCATCGTCAACTAATTGGAGAATTCACCTGCACCCATTGGGTGCGCACACTGGGTTTCGTTGACACGGCGTCTATATCCAGCAGAAAGCATGCATCAGACTTCGGGACAGCGCAGTGCACCCCAGATGGGCGGCTATACTTCTGCAGAACCAGGGTTTCCTTAGCAAAACATGAGGTAGGAAAGCAGGGAGTGGTATGCTTGAAGACCCAGGGGCGGCGGCAAGAACCACGCGCCCATATCAGAAAGATCTAGTATGTTCAGGAGCCGCGGCGATGCCGCTGAGGCTGGCAGACTTGAAGCGCTGTCTTGAAAATCGATCGAGAATTGACGATGGATTCGTGGACATTGATCGAGGGGATTTGCTTCTCGTGCCGCGCGATAACACGGGGTAATGGCTGGGTTTTCAATCTGTCTAGCTCAGCGAGTGTAGGCCTTGAAGCTTGATGCATATAAGGCAGGATTGCCATAGCAGCAGGTGATGGTGTACTCTTTCAAGATAATGCAAGAAAATTCGTTCTTGAGTCGATTCCGCTCCTCCTTTCCCCGCCACCGTTGGCAAGAACAAGTCGCTTCCTCTCTCTGAATCGTGTCAGTAGACCTTGGACTCCAAGTTTGGTGCCTGGAACCAAGTATAGAACGTCAGAATCCGCACACGGAAACTCCGATTATTCTTTTTTTTTTATTATCTGCAATTATCGAGGATTGAGGCAGTGAAGGAAGGTAAGTCAAATGGTGTTGTCCTCCTGCTGTTGCTATTTTGGATTGGGGAGGGAACCTGGTCGCGCTAACGTGAACGGGGCTTAGAACCGACTTCGCCCCAGAATTGCATCCACCTCAAATACTGTTTTGTTCTGAAACCGTTCAATACGCTTATACATGTATCTTACGGTTTTCGTACGATAAAAACTGAACCTTCATATTCCTGAATCCACCATTTGCTCGACAACCCTTTTTGGGAACATCCACCGTGGGCACAGGACACACTGCTATAATACTTTTCTTCTTCCCTGCTTTCTGACTCCGATATACTGTTTCCACACACAAGATTGTTGACCAACTCAATATCCTTCGACGTCCCTCCTTACTCTCCGTCCTCAGAGGATCTATACAGATTCTCCAATACACCTTCTTCCACTTCTTCAACCTACCTAGTCTGCTCCATTCATATAAGCATTACTCCACATCCTGATGGCTCCTCGACCAGCACTCTATCCTCTCAAGACACCGAAGGGGGTGACTTTCCCTTCTGAGCTTCAAGATGACCTTCCGTTCGGGTCAGAGATTAACCAGCAAGACGCAGGAGATGGACCTTCAGTATTACCTCCACAGGCATACACAGACTTTCTAAGGGCATTGAGTCCTGTATATGCAGGATCAGAAGGACTCAATGCCAGCTATACGAAGTGGATGATGAGCAAGACTCTGCCCTCTCCTGTCTCATTGCCTTCGACAGCCAGCACCTCGTCGTTCCCCGGCGATGGTGAGGCGAAGACGAGCCCAACATTAATCCCACCATCTCCTGTCATTTCAGCTCGACCATCAAAGGAGTCTAGCTCTTTAAGACGTCTACGTCCATTGTCACAATATCCCTACTCTCCCATTTCCGCCGAATCTCCTCGGAGCCCGTTCACAGTACGGCCTCCATATTGCCCTGCAGATCGCAGAGCAAGAAGCATTGACACAACAAATGCCTCGAGCGGACGAATTATCACTATTCAACATATTGTCACGCGCACGGTCACCCTGAAGCGCACACCTGCGCTCGAGGCGCCACCTAAAGGCAAACGCCGCAGGACCAGCGACTCAGAAGAGCAGTGAATCTGCTTCACAAGCCTTACGACCATGATCTGAAGGACCCAGCCTATTCTTCTTGTTGGATGTTGGAGTTCTCGGATTGTTACTTGTTCTTTTCTGTGCATTCAGCTGTATGCTTGCCTTTCGATGCGATACTTTTGGATCCCAAGTTATGCATTATCGGGTTCTGAGTTTTTTTGACGACTGCTAGACAAACACGCATCCAGATCCTGGCGATTAGGATTGCGAACAATCAGGTGATGAGGATTGGAGTTGGAGCACTGCATAGTATTGGGTTCTTGTTGTCATTATCATTGGAAAACGCCGTGTCTCTCTTTGCGACTGCTTCGAGATGAGTCCATGTTCTCTATAGTGGGTGGAAGGTGGGCTTGGGCCCTTGGCGTTGGTTGTCTGACTCGGACCTTAAAGAGCCAATTGATGTGAACATATCGCTAAAGCATGTTGTTAATCGATGTGGGACCAATCAGATTCTATAACTCAATGTTGGCAATCGCTTAGCCCTGGTAAAACTGCCGCCATCTTGATCACAGCGTACAAATCAGAGTCTGGCAGATGCCGATTGAGATTCCTTTGACGCCATGAAGGATCTCCATGGCGTACACCCCAGCTTCCCTTTCCCACGTGTCTACCATCCGCCACTCGTGGATGTGTGTCGTACGTAAGAGCTACCTCTCTTATCTGCGTGGCACCTGTCAGACAGGATTGGATTGTGGCTTATGGCGGGTATCTAAGGATTGTTGCTCAAACTTCGCCACCGAGAGTTACCGCGAGGATCCAACGTTCACCAAACACAACTTATGAGCAGCACCAAATTGAGCTTCTGTCAACTGAGTCCCAGATCCGTTCCCCCAGAGTAGAGAGGTAGGAATCTCACAAACAATCCTGTGGTATGGTCTCGGCGCGAATGTATTGATACCACCTCTGATACATGCCAAGGCTGATATGCCCGTATTACTGTAGTATTACATGTCTGTAAGTGCTGATTGCAGTAAATGCTTATACTTGACTTAACCTGCCTGGCTATATACAGCACAGCACCGATGACAGAGTAACATTCGCCGCAACTCATACTATGACTATGGTTCAAGCTTTCGCTTCTTGACCAAGTTTTCAATGTGTGCAATCGAGAAATTACTGAAGTGTCACCATTGAAACAAGTCTCACATCCTCCCAGTCTCCACGATACAAACTTGAGGTATGGTATACGTCAGGGAACCTACTATCCCCCCTCTTCCCACCACACATGCATGTGTCATGTACCAAGGATAACCGTACGTCGAGGATATCAGGGTCCACAGCAGTCGCATGGATCTAGCTGCGATGGATTCTTCAAGCTTGCCCGGTGGGTCTCGAACCATCTGGAACAGGCTATGATTTGCGCGTTTCACCATGATCTCAGTCCCTGGTGGCTCTAGTAGCACCTAGTCCATGCAGTGTGGCGGACCATCTGGCGGAAGAAGCTTGATGCCCGTTGATATAGACAGGCCTAGCATTGGCTAGGGTTTCGATGCGTTGCATTTGATGACCAGGCGTCGGTAGGAGCACATGAATGTCCTTGGAGGCACACCTAAAAAAAGAAACAGGTTTATTGACCGGAGCGTGCCAGCAAGAATAGTGTCATCTTGTCCTATCATCTGGCGTTCTTGTTGTGGTCGCCTGTTGCGAAGAGGGCATTAAGGCAGCTAGCCATGAGAAGCATCGCAACTCCCCCGACCAATGGACGCCCGCAATAGCAACTGTAAGCTTAGTGTTCAGTCATCGATAAACTAGCGTCAGTGAGTAATAAAATCTGGAGCTTACCTATAATCAGCGCAGCGTCTCCCAAGTGGGTGATTGGGCGGATGGGCCCTGCCGTGCGGGGGTGACAAACGTGACGCGGGACAAGGATTATGCATCTTCACATCATCTGGTTGGGCGCCTTTTGCCCCTATCAGCTAGTACCCTGCAGCATCAGCTAAAAAGCAGGGTGCGGGCGGCATCCATATGCTATTTTTGGTCGAGATGAAATCTCCCCAGCGATGATATGGCCAAAGCACAGTCCGCCAATGGTCGCGCCTGGTCAACTTGAGTGATGCCATGGCCTTTTCCCTGCTAGATTGCATATTCTCTGCGATAACGTATCAGAGTACAGGATTCCCATTTGATATTCTATTCTTGGACCTCTCTAGCCGCCGGCTTGACCCACCGATGCACCGTGGTTGAGATAGTAGTACTACCTGACTAATACCGAGACAGTGGTCTTCAAACAACCGTTAGCCGCCGAGGACCACACCATCAAACCCTGAAGAAGCCAAATTTAGAACACGCTCAAACTACTGCTCGCCGACAATTGCATATCTGGTCATCTTATTCCCTCTTCACCAATCATCATTCTCGAACGAACAATCTCTCCAGCGCCGGAGTCACTCGCAAGCCAGCGGTCATGCACTATCGTCCCTTTCATTCGTCCGTTGCAGTGCGAGATACAGAAATAGAAACTTCCCATCACACTGATTACTAGCCAGCGACCCCAAGGCCCTGGCTACTGATTGCTGTTCTATTTCTGTCACCACTCGCGCCTTCGTTTCAAGATGATAGCCTGCAGCTTTAGACTCAACCAAAAGGCCCTGTCATTCCACATTCCATTCGGGGACATGCAAGTCTCAGGGCTGATCCCCACTTCTGGGAAGACCCACTGCAGCGCTTCGGAAGACAAGGGAAGCCTACGTGGTGGGGAACTAATTTTGGAAGCAATTCAATCTCAACCTCATGTCTAGACGACTACCATGGCCGCTCGATTATTGCACCTATACCTCTGGTGTTAAAGTAGCATTAGATGACACGAGACTCAGTGTTTTTAGAATCATCAAACTTGAAGGACAGAAAGAACGGGCTATCCGTGGAGGAGAAAATTTGCCTCATGGATTAGATGCACAAATGCTAGGAAACATAGCAGAGAGTGTCTACAACGTGCTATAAGAATCGTATTCATGCTAATCCAATAAGCAACAAGCATCGATTGGGGACGAATTGGCACCTGTGTGCGTCACGCTGCATGGCGGCGGCTTGCTAGGCACAAGCATACCGGTTTATAGGCGACCTTCACTTATAGTGTGATGTTATTTTCGTCTCCAACCCAAGATATGGTTACTATTATTATTCTTATCCCAGACAGACTAATTGCACTACGCATTGTCACTCTGCTTTTCGAATGCCAATTGGTTCAACGACAAAGGGTTACCAGCAGTATCGCTACCAAAATGCATCAGAAGATCTAACTCCATTCTGTTCTTCCCATCTTTCCTAAGCCAAATTAGGTCTAACCGGCTTGACTTCCCGGCTGCAGCAAGCCTCCAATCTTAATTCTACTCAAATCAAACTCTTTGTTCCAGCAATATCGGCCACCTTTATTTCTCCTACCGCACGCAATGACCGCATTGTCAAATCCCATTCTCCCTACCTGTCGGTTTATCTTCTTCTTTCGCTTGCTTTTTTGGCTTTCACGCCCCCTCCTCCGCGAGATAATTATAGCAATCTACAGCGAAGAAAACGACAGACTGCACTCTAGCACTCTGCATCTCTAGCGCTTTTCCGCTTCTTCCCACCGTCTCCGCTTCCCCCCTTCACATCTAGCTCCCTCTATGGCATCAATACTCAGTGTCCAGCATCTTACCATGTCGATCAGTATGGTACGTACAGTACGGTATGATACACTACCTACAGTCCTTCTATCCATAGCTTTTTAGTTCGCTTATCTTGATACTACCATCGCATCTAATTTCATTTCCCCAGTATACTAACGCTCTCCGGACCCTTCACGTCTCTTGTGTTCCAAAGTTAAGGTCTAATTCTATTTTAAGACTCAAGGTGATGACACATTGTAGTTCTGTAGGCCGAAGTAGTACGAACCGCGCGTCTGCTTGACGGCGCATGGGTCTTTCCCTCTGAGGAGGACACACACCTCATCACCTCACCGACATTGGGATTTCCGTCGATGTCTACCGAACCTCGACGAGCGCATCACCCCATTGCAGAAGACGGCAAGGGCAGAAGACGGTACCTATCTTGCAACCCGACAAAAGAATGCTCCGCCCACAATCTCGACAATGACAAAACCATAGAGAGACCATTATGTCTCCTTGGATGGAGTATTCAGGATTCATCTCAACGGGCATCTGGATATATGACCAACCCGCACGGTCTTATGGCTAGGCGAGATAGCTCTGGCTTCTTCGAGCTTTCTCGGGATCAGCCATACCTCTGCATCATCGATGGCTGCGAGAAAAGATTGTGATATGTGTCCCGCAAGTACGAGACATCCGGGGCAACGACAGCGACACATCGCTATCGATGCTCGAACTAGGTCCCGTCTGCCTCCTGAGTAGGCTTGCGAACCATTCTTTGCACCAGAGCCCATGCGCATGATTTTATCCTGCATGTCCTCCGGCTTGCTATCGCATACTGGCCTGGCATTAGCATAGCAGTAGCTGGTTGATTTTGTAAGGAGAGGATTTCTCCACTGTGATGCCAACAGCCGCCAATCTCACTCACCTTCAGGCAAGCGATTGTAAGACCTGGGACCAATGCTTCTCCTCCTGGCGGCGACGAAAGCCCGCTTGCTTAAAAAATTTCTGCTCCAATGCGGATGGTAGTATCGCGTGCGACTAAACGGTGAATGGACTAGAAGCGACTGATGATTTGAGGTCCGGTCCTATGTCAGACTACCTCAAGGGGATAGTCAGTGACTCTCGGGGCTATATCCACATCTTTTGCTCTGAAGACGAATAATCTCGTGTGCATGACTGTCCAGATTGTTCTTCGTGCGAGACAAGATGTGCTCACTACCGTGTCTGGGCAGATTTATCGCCACAAAATGATGCTTAAGATTAACAGAACTGAGTAGTAGAATAGGACCCGGAGTAGACATAAACACCACACAACTTGTCAATCCTCTAAGAAACGAAGTCAAACTTAAGAATAGACGGAGAATCACCGATTTAATAAAATGCCCTATCTATACTTACTGGTTGCTGTCACACCGTACATACCTACCCCATTGCTGACCCCCAACTTACCCCATCATCCTAATAACAACATAAACCCACCCATCTCCATAGGCCGAACACCGCACCAACTCCTCCACCGGCGCCCCCATCGGCACAGCCGCCCCATGCAATACCGGCTTGGCCAGCACGGGCGTCCTCCGACTCGGAAACAAGTTCGGCAATAGCGCATGTAACGCCGACCCGATGGTTTGGACCTGTGGTGCTCCCCTCGCAGCAGCCATGACCGACTGACTCGCCGCGATACTCATCGTCGACGCGGTCGCCGACGACGGCGGGATGACCGGCGGGATCGGTGACTGAACCACCTTGAGAGACGGGGAGTCCGAGTCTGGCGGCAAGGGAAGGAAGAACCGGATGGGGACGTTACGGAAGGGTTGGTTGGGTGGTGGGAGAAGGATATTGCATATACGTTGGAAAGAGCCGAGGTCCACTGTTCATTCTTGTCAGCTCCCACTAGTTACTAGGAAAGGGTAGGAACGGAGACATTGAAAGCAATTGCATCAGGGGAGGGGGGGGGCGTTTGTCGACTAGGTCAAAGCGGGATCGTACCTTCTCGGACGGCCGTCCATAGCCCCGCGGAATCCTCCTTCGAGAGCGCCATGATCCCTTTGGCGGTACCGTTGCGCAGGAAATCTGCCTCCTTGACGCTATTAATGAACGCGTCGTGCATGACCATTCCGTCGGCGTCGAGCCGGACGAGCTCTTCGTTCGGCCAGTCGCTAAAATGCACAGTCAGACGCCAGGGGAGGGGATCCTCGTCTGCGCTGGAGAGGAGGTCGGTGTCGGCGCCGCCCTTGGAGGCCGGGTCTGCGCCCGCATAGAGATCATACAAAAGACCAATGGGGTAGTGCCATTTCAATGGGACCCCCTCGAAGGAGAACCAGCCTTCGTGGGGACTTGAGTTTGGGTGGATCAGGGAGGAAGCGAAGAAGTTCCGCAGTCTGGGGAGGAGAGATGGGAGGTAGGAGATGCGTGGATATGAGATCTAAAGTCTCTTGTAAGAGTTCGTTCTTCGAGAGGGAGGGAATCTTGGGTGAGATGATACAAGGTACGGATCCGTTTGGTCGAAGGTCCGGCTCTCTGATGGAGCAAGGCTGATATGCAGCGGCAGTTTGCCGTCCCAGACGGCTTTTTGAATACTGCTTAGCGATGCTTTGGCATCCATATTTGAGTGTGCTCAGATCCTGTCTACAAGACATTAGATATCACTTGTATACTTATCGACAAATGAGGATTTAAGGATTTGTTTATAGGGGTATACCTACTGATGATTCATCCACATGGAGCCGTGGGCCCAATCGACTAGTATCAAAGTAGTTTCACCCCACAGGATCAAAACATGGCCACCCAGCAGATGCTGACTGATCTCCAAGATAAGTCAAGTCAAGTCTTATCTCAAGAACAAGAGTTTATTGCTTTGATGAAAACCAGGACAAATGTAGTTTGGCGTCGATGGCAGCGAAAGTGATGGGGAGAAGCAAGAAGTCACAGGCGGATGTACGACCAACTTACCCAACACGGATTAGGCACCACGTGAGGGGCTGCCTGCCTGAGGCAGAAATGGTCTGCTATACATTATACCACTCTCCAACTGTGCTCGACTAGATTCAGCGCAGAACCGGAAGCACCAGCAAAAGCGCCCTTCTCAAGTTGCCATGCGATGTGCACGCGAGACAGAGACTTTTTATTGTGAAATCCGTAATCTCTTCATTCGGAAATGCCTGCTACTAGTTGAACAGGCACAACAAAACTGCAAGAGAACTACAAGACCTTGCAGCAGCAATGGTCCAGTTTCTCTGCCTCTCTGAAGAACCATGAGAATTATCTTCCCGAATGGCCGTCCTCCTCCATCGTCCTCGTAGTGGCCAGCTCCTGACGAGCTTCCAATACCTCGGAATATCACCTTGATTTGCGCCCAACGAGCGCGACACTTCCCAAGCCAACTTGAAAGGAAGGACTGCTTTGAATTCATTGTGACTTTTCTTCCTGGTCAATGACATAGGACGAGTCATGAGAGAACCGAGTCACAAGAGAACTTGAAGCCTTGCTCTGGCACCCGCTCCTCGTGTTCAAGATTGCCACACCAAGGGCTAGCATTTTTATCTCTCTCCTGAATCATACTTCTCACCCGAAGAATCAGCCTCCCCCATCACAAGCATGGCACTGCTCACCTGGACAGGATACCTTGTCCACGGAAACGATAGATGATCGTTCCAACCTCCTCGTATACAAGCCCGATATTCAAGAGCCCATCAAAGCACTGATCAGATCCCGTTGATGATTGGATAGATCGCAAATATCATCGCCACTACTAGATGAAACGGTGGGTTGCGTCGTCTATCGTTCTGAAAGGGAACAGATACTCGGGTGTATTCATACAAGCTACCTACACAGTACGCCTCCAAGAGAGTAGGCAAGATCTGCATGCGTCCGTGGACCAAAATCTGCAAGATAACCCTGTTACGAACTCGTTCGAATGGGTTGGTTGCATACAAGATTGCATAGATAAGAGCGACATCCGAGTCTAACCGACTGACGACGCGAGTTGGCGCATGCATAACCAAGCTGAACATAAGTGACCTCGATGTGACTAGCTTCTTGAGTCCTATTGTACTTGTTCTTGCATCGATGCAGGCAGCGTTTGACGCATGCTGGTTATGGCAAGACTTGCAGACGACATAGTTGCCTGATCAGATCAGTTGCCTTGCTTACCTCGTAGACTCTGTTGTGCTGCGCTGCTGTACCCTTCGAAGTAACTTTGCATTCGCTCACTATAGCAATGTGGGTACAGGGCACTTGGCATGCTCTAGTAATGACTCTATTGTGGGGGCGAAACAGCACGATCAGCGTGGTGCTTGAATCATGATTGTTCTACTCGCTACGAAATGCATGCTGCTCTCAGGTCGCATGACGCTAATGATCGAGGAGCAGACTATGCGTCTAACAGTCCTGACATGGGTTCAGCTTCACTTCTTTCGTGCTACGTCGAGGTTTCAGTGCCTGCTGGTCATGTCAGGGTCAACTAAGCATACTACCTTAGCGTAACCTTATGGTCGGAAATGCGGAATCACATCAGTTGTCCTCACAAGACCAGAGTCATAGGGCGAATGGCTCGTGCATATCGTCTTATGAGTCGTCAGCTAGTATGCTGCCGCTGAAACCCACAATTCAGCGGATGGGCCCGTGACCCGTTTTGAACCATGGAAACCACCAAACACACATGCATATCACATCACCGTCACCAAGCACGGCAGCTGAAACAAAAGTCCAGCCTGTGCTAGTGATCGAGTGCTGAGTGTTTGCGGATCACCACATGCGTCAGCCGAGAAGAACAACGCTTTCTGATCACATCCGCACTCGAACTTGAGCAAACAAGCTCATCGCAACGCTGTATTGCTTCAGCATTGTGGATCCCGTGCCGCATGATGGCAAAGTATGCTGCAAACACGGTGATGCCGAAAGAACACATGCTTGCTAGGACATGAGACATGCGCTAGTGTAGCGTCATTCAGTCCTATACCTGCGATTGTGTCTGTGAGCTCAACAAGCCGGGACCAGATATTTTAGGCTGACAAGATATGTTTCAGACATTTCAGAGGTGTAATACTAGTGCATTCATCTTGACCTCTATTCCTAACGTGGTAGTATGAAGCGAGCTTGGTTCACCCTCGGGACAAACAGATGGTGATTCAAAAGCAGTGGAAGTGATGCGCTCCAAGGCGAGCCCCGCCGTTCATGCACCATGTGAGCAAGAAATTCATTATATCCACTCGAGGGGTCATCACGAACCGTCTAAGAGTCCAAAGGCTGTACTCCAGCTATCTCCCGGCCCAGCAGTGCCGAGAATTGCGAATGCGAACATACGCCAGAACGACCCAATACGAAGCCGACCGGATATCGGACGTCGGGCCTCGTCGCTTACGGCTGTCTGTGCAACGCCTCTTAGCATGCCCAGCAACCCATTGTTGAGAGTTTTGATGATTAAGGGGTGCTTGGTTTAAGGAATCGAAGGTTCAAAGGGGCGCGGCTCGGAAAATACTGACCTTCCCACAAATCGGACCTGTTGCAGTGCCAGCAGGAGAAAAAGAGGCGCCAATCCTTACCCGAAGCGTCTGCCGTGCGCGCATACCTGGCAGAGGCAAAGAAGGGGAAGACGGAAAAGATCAGGCACAGCATCATCCTGGGATGGCTTCATCAGCGTTGACGTCCTCTCTTCCTGTTTGTTGACGTAATGATCTTTGCGCGTCTGTTTCATCGGCCCTGTGAGAAACGGACTCTGTAGTAGACGACTGATTGTCAGGTTCATTTCGTGGCGGTTGAAAGGGGCCGAATAAAAAGCAAACAAAGGGTCAATCAGAAAAAGTAAAGACAAGACGTGGTAAGTAGACCAAGAGACATGTTACTTTCCCGGAGCCCAGTTGCGCCGTTCATTAGCTCCGTGGATCGCCGAGGATGACCTTACTAGAGCGCCAGCTAGACTTCGTGTGATGACTGAAGGATCATCTTCAAGTTCCCAATGTGGCTCGCTATAACTACAACTAAGTAGCAAGCAACTTTGAAGACCCATACGTTGCTTTCGGCACGGAAGCTGCCATTCTCCGGCTCGGTTCGTAACATGGCAGCTCTATCCCATAGGTACTTAGCGACCCACGGGAGCTGGTAGAGTGAACTTGTCGAATGACCGGAAGAGTAAGCCACTTCCTGGTGAAAATATTTAGCCGTGCTGGAACGAACGCGAGGCTCTGGAGATTCTGTCCCCTAATTGCTTGTATAGTGAATAGTGATTGGTGAAAGTGCTCCCTTTGCAAAGCTACTGATTATGAAAATGTAAGTAAGGTTATTCTGGTGGAGACCCCGAATTCCTGCCAAGGAGGGCTCAGACCATGAGGGTGAGCATTAGTGGTGGATCATTGCGTCGAAAGATAAGGTTGCGAGAGCTTGGGCCATATGTGCCTTGCAAGTGAAGGAGTAGTAATCCACCCGATGCAGATACTCAGTTCGACTGGGCCGGAAAGCTGTGTCACAGAATCTCTTTCAACACCAAAGAGAAAAAGCCATCGCCATCTTCGGGGTTTACACCAGGCAGGGGAACAGACGCACCAAGGATTGAGATCCGAGAAGTCACTTGCAGTCGCATTTTGGCAAAGCAATCCGCTTCAAGGGCGTGCAATGCAGCAATAACTTTCTCGGAGCTCTTCCGAGATAGTCAATACATCCGCGAGACTTTTCGCAAAGCAGCACGGAGACTATTGATTCCGACACCTGGGCGCGGAGAAAGCCGCAAGGGATGACCGACCGTAATTGGGGCGGGGGGAGGTCAGGGGCTTGGGAAACAAACCAGGGAAACAAGAAATCATCAGACACAACTGCGAAAAGCCTGTTGACAGAGTCCTTCCGGTGCCGTATCCGAGAGCACCAGGTTCATTGAGTTCTTTGTGCTCTGTGCATTGACAAGGAGCTTTCACGGTGTGAACCCAGCGGTATGGTAAACCCATGCTAAGGAGGCAGCTAGGCTCGGGTCACTGCCGCCGATCAATGCCCTTTATCAATGAGATGCGAAGTGCTGTGTCATATGGTGCAGGGCTCATCTCGTGAAAGGTCCATGATAGTTTGCCATTATTTGTGGTAGTCACTTCGGTTACCTGGGTTTGCAGCCAAATATAGAACTGCCAATTGCTTTTTCGGTCCACCCCAATCCAATTGCCCCGTTGATCCGGTGTGGATATCCCCTTTTTCAAACCCCCGACTGGAATGAAGAGACATCTTGGAGGTGTACACGCGTTGGCCAGCTGCAGAAAGCTCAGGTAGAACGAGGCTTAGCTTTGGATACTTCCGTTCTGTGGTATCATCAATCGTTAGATTATAGGGGCACTGTTTGGCCGGATTAATAACGTCAGCTTAGTCCGTCCGGGGATTCCTTGATAAGCAGGAATGCAGACGCCGAAATGACAAGGTCGAGATTATTAGGAGCCGAGCCAAAGACCGTCAACTGCGAACTTTTGAGCTGACCAGTAAGACTTCGATATTAGGCATTGCCCAGACTCTACTTGCCGACAGGCATTCGTCGTCTCAAAGTCATCACACATCTGTGAGGGCAGTACATAATAGATCCAGCTGCACCTACATCCTGAGTCATTGTCAAATGCCAAGTTGTGCAAGATGTACATTATTCCTAATGCAATAATACCGTTATCCTGTCGGATAGCATTGGGGCCGTTGGTTTACGACGTAGTCAATCGTGGCTGAATACGGCTAATGCCGAAAACAAGGTAGGAGGAAAGATGAGACCCGGAGCGGCCGTGGGGAACCAGGACATAAGGCACTGGCGCTGCCATCCCCTGAGGCAGTGCGTGATCATTCTGATGGGATCGACCACGTTTTGACCATATCGGTTAACCCCAGCCGATTTGCCAACGGTCTGTCCCTGATCCCTTTTCATTTCAGCGGACCCTGTGTTCCCTGTTCCGAGATTGCGCTCGAGACCATGATGTCGACAGCATTCGCGTCAATGCGGGATGCCTTGGCTCCAAGAGGTCTAGATTCATGGCATAGCCTTTTCCAACGGGGAGTGAGAATCTGATGTCGAGGTTTCAGCCCTTCCGACCCCCTACCCCGATACCTTTCACAACCAATGACAAGTGATATTGCTGGCTGGCCGCCATGACCGACATAGGTAGTATCTTAGTATGCATACCAGATGATCGCTTGCCCCCATACGGTTCATGTGCCCGGTGTGCGCCATGCTGACAATCATTCATCGGTTCTTTAGTCCCTACCGTGCCCAGTCATAGAGGATCAAACTCCGAAGTTTATCCTCCCTATACTGACTTGGGGATAATCTCCTCTGACGACAAGGATAAAATAGAGTCTCCTTGATTGATTCCTTATGCTTAGACGCAGCTGGTCGGTAGATCTCCATTGAAGGCTTTCCACTCTTATTCGAGCCATATAGGGAGAGACATAATCGACTCATCGGGTTGTAAATCCGAGCACTCCCTTGGATTCGGTGATCCGAGGCTGTGTGAACCTAGTTTGCCTTGCTCGTGGGGACAAGATATTTCGAATGCAAAAGACAGACTGAAGATCTCCATCCAGTTGTGTCACCCAGGTAGGGTTGCTAGACCTCCTCCTTCACTCTTCACGCGACCTGTGGTTGTCATCTCACCATTTCGGACCCGGGCCGTTGTGACGCAGCTTGCGTCAAGGTCATCTGAATCTATTTTTGTTCCACATTCTCTGTTTCATTCGTCAGTGTCCGCGAAGCTTGGTGTTCAGCGGCGACCTCATCAGATATATAGAGACGACGTCCCGCCGTCCTTCTTGCCTTCGCTCATCAAGCTTCATCGTTCAAAGCAATCTGCAGAACAAGCCGCTCTCGCTCACTGAAAGACCTGCGTCGCTCCCATTATACTCAAACCTATCCAAGAAGATCACCGAAACGCTATCATCCATACCTCACAACGATTTTCTCCTAAAGTCAAGGCCCTATCTCCATCAGCAATGTCTTCCGGGAACAAGCAAACTCAAAAGTTGGTTCTCAATCTGCGTTCCTCAAGATATCCACACTGACATTGATCGACAGACCTAGCAACGAGACCATCAGCAGTCTTAGCCCAGGAAACCTGAGCCAAATCCCCGATGACACCAGCGGAAGTATGGTGGAGCGTTTCAAGCAAGCACCAGCTGCAGATGAGCCCTATTTTGCCCAGGCTCGGATGCAGGATCGATCCCAGCACATTTCGCGCCTTTCGAGCCAGCTCGAAGAGGCGGAAAAGGCTCTTCGGAAATCATGAATGTACTGAATCTCAAATCAGTGTACAACACAGGAAGTTGGAGACGTGATAGAATTCGAACAACCGAAGATTTGTCTATGTACAGAGTCTATTAGGGGTCATGTTCAATGCAGAGTTGTGTCGGACAACATATATCGAGAAGAAGTGAGAACTATGACAGAATCTCATATAGGGCCTGTTCCTTTCAATAAAGTTCATTTGTCGAATGATTGAGCTGCAGAAATTCCATCATATATTGTGCCACATCATCGTATTTTGTGCTTGGGAATTCATGGCCCGCATCGTAAGACTTAAAGCTCGCAAGACCTTGTAATGCTGCAGTTGCATCGGGAATAAGATCGTCCTTGACAATGACCGCATCGTGCTCGCCGTACATAATGAGGACCTTATCATGAGAAAGACCGGGCATTGCATTCGAGCCAGCCTCTTTGGCTGCGGCGAGCCAATCTCCTAACTGCTTCCACACTTTCAGTTGGCGCTGCTGCAGAATTGGTCCATACCGCATGCTGGACATAAAGGCATGCACGAATCCAGGGTGCTCGTCCACCTGCCACTTGACGGTACTAGGGACATTGACATGTGGGTAAGACCGAGACAGTCGTTGTGCTTGCACAGTACCTTGGGATGGAAGTTCCTCAACCAGAGCATCCTCTGCGCTGATCTTCTTGTTTGCAGGCTTGGAAGTCAATGGACCTGCTCGTAGGCGGCGCCGGACAAAGAACTTGAGGAGTTTCTCCGGAATCCAACCATGCGAGTAGAGAAGCTGAGACTGAAAGCTGATCCGAGAGTCGCGAATCAAGCCAGCCGGGGCCAGTAGAACCAGCGAGGAAAGAGCCTGAGGATGAAAAGCGGCGAAGTTGGCCGCAATACCGCCGCCCAACGAATAACCGACCAGGCAGAGGTCACCCGGCTTCTTGAAGACGGGAGACGAGTTGATGGCGGACCAAATCTGTCGATTCCACAGGGTGCCATCCTGTGGCAAGTCCGAGGGACAGTCGGAATATCCTCTTCCGAAACTAATGGCAGCTGTCAGTGGTGATTCTCCTGGCACCGCTCCGCAGTTGACTCACAGATCGAAGAGCATTACACGGCAGCCGCGATCCACCAGGGCATGGGCTAGCCCGCCTAATGCAATGCACGGTGTTGTAATGCCGTGAATCATCAAAACTCTGGGGCCATTCTCCGGACCCCACTCATATATACGCATTGAGCCACCAAAGCTGGTGGGAACATCGCGGGCCCCCGGAAGAACGTCGATGGGCAGAGGAAGCTCGCGACTTTCCTCACCGGACAAGGTTTTCACCTTGGCCAGAGGAGATCGGTAAATGTTGTTCTCCGGTTGGGAGTCCGATAGAAACGAGCGCAGGACAAATGCTGCAGTCAATGAGGCGCCTGTCGCAGCCAGTATCGGCAGTTGGCTGCGGTGGCTTGCCAAGAGATCGGAAAGTGAATCGACTGTTTGATTGTACCAAGCCATAACGCTGATGTATGAATGCTGCCTATTGTATAATCAAAACTACAGAAAGAAAAGAATGCAAAGATGGCTAAAATGGAGAGAAAAAGAAAAAGGAAAACAGGCTGAAGACAGCGAAGAGTGAACAAGAGCAACAAGAAGTTGGCAACGGACGGTTAGATGTTGACCAGGCTGGACTATTCCTCTTTGGGCCGGAGAACTTGTCACCGGGACTCCGATAAGAGATAAGCCAAGTCATGTGCCCCCAACTGCCGAGGTTCTTACATACACACACTCCATGGAAGGCAGAGATGCAAGCCTAAGTTAGTCCTCATCAATGACTAGGTTGATCGAGATATCGCGGCTGGCTTCAATAGTGCCTGGCTATCGTGGAAAATGCCAAAATTGGATTTTTCCTCCTCATAAACAAGTCCTGACAAGCATATATTTCGATGGGGAAGCGCACCATGGACAACAAACTCCGATCATTGAATGCTCCCAATGCTGCTTTACGACAGACACCATGTGTCTGTGTCACTTGCCACAGTCGAGGAAAAACCCAATGCGTAAGGTGTCTTGCATCGGCTATCCTCCCTTAGCATTCCGGTTGGAAAATGACCAGGCACTGTGCCACGAGGCTACACCACCCTAGCAGACATGTGAGGTGTTGCCAAGGAATTCTCCCTTGTCTGTGCGTATCAATATGTAACCGACTCGATAAGATCCGAAAGTCATAACATTGGGAAGGCTCTGCACCTAATCATGAAAATTACAGCTTGGCAACTCGTACTGCAACAGGCGACAACTTGAAGGCAGCACCGAAGAAGCGTGATGCATGAAGAATGAGATCAGTCAGCCATTCCCACAGAAATTCACCGTTACGTTCCAGTCGCGGAGATCACCTCCGTGTGCTCCTTCAAGGGACAGTTCCGGCTAAAGGAAGAGTGTTACCCACTTAACCTGAACAGCCGTTGGACGGCATCTAGCCACAACCAGGAAGCGATCTGTAAGGTACAGCGCCATCGCTCATGCTGACCCTTGTGACTTGGTTCCATATGCCGAGACTATTTTTCCATCCGACCATGAACACGGAGTGTATCTCCCCACATAAACCGCTGTCAAATGAGCTTCAACCAGATTAGGGAAATGAAAGGAGGAAAGCGGCAATAGAAACAGTTGTGGTTTACTAGTCTTCCGACATCGGGTCACATATCACACATCACTAAGATTTATGAAACATTAACGTGTCGGAGATGCCAGCCCCCCAGTGCCCACAGCCGCCCCATCTTGGCCCTTTGTGGGGAAACTTTGATGCAGATTAAGTGAGATGAGCTCGACTGGGAAAGGGTCCAATTAGATAGGATGCTACTCCCGGCTTTGATCGGAGCCAAAGGCGCCCCCCCGTTCAGCCACCCGCAAGACGAATGCATACCGGCGCCGAAGGTAGAGCTCATTGATGGAATCTTGCTCCTCCGCAGTCCGATGATCGACCAGGTCAAAGTGAACCCTGAAATGTAATTAAATTTAGTGATCAGGGTTTCCGATGCATGAGAAGCAGCTCGACGCCCAACCCACGCCACATCTGCCACCCCGTCATTTGTGCAACAATCATGGAAACATCAACACAATGCTTATCATGGACCCAGGGTGTCAATATCCCACCAGCTCTGACACTTGACTAGAGAATCGAATGACTCGTTGTTCAAGGGCTCTAGGGCTTAAACCACAGACTCTAAACCTAAGCTTCTTGATTCGTGTTTCATGAGGGTTGAGAACGACTGCCTATACTGGAGCGCTGTCTCTAGATGAAACGGACCTGAGACTAATCCCGCTCCAGAGGCGGAGAACTATGGTATTCCTCCTTCTGGCCCGGTCTCCGCAGCTGAGACGGCATCAACAGCTGGCCATTCTGTATGCCAGTGAACTCCGCAGGATCTTGACATGCCAGGTAACTGGAATAGCTCGGAGTAATCTCCGGAATTGCAACTTGAAACCTTGTGGAGCAGAAAGCGCAGCCCCAAGACAGTTGAACTCAACAGCTCACGGTAATTGCCGCGTGAGATCCACTTTCCCACATGGCGAGACGCTCACTATCTTTCTCTGCGACGGAGGTGCTTCTTGAGGCACGAATTAGGAAATCGAATGCTTCCCAAAACATGTTGTCAGCGGTAGGGAGGTCCGTTGTACCGTCCCGGGACATATCCTGCGATTGAAAGACGGAGACTCTCACCGGCCAACAGAGATATAAAAGGTCAGAGGTTTCCCGCCCAAGTCTGTTCATCATCTCTGCAGGACAGAACCTCAAGTGTCGACAAAAAATATCTCAACAGACAATCCCGAACACAATGTATCGACGTGCCTTGCTCTTTTCTGCGCTCTGGAGCGCAGCCCGCGCTCAACAAGTCGGAACTCAGACTGCAGAAACCCACCCTGCCCTGACCTGGCAGAAGTGTACGGCTGCTGGCAGCTGCACTAATCAGAGTGCTTCAGTGGTCATTGATTCCAACTGGCGTTGGGTTCATTCCGTGGACGGCACGACCAACTGCTACACTGGCAACACCGTAAGTCGTGCGCAAGCACCACCTCGCTAGCAGCGGTTGACTGACATGTCTCCCAGTGGGATTCCTCTTTGTGCCCCGATGACGAGACCTGTGCTACGAACTGTGCCCTTGATGGCGCCGATTACGAGTCCACTTATGGTGTTACCACCAGCGGGGACGCGTTGACGCTCAAGTTCGTCACTGGATCCAACGTCGGCTCCCGTCTCTACCTCATGGACACCAGCGATGAGAAATACCAGACATTCGACCTTTTGGACGCCGAATTCACCTTCGATGTGGACGTCTCTAACCTCCCTTGCGGACTCAACGGGGCCTTGTACTTCACTGCAATGGATGCCGACGGCGGAGTCTCCCGCTTCCCGGCTAACAAGGCCGGTGCCAAGTACGGAACTGGGTACTGCGACTCGCAATGCCCGCGGGATCTGAAGTTCATCAACGGACAGGTGCGAACATGCTAATTTTCCCCGATCAACCGCATCAAATAGCTGACAGTGGACGGAACACCAGGCAAACGTGGACGGCTGGACCCCCTCGACCAGCAACTCCAACTCCGGCGTTGGCAACCACGGCTCCTGCTGCCCGGAGATGGACATCTGGGAAGCGAATAAAATCTCGACAGCGTACACCCCGCACCCTTGCGACTCGACCACTCAGGTCATGTGCGAAGGCGACGACTGCGGTGGTACCTACTCTTCCACCCGCTATGCAGGCACCTGCGACCCGGACGGCTGCGACTTCAACACCTACCGTATGGGCAATACCACCTTTTTCGGCCCCGGCAAGACAGTCGACTCCAGCTCGAAGATGACGGTCGTGACCCAGTTCATCAAGGGCAGCGCCGGCTCCCTGTCCGAGATCCGCCGCTTCTACGTGCAGGACGGCAATGTCATTGCCAACGCCGCCTCCGATGTCTCCGGCGTCTCCGGTAACTCGATCACCTCGGACTTCTGCACAGCCCAGAAGAAGGCCTTTGGTGATGAAGACATCTTCGCGCAGCACGGCGGACTCTCCGGGATGGGCGACGCCCTCTCGTCCATGGTCCTGATCATGAGTCTGTGGGATGACACCTACTCCAGCATGAACTGGTTGGACAGCCACTACCCTACCAACGCGACCGAGACCGACCCCGGTGTTGCCCGCGGCACTTGCAATACCGAGGAGGGACTCCCCAAGACTGTTGAAGGGGCGCACCCCGATGCGTCTGTCACCTTCTCGAACATCAAGTTCGGCCCGATCAACTCGACCTTCAGCGCATAAATTGGTAGGAAAATGACTCGGAATCAAGTGGCTACTTACAAGCACAGCAGAGGCAGGCTCCTGCTGCGAAGAAAAAGACTTTATACTTCTGCAAGAGGGGTTGATCTGCCATACCTTCTCCCCGAAATCTTCTTGATTGTCCATTCTCTTCATCTACTTTCTTTCGTGAATAATTGTTAAATTGAAATTTCTTCTCAATCTTGTAAATAATAAATGCAAAAAGAAGCTCCAAGCGCATGAATCGCGTCCATCCGACGTAACAAGATTGAGATTAATCTCAGTAGAGGTGCGTGCAACGACAAAAGAGAAGCAGAACGCGAAGCCCTAACGAGCCTGGTTGAGAAACTCGGTAAGCCTGGCCAGGATCTCGGCGAACATCGAAAGAAGTTCATGCGCAGGACGACCAGTGACTGCCCTGGTTGTCGATCTATCGAAGCATTAGCACCGCGTCAGCCTTCATCAAGTAATGAAAGTTATTCGAAATACACACTCTTCAGAAGCCTCTTCGAGATGATGCGGCCCATCCCCGTGGTCTTCTGAGCTGATGATCCGACTAGACAGAGATACCTCACTCTCCTCCTTCATCCCGACATCGACGATATTCGTTTCATCATCATCTGCAGGAAGAGGTGACAGTGATCTTCTCCAGCATTAGCACGCAGTCCTCATCCTCAAGCAGCACATATCCAGAAGAGATAGTATACCTTCTTGACAACGAGGTTATGGCTGAGTCAGAATTCCGCTCAAGAGAGGATGCGCGCAGTCTCTGCAAGGGCTTCCTTGAGGATTGCAGTGGCCGACGTCTTTTGGTAACGTTATCCCGGGCGCGAACCAATCTGTCTGCTATCAGCCAGATGTCCAGTAACTTAGACAGGTAAGCCTAAAGAGTTTCCAAACAGGGAGGGGGAGTTTACTCCGCATCCGAGAAGTCAGACTCTTCCCCGGGCTCTGGCCGAGTCTCTGCCGAGTCCAGCTGCGGTGCGGTCTCCTCACGCGCCGAGTCGCTTCCAGTGTTGAACTGTTGGCTATGCATGCGGACATTTAGCGAGATGGATCGCGGTGAAAGCGAGACATGGAAACGTAGGGGAGGGGGGAATGGACTTACCGTGTCTTGTGGTACTCTTTCTCGACGCCGAGATAGAAGTCTACTCCTATTCTCAGACACCCATTTCTCTCTTACTCAATCAATGAAGCCATAGTGGTCGGGGGACTTACCTGTCGCAGCGGCAGCCAACCTCGTGCCCATGCGGCCTGGCTTAGCCTTTTCGACTTGGACATCATGCTTCATCAGATGAATCCTGAGGGTTTTTGTCCTTGAAAACACCTGGTCCAGTTGTGAGCAGAGAGACCCCACGCGCAGTGGCGTGTTGAACGAAGTCAAACTCACTCTTGAGCAGTTGGGGTACCGGCATTTGAGTTCGCCGGGGAAGACTGTGATCTCGTTTTGGAGCTGGGGCGCGGCTTTAGTGTGATGGCAGGGGACACGGGGCGGAAGGGGAGAAAGAGCGTACTTCGTCCGCAGTGTAAGCTGGAAGCGTAGACGCACTGTCTTTTAGCACAGCGAGATATGTTTTGTAAGCGGGCTAGAAAGAGGTTCGGTCAGTTGGCCTCGATGGGGAGAGGCAGACGGCAGGGAACGGGGTCAACCAACTATTTCTTCGAATTGGTAAGCCATGGTTGGCGGTAGATTTCGAGTGGAATGACCTCGAGGTAGGAAGTTTTGTCGAGGAGTGGTGGTTGTATGATAGGATGAGGAGGTATAGTTTTTACAACTTGTTGAGACGTGGTACTAACCGGAGACTTACTGGGTGGAGGAATATGAAAGCCAGACTGAGTGATGTCCACAGGACAGTTGAACTCACTTCCTTGCTTGAAGCAGCATGCTTGTGCTGGTTCCGTCAAGCATCGTGGCGTCATGATAGTAACTGCAGACATGGTGATTTCAGGAGCACTCGGAGAAGTCACCGCGCGACAACTTGTCATGAGACAATGCCAGAGATGAAGTTAGTGTATAGATACTCACAAGGAGAGCTCAGTTTCACTTCAACCTGCCTTGAAGTGTCTATCTACTCTTCGAATGGAGATACTGTGGGATGTTTTGTAGCAGATCAAGGCATCACGCTGATGATGCAATACATGGAGAACCAGCTTAGTAGGAAGCCTTGCTTTAGATACTGGCTTGAAGCAATTGCACAGAGTTGTTTATCTCAAAGGAGAAGTGAGCGATAGATGTACTATCAGCCGTACTTCAGAGTAAATATGTTGTTCATTCATAGATCATTATAGCAGTTCGCGCTTACATACTAATGCTTAAATACTCATATCGCGAGCTTCTATCCAAGTGAAGATGATAGCCAGCATTAACACTACATTGCATTGAGATGAATAAGTAAAATATTTGAGCATACTCACAATGATTCTACATGTTTTTCTGATACTCCTCATCCAGCATTCGATGACTACACAAGTGATCTTTCAATACACCCTTACCACGCCGTCCTGACGCAGTCAGCCTTCATTGGATACCCCCGGGGTCTGTTCCCCAGGGCTGATGCCAGCAAGATGACCTCTTTAGAGTATCATTCCAGTCTTTAGCATTAGCTTGTACTTCCAATGTTTGCTCAGAGAGAATCGATGACAAGTTTACTGGCAGGTATTCTTGTACGTACTGGTGATCACTGTCTATACAAATGCAATCGTGATTTTCGTTTCCAGAGTCAGAAAAATTTGAGTTGCTCTTCCGCATTCTTTTGCTGAATCTGAAGCTTGAAGTCGAAATGAAGACAAGTTGATAAGTATGTAAAGAAGCAAGAAGCTTCTCAGCTTCGACTGACCACGCTGCTCAGTAGACACCGGAGACTGCGATAAGTGCCGATAAGGGCTTATCGGCTGTCAACCACCGGAAGATCATCGGCCCGTCCCCTCAAAAGTCGAGCTTCCGGCCGCAACGAGAGACCAATCGATTAGAAAAAGTAGTAGCTCTTGAGATTCCAAAAAAGCTAGAGTGAATTTTGACAGGCCTTTTGCCTCAATTGACAAATCTCACAACCATGTTCGACACGGTTTGCACCCTGCCGCTATCAGCGGACCTGTTCTCACAGGCCATTCACCCCAACGAACCCATAGTCTCCGTTGGTCTTGCTACCGGCCACGTCCAGACCTACCGACTGCCCTCCGAAGAGACAGACAGCGACGATGACGGGGCCTCGACCTCTTCCTCCCGCAATGGCAAGGGCCATATTGACACCATGTGGAGCACGAGACGACACAAGGGCAGCTGTCGGTGTTTGACATTTGCGTTGGACGGCGAGACGTTGTACTCCGCGGGAACGGATGGGCTGGTCAAGGCCGCGAAGGCGGCGACCGGGGTTGTGACGAACAAGATCGCGATCCCCACGGCAAAGGATGGGTAAGCCACCTTCTCTTGAGTACTGAGGGAGGCGAGGCGTTCGTCTCATCAGGACTCAATTGAGAGTTCAATGGGCGGCGTAATGGCTAACGCGGGCCCCACTTTTCTCTCTTCCTGCAGATCTGTCGACGCTCCCACCATTGTACACGCTCTTTCTCCGCAAACACTCCTCCTCGCCACCGACTCCAGCGCTCTTCATCTCTACGACCTCCGCACCCCGTTCTCCAAAGTCTCGGCCAAGCCGCAGCAATCGCACCACCCTCACGACGACTACGTTTCCTCGCTCACGCCTCTTCCCGCGTCCGATACCAGCACCTCTGGGTTCAGCAAGCAATGGGTGACCACAGGTGGTACTACACTGGCCGTCACGGATCTGCGTCGGGGTGTGCTCGTGCGCAGTGAGGACCAGGAGGAGGAGCTAATCAGCTCCGTATACATCGGCGGGCTGGCTTCGAGCGGGACGAGCCGCGGGGAGAAGGTGATTGTGGGTGGCTCCAACGGCGTGCTGACGCTGTGGGAAAAGGGCGCGTGGGACGACCAGGACGAGCGCATCTATGTCCAACCCCGCAGTGGTGGCGCCGACTCCCTGGAGACGCTGACGGTCGTGCCGGAGGAGCTCGGCAAGGGCAAGATGGTCGCCGTGGGAATGGGCGGCGGTGCAGTCAGGTTCGTCCGCATCGGTAACAACAAGGTCGTCTCTGAGGTCATGCACGATGAGACGGAAGGCGTGATTGGGCTAGGCTTCGACGTCGAAGGGCGCATGGTCAGCGGAGGTGGCCAGGTGGTCAAGGTCTGGCATGAAGCGGTTGGTTCAAGCGGTGCCAATGGCTCTTATTTGGGCGACAAGCGCAGGTACGGCGATAGTGATGACAGCGACGATGACGAGGTTGACAGTGATGCCGAGTCTGGAGATGATAGCGAAGAGGAAAGACCGCAGGCGGTGCAGGCCAAGAAGCGCAAGAAGGGCAAGGGAGGCAAGGGAGGACAGCAGATCATGGCTTTCGCTGATATGGACTAAGTGATACCCCCGGGAAAATGAACAGTGGTGATACGGTGGCATCGAAGAGGTATAAGGTATAGTGATGCCCTCCTTGATGACTTCAAGCAAGTCGCGTGGATGTCATAGCCATTGAAAGAGCAAGTATAACACACTCTAATACAAACCAAGTGTTCCTTTCAAGAACCAATCCAGTGCCCTCGATTCACATCTCTAATAAGTTGACTTGGCTTAGAGTAGACCCTGACAGCTCCATAAGTACTATTTCCACGTATGCCCGATGCTAAAAGGCCTCAGTGACGTTTAAGTCTGGGATGGACGGAGTACACAGTTAAGACAGGCAGAACATACGCCGGCGACGTTATATCCTCCCGGGATAGAATGTTACCTCGATCAAAACATGTATCCCAGATGACAAGCACAGTTCTCAACGGAGTGGGTTCTGTAGCGCCCACGGCTAAGTCCTTGCCGATGTCGGCAGTACTTCATTGCCATGCTGTCTCCATGTCTTTCATCTGGGAAAGCAAGTCAGCAGTGAACCAAGAGAAAGAGCAGCTGAAGAACGGTTTCATGTACCTGATCAACAGAGAGTTTAACATATTGACGCTTTGGAATTTGAGATATTTTGGTGGTGGTATTTATAGTCGGAGTCGATGGCGGAACAACTGCCGAGCCCCTCCACCTCCGGCGCGGCCGTGACCCACGGCAAAAGCCTTTGCCTCAATCGCCCCAATAACTTCATGACGTTTACGGCGGAAGTGGCGGGGTGTGGGGAAGCACCTTTATTATTCATGATGATCAAGCTTCGGATGTCTTCCTGCAGAACGGATCCAGGCACATCTTGAACTATTTATATCAATCCGGGACACCCCGAACCCTCGATCTCTTCCCCGCTGTCCTGCTTCCTCAACAATCTCCCCGCCGTTCCGTGTCTTCCCCCCAACCACCATGGACGCTTTCGAATACAATTCCAACCCCGGCCGTGTCATCTTTGGCAGTGGCACGCTTCAGAAGCTCCCCGATGAGGTTGCACGCCTGAACGTGAAAGCCCCTTTGGTGCTTTCAACCCCCTACCAGATCAGCCAAGCCGAGAGCGTCAAGGCCGTCCTCAATGGACAGGTAGCTGGTATATTCACCCAGGCCACCATGCACACCCCCACGCACATCACCGACGAGGCTCTGGATTATGCGAAGACGCAGGGCGCCGATGCGGTTATCTCCGTGGGTGGTGGCAGCACAATCGGTCTTGGAAAGGCGATCAGCATCCGCACCGGACTGCCACACATCTGCATTCCGACGACCTATGCTGGGAGCGAGATGACTCCAATTCTGGGCGAAACCGCCGATGGACTGAAGAAGACTCGCTCTGATCCCAAGATTCTGCCTGGAACGGTCATCTACGATGTTGATCTGACGATGACTCTGCCTGTCGAGATGAGTGCCACGAGTGGTGTAAATGCTATTGCTCATGCTGGTGGGTCCTCCACCCTCTACCCTCCCCCCTTAACTCTCGACTTGAAATCGCAGACATTGACGGAGAACCAACAGTGGAGGCGCTCTACGCCCGCAACACCAACCCGGTGATCAACCTCATGGCTCTAGAGGGCACCCGTGCGCTGGCATCTGCGCTGCCTGAGATCGTGGAGAACCCCAGCTCCCAATCGGCGCGCTCATCGGCCCTCTACGGCGCCTGGCTGTGCGGTACTTGCCTGGGCAGCGTTGGCATGTCCATCCATCACAAGCTTTGTCACACACTGGGCGGGAGCTTCAATCTGCCCCATGCGGAAACCCACACCGCTGTGCTACCGCACGCCATCTCCTACAATGCGCCCAAGATACCAGAGGCCATGAAGAAGCTGGCCGAGGCACTGCCGGAAAGCAACGGCGATGCTATCCACGGCTTGAATGTTTTGCTGTCCAAGTTGAAGGTCAAGCGCGGTCTCAAGGACTTTGGCATGAAGGAGGAGGACATTGACAAGGCAGCTGATATTGCTGTCAGCAACCCTTATTGGAACCCGCGGGAGATTGAGCGGGAGCCGATTCGTGAGCTGATCCGGCGTGTCTGGGCTGGCGAGCCGGCCCGGGCAGATTTGTAGATGGAAGTGGCGGGTTTTTGTACATACTACCAAACAAGATTCAAAAATATCTTCAAACCAATGCTGAGACTATCAATGCGAACATGATCGATTGTTCTTCTAGGACGAAAGATATTATTTGAAATCAGCAAACGGCACCACAAGTAATCCTCATAAGCGCCATTGGTTCCCCTGTGGATGGCGGGGTGAAAGTGGGGTGAGGATCCATTGGATTTTCCTCCCAGTCAAAAATTCCGCCCGAACGATTCTCTCCCACCATCCTCACTACCGACATTGCAATTTGCCAGCTTTGAGCTGCTCGCGACTTTTTGCGTAACTTACTCATATCCTCCCATCATGACGACCGAAATGGAGGCCGCACCCGTCCTCTCCACCCCCGACGATCGCATCCTCGAAGCCACCGATCCTGTTGCATCTCAGGAACCAAATCGCGCTCTCTCCGACGAGGAGCTCTCGATCACCTATGACATCGAGCGGACCCTGAAAGAAATCCGCCAAGCGCGGTATAAGCGCATTGCACTTCAATTCCCCGATGACATGCTTCCGGATGCCCCCCGCGTGTTCCAGCTGCTCAGCCGCGGCCTGGACGTCACCGAAACCCCTCAACCACAAAGCAATGGGCAAAGCAGCGGCGATGACGCGGAACACCTAGCCGAGTCAGTTGGCCAGCTCAAGGTTGATGCGGCTACGGAGCCTGCGCCCAGACTATATATTCTTGCGGATACCTCCTACGGAACATGTTGCGTGGACGAGGTGGCCGCGGAGCATGTGGATGCAGATGTTGTCGTGCACTACGGCCGATCATGTCTGTCCCCCACAGCCCGACTACCGGTCATCTACGTTTTCACGCAAAAGCCTCTGCCTCTTGAGCCTGTCGTCCGCGCTTTCAAGGAGACCTACCCCGATCTTGCGACCAAGGTCATCCTGGCGGCGGATGTGACGTACTCCAACCACGTTCCGACTCTACACTCGCGCCTTGTCGAAGAGGGCTATACCAACCTGTTCGCGACGGATATTGTTCACAACCCCTCCTCTGCTATCCCCAACCGCACCGTACCGGAATCCGTCCAGGAGACCCCAGAGTCACTGTCCGAGTGGCAGCTATTCCACATTTCCGACCCTCCGACGGCCCTGCTTCTGACCCTTGCGTCCCGAGTTGCGGCCATCCATATCTATCCGACTGACGACGTGACTCGAGAGGTTGTGAAGCCGTTGCCCGCGTCCACTGCGGCTGCACTGCGTCGCCGTTATGCGATCTTGACCTCTCTCAACACCGTGCCCATCTTTGGAATCCTCGTCAACACCCTGAGTGTGAAGAACTATTTGCACATCGTCGAGCACGTGCGTGATCGAATCGCGGCAGCCGGTAAAAAGAGCTATCTGTTTGTGGTGGGCAAGCTCAACGCGGCCAAGGTGGCCAACTTTAGCGAGATTGGTGGATGGGTGGTTATTGGATGCTGGGAGAGCTCTCTCGTTGATAGCAAGGATTTTTGGAAACCGGTGATTACTCCATCGGAGCTGGAACTCACTCTTCAAGGGGACACAGAGCGCGTGTGGACTGGGGCCTGGCGGAGTGATTTCCAGAGCGTGCTCGATCAGTCGAAGGAAGAGGAGGAGAATGCGACCCCGTCGGCGAACGATGAAGGCGAGATGTCGGAGCCCGAGTCGGCGCCGCCCGAGTTTGACCTGCGCACCGGTCGATATGTCTCGCACTCCCGTCCCATGCGGAATAATGCTGCACCCCGCGTTTCTGCTTCAGCAGAAGAGGCCGCATCGGCCGCTAGTGGACCGTCGGCTGCGCGCGCCTTAGCCAGGCGGGCCAAGGGCGATATCGCCATGATCGGCGGGACGTTCTCCCCAGGGGCGGAATTCCTGCAGTCCCAGCGGACCTGGAAAGGCCTGGGCAGTGATTTTGACATCCAATATGAAGAAGATGCACCGGATAGCACGCTGGTGGTGGAAGGGCGCAAGGGAATCGCAAGGGGATATACAGTGGGCGACGATATCGATCGACACTAGGAGGATAGATAGACACCAAATCAAGTTTTCTTGTTGATCTGACTGGTCTAGTGAACGGTGTAGTTTTCATGCCTTATTGCTCTTATCGGCCCAAAACAGACGTTGGGTGACGGAGGTGGACTATCCCAATCAGTACTCACCTTTAACTAGGTAGATGATGAGAAGATTCAATAAAGACGGGACAATCGATAGAGAAACTATGTGTGAGGGAATATTGCAGTCCATCCCTTTAGTTAGTCTTTCCCCTTCCTGTCTGATTCCCTCCCTTCCTCTCTCCACCCTTTTTTTATGAATTTTAGTTCTCACTGGTGATAATCATCCGACAACAGGAAAATGGACCTCATTATGCCAGCAGTCGATAGCATTTCCCCATCAGGCTCGTGACGGATGAAGCAACCTATCACATGATGCTGGGCCGGGCAGATCCCGGGCTCCCGCTGTTGGAATTGGAGGTGAGTGAGTTGGCAAAGCCACACCCACACACACACTCACACAGTACATACGTATTGTACAGTACATCCACACTCCCTCCCGCTCCCACGCCCACCCTGGCACACACACACTAAACCCAACCCCCATCACCTCACCACCTCACCTCATCTCATTCCTTTCTCACCCAAAACTCCCTCCCTCTCTCCGTCTCTCCCCCACCCCCAAGAAAAGAAAAAAAAGAAACCCCCCCCTGTTGTGGTTTTCCTCCTCGGCTGCTCTGCCTGCTTTTGTCTTTTCTCCCTTGGTAGATCTTATATGATGCTTAGCCTTGGGATGTAAACTCTCACCTCCCTTGCGCATCGTCGCCCTCTTGATTCCCCTTATGATGGGTGGTCTTACCCGCATTCTCCGCCGTGCTCGCGATTCCGCGTCACTCTACCCTCCAACTCCGTGCTGGACTCAATCCAGTAACAAAGAGTTTCAAGACCTGGGAAAAGTCCAAACAGGAGTCTCGGCCTCTGCGCCCTCATATCATATCGACTTTCGCCGATAGCGCCCATAGCATCCACGATAAGAATGGCCGGAGAAGAGAACCAGCAACTGCTGGTGGATTCCGCGCTGGTACAATCGGATCTCCAAGCTCAACTCTCGTTATCGACCTTTGAAAGAGTCCTCACCACCCATACGCCGATTCTTGAATCCCTCCTCCTCCAAATTCCGACTAATTCCATACTCTCGCTCTATCACACTTCCCGCTACCTGCGTTCGTTTCTCCGCTCATACCCGACAGCATGGAAGTACCTCTCGTTCCGCCTTCTCTTTCCCTCGGGCACACCTCCACCGATTCGCGTGGTTCTCACGGGCTCCTCGGAGGCAGTGGTGCCCCGGCAGTCGCGACCGTATGCTCTCGATCAACTCCTGATGAATGTGGTGCTGCCGTTCAGCCCGTGCTTGCGCAGTCTCGAATTAGATAACACGGCGGTCTCGGGTCAGATCCTTATCTCTACAGTCCTTCATGCGCGACGGGAGACACTCGAGCATCTCTCTGTGCGGGGATGCAAGAACGTGTCGCTCAAATACCATATCATTCCTTACTTGACCATGTTTGGTCTGCAGTACGATGTGAATATGGAACGCAACATTGGCAGCTCCCCTGCCACCAAGCACCTGGCGCTGAAAAGTCTATACACTTATAGATGTCGACACCATCGCCGTCGTCCATACCTGACATCCTCGCTATCGCGAAAGGATTCGGACTCGGAGCCCACACATGAACTGGTCAACCTTTGTCACAAGTTGGGCATCTGGACGGATACGGCCTGGTGCTCCACTCCCGCTGGACGATGCTTTCGTCGGAGGGGATACGTATCGTTGCGGGTTCCTCAGGGCTCGGCTGAGGTATGGGTGGTCTTCGACCGGCTCTGGAGGTCAAAGAATTGGATCGGACCGATTGATTCGAACAATCGGCCGGCTACGCGGGACGGCAAACTGTGGGAGCACAACGAGACGGGCTACTGCGGTGAACCACTGGGAACGGGCGAGGTCGGTGATCTAGGGGATGGCAAGATGAAACCGGCCCATCTTCGTCGGAGTCACGCGCAATTTGTCCAAAACATCCGCTGTGACAACTGCTGCGAATTGATTGCTGAACGGTGCGAGCAATGTAGTATCTTGATGCATTGTGTCGGTTGTCGAAAGACTCTCTGTGCCAGCTGTGCATACGACCGACCTTACATCGCTGGCCAGTTGGAGCTTTCTTCAGGCGAGGAGTCAACCCCCTTCTGGTGGGCCCCCGGCGCGCGGGTTTCGCCGTGTCTGATGCAAGACCCCGTGGAACTCACCGATCCCAACGCAATCCCTCCCAACACTAGCGCTCTGACGCCCTATCCTGCCCTCAAGTTGCACTGGTGCTGCACGGAACCTATCTTCTCCGGAGGCGGCGGGATCAGTATCGGAACTTCCAATCGGGACGTGGATCAGGTACGCGCAGTGCCCTTGCCCCGGGGACGGGGGTGGGAGGACCTTGAGATTTCAGCCCAAGAATGGAGCAAGACCTTTCCTCGCGACGCTTACGGGGACCCCCGACAGCCGGACTATACGCTCGAGACAGGCCACATCGCAATGATGAAGTGGTTGCTCGGTCCACCCGACCGACAACCCTCGGCTTGTCCTCGGAACCTGTGCCAAGACTGCTACGATACGCCGCAGTGGAAGGTGCATTGCAAGAGCTGTTCCAAGCCGTTGTGCATTGAGCACGATCTCCGTGGCCTACGGTTGCGAATCTGTGGCTACCGGGACTTGACCATGGAAAAGATGGAGATTCAGAACCACGCCGCATCAGGTTCTCGCGGCTACCTTGCCCCGCACATGGCGTATCCCAACTCCGTCCCTGAGATCGAGTTACCGTTCCGGACCCAGCGTATGCTCGATTCCACGACGAGCAGCTTCACTGAAGACCACGGTGACGGCGCCGGGGAGGTGCGTAGTCGCGCTCTACCCGAGCCCCCGGGGCCCGCTTCCTTAATCCATCGCCGTTCAAGGAGCCTTTCGCTGTCTAACTCCAACCGATCTCGATCCTCGTCGCCCTCGTCCAACTACTGTGACTCTCCGTCGGATCCATTCAGATGGCAAGGCTGCCAATCCTTCTTCTGCCCGCAGTACCGTGCCGTCGGCGACCAACGCCAGCGCTGCGTCAGCGTGCTCCGCGAATGCACGAATTGCGCGGTCTACGTGTGCCAGGATTGCGTACGAGCCCATCCGCCCTGCAAATGCTCTTTCTGCGAAGTCAACTACATCTGTCCAAACTGCGTCAAGGCGCGCGAGCGCGAGGGGACCTGCCGCCGGTCAGCAGAGGAGAAGGCCCGCCGCGAGCAAAAATGGAAGGAAGACATGCGCATGCTGGAAGGAATCCTCGAGGCCAAGCTTGCCAACGCGACCGCCGAGTATGCGGGTCAGTTCTTCGGATCTCTCGAACGCGGAGAAGGCAGCCAGGTGGTCGAGGTGGAAGACGTGCAACATGCTGGACCCAGCGCGACTGGTTTCGACCCGAGAGACTCGCACGGGCTCCATGAAGTCGATCTCTTCGGCGAGGAGAACTTGACGGATAGTACGGAATGATGAGGTTGGGGGAGGCACGGCAGGCAAGCCCATTCACTTCACTTCACGGCGTTTCAGCGATATGGGGAGCATCTTTGCTCATTTTCTTAGCATTTGTGTGAAAGCAAAATTACATTCTTGGGTGACGTGGGGGAATGGTAATCTGCGATGGCATTCTGCATTTACACTGATACGTTGAAGGGCTACAGTCCTGATGCGCCGGGAGCATGGAGACTGTTGGTTCGGAGGAGGCAGGTATATAGGCAAGATTTTCATGATATCTTGTAATTGCTGTCCGACGTGATGGATTGAAGACTACATCGTATGTACTGCACTACAGCCTTTTGTTTCCCTGGAAAGTAGTGGTCTGCCTTCCGGACTGTAGACTATATGCTATGTAGTACATGAAATAAAGTAAGTGCAAGCAGCGGGCCCCGCAACGACGGAAGCTACTCGAACCGCGGAGCTTCTCCACCCCTCGCATCCCCCGCGGCTGCTTCTCTTTTTCCTCAACAACTTCTCTCACACCAAGGCCTCTCTATTTTCTCAACTCGCTTATCAAGTACGTTCATCTCCAGATTCCCAGGACCTGGAATCTAGCTAGAAGCTAAGATCCAGCTTGAACTAACCCCACCCTGCCCCTCAGATAACCCCTCAGACAATGTCTGAATCCAACCCCACCCCCGCAGACCTCGCCGCGCGCGACGCCGAAGAACAAGCCCGCAAGGCGGCCGAGGAGGCCGAGCAGGCCACCCTCCCCTACAAATGGACGCAGACGATCCGCGACGTGGAAGTGACGATCCCGGTGCCAGGCCATCTGCGCGGCCGGGATTTGGACGTGGTGCTGACCAAGACAAAGATTAAAGTGGCGATTAAGGGGGAGAGTGCTATTATTGAGGTATGTTCTTTTGCTCTGGGGGAGGTATTTGGGGTTATGCTACGAGATATGCTTGCTAATTTCTTTGTGAACCGTGCGCAGGGCGAATTCCCCCACCCGATTATCGTGGACGAGAGCTCCTGGACGCTGGAGACGACCTCGCAGCCTCCCGGCAAGGAGGTGGCCGTGCACCTGGACAAGGCCAACAAGGTGGAGTGGTGGCCGCATGTGGTGACGGGGGCGCCCAAGATCGATGTCAGCAAGATCACGCCCGAGTCGTCCAAGCTGAGTGATTTGGATGGAGAGACTAGGGCGATGGTCGAGAAGATGATGTACGATCAGCGGCAGAAGGAGATGGGCGGGATGACTAGCGATGAGCAGAAGAAGATGGAAATTCTGAAGAAGTTCCAGGCGGAGCATCCTGGTTAGTTGCCTTACCTTTTTTTGTTTTTCTTTGTATTGTGCTAATACGCTCGGACATGCAGAGATGGATTTCTCGAATGCGCAGATCGGTTAGGGGATGGTTCTTAATGTGTATGAAGTAATGAGATTGCATTGCATCTTTGATTGTGGACCGTGTACTGGTTGTTGTTTAGTATACCTTTACCTTAGTAGTTACATTACTGGAATGTTTTGCTACGAGTCCCGTCCGCTTGCCTTATACGGGTGCCGCCGCTTTCATAAGAACGGCACGTGACTGATCTCTCTATACTCCTGCGTACTTACTAATATCAAGTAAAGGAATAATTTCTGGGAAGTATTGTTGAGATTCCAGAGCAACTAATAACCAGACTATTTTACTTCCGGCGAGTTGGCAAGTTTGACGACACGCCTACCTCTTATTAAATCTTTGTATAAATATTCATTACTGTATCGACGTCTCCGAAGTCGGCAGCCTAATGCTGGAATGGATCCTACCATCTTTCATACTTCAGAGAGGTAAGTATCTCCCATCTCAGTCCTCCGGCAGGGTGATTAATAAGAGATACCAAGGATAATATATTGATGGGTAAAGACGAAGCCTTTGTGATCATAATCTCAAACTCATCTCTCTACTATCTCTGGCAAGATAAGTAACTATATGTAATTGGAATTCTCGGAGTACTGGATTGGAGTTTCTAATCCTTTACTCTTCCCTTTACTCTTCGTCTCTTCAACTTCTGTAGTCAAAGAGTATATAACGTGGACTTTCTCTCTTCAATACTGTCTCAGGACAGAGATAGAGCATGGCTGCTCAGGAATTGACTGCTTTGCTGGTATTACTTGATATTTGGGCCCCACCACTGAATCATGGACAGAGTTTCACAAATTGGATTCTAGTATCTTATTATTCCTACATAAGAGTATACTTGGGTGTTGCAGCTTCGTATCTACGCGGCCAGTATACACTATGGATTGGAATCAGTATAAAGACTGCTCTAGTTTATTCGTTCCAATCAGCCCCTTAAATCTCTTATACCTCTCCGTCTGATAATTATGCTTCTTGGATCCATTACTACCTTTCTGGTCACTGTCGTCATTACAGCCCAGACCGCGGCTATCGCACCTATTGCCTCAGAATCGCATATCAAGGATGACTCTGCGACTGGCTTTGAGTAGGATTCTAAGAACTTTAAGATTACTGCTGTCTACAAGCCTCTAGTTGGATTTGTCTACTATGCTCTTTCTGACCAATCGATCTAGTGGAACTGCAGTCTCAATACTACTATTACTTAGTTGGTTGAGATAATTCATCAAGCTTTGGCTGAGGGCATCAAGTTTATTACCTTCTCAGAGCTCTACTTCCCCGGGTATATCTTATTCTGCATATATAGTGTCTACAGCTAATCCTTTCAGTTGCCCTCTAGCTATCTTGCCTTCCGCACTTCAAACAGTCCCAAAGACTTTGAGCAGTATATATCGCAGACCATGGAGCCTGACAACCCTGAATAGAAGACACTCATACAGGCCTTTACCAACACCAAGATGTATGGGGTTGCTAGTTGGGCCCAGAGAACCAATAACTTGCTTTTTATAACCCAGAGCCTGGTTGGTCCTTTCACCAATAGTTCGGCTGGAATAATCTGGAAGCATAAGAAGTTCCGTTTCTCGGACACCAAGCACTCTCTCTATTCTGATAGGCTTCTCAACACGATCCGCCCACGGAGGCTCCCTTCGGCACCGTCTCCATGCTCCAATGCTGGGAGGTGCATTCTTGAATCCGGTGATTGGCTTCAAAGCTTTAAAAGACTGACAACTGCTGTGACAGCACGTGTACCCCAAGTCGCACTTTATCAGATCTGCCCAGCCTGCCAATCTCCACATTGCCTCTTTTCCGTACGTATCCTTATATTCCAACCCATTAGTCCATAAGAGATTAAATAACAATCCACACAGAATCGGCAACAACATCCCCGAAGCCGACGGCGCAGACACCCCCTACGCGTACTGGCATGCCGCGGCAATCGGCTATCAAGTGGGCACGCCCGGTTCGCCCGCCATGATTCTCCCACTACGGGGGCCGCGATTATCTTTGCTCACGAGGGCTCTCCCCTCAACGAGTCACTTTCCAACTCGAAGAAATCGACCAACGCCATGCCCTACATCACCGCCGTCTACAACACGACCACGCTGTGGCAGGATATCACATACAGCATCAAGAACTAGTACAGCTACGGCGCCCTCAAGCACATCATCGAGGGTCTGCCCGACAGGATGCCGCGTCGCAGCAGGCCGTTCTTTGGAAGGATTCTGTTTACCATCAGGCAGTTCACCACTAGGTACATCTGGCCTCCGACCCTATCCTGCACCCCAACGTCCAGGTGGCCGTATATCAAGATCTGGCCAAAGCACATTAAAAAGGACTTCATGGCTTGAAGTGGATCACGGGACGAGAGACTATTAGGAAGTAGGGAGGATTCTTCTTGTTGCTGATGTTGTTGTCAATGGTGGTATGGATATTGCGTATAAGTATCATATAGCCTGAGCGGTGGGTGTCCAAATTGATTGAAGAGCAATGTCTCGAGCTGTGAAGAGGTATGAAACTAGCATCTCCCGTATTTGTGGTATACGAGTCTAGCCGATCTTTCCCACTCTGGCTTACTAGGTAGTATAATAGAAAAATGACCTTGGATAAGCGCGCAGCTGTCCGACGGCTTTCCGCGGACTCGGATCCGAGAAGTGGCAGAGACACATTCTACCTACTGGTAGGGAAGCATGAGCTTGACTGAAGTTAAGCATTAGATTCGTAATCGATGATACTGCAGCAATATTCATGCCGTTGTTCCTTCGGGGTGGCAACTCCACCCGATTCGCTACCATCTCCACCGACCCTGAACAATGGCAGGGAAAAGAAACAAAGGATCTTGCTTTGTACTGCACAGATGAACTATTACTGAGTTTACTTTTTTGTGTGTTCTATAGGAATGTGAGTCCTGTACCTACCCAACTCCTATCACAGGCTGGTCCATAGCCAGCAACTGATTAATCCCGTGAAACAGAATAGCCGGGGAAGGCAGTGCAGAGAAATACCACAGTTCTTGCTCCAGGAATCATCTAAGAAGACCAGTATCCGCTACCGAGACTACAATTATGCAGTGCATTCCGCTATATTTTTCTAGGGAACTCTAGCAAGTAATGACTCGAATATGCATTATCCCGAATCCCTCGATCTGAACAAACTCAACACAGGAACTGCACCTTGCCGATGGTATGTAAACTAACTACACCGAGCACAAGTGCCCAGACCTCGCAAATAACATGCACCAGGCACAGATCCCACCAGACCGACCCTATTCGCCATCAAGGGGATAGTCTTCGACGTGAGCAGGAATCCCGCTTTCGCGCCGGGGGGTTGTTATCACAGTACGCGCCATTTACATTCCTTGCCAAGATGCGTTACACGCTTGAAAGGACTCTTCGCGTGCACTGGCTCGTTCAACCTTCCACAAGTCGTCTTGTACAGCCGAGTTTCATCATCTCGGGGAGCAAGAGCAGACGATTCTTAATGAGTGGTTTGAGTTCCATATGAAGCGGTACAGGATTGTGGGAAGATTGTCATGTGACAGTGACTGGCAGGGTGATCAATCTTACTGTGAGACTCTGAATCGAGATGATAATATATTTTGAGTGCTACGGATCATTTAAACTTGTTCCAATGTAAATCATTCTCTCAGCTGAAAACGACGACAAACACAGCAGCCGAAGCGCTAGTCGACGCCAGTAGAGCCTTACCCCCCAAAAGCACTGCACAGGTTGGTACGTTCTAACCAGCAATTCCTCGAGTATTTTTGCGGAATTACTTACCAGCGTCTGATACCAACAGACATTGGCCGCCAGAGCAATGGGGAAATGAGACTCTGTGAAGAGCAATGGCCATTAGTGATAAATCTTCGGGATCGGACTGAGGTCTGCAAGGTTCTACTGCCCTAACTTCCATAAATCCGACCTGTTGCCGTCACGGCGGGTTGCCAATTCAGATCCCTCTTCTCGAATTTCGGCGTCGTACTACTTAAGGTGCTGCCAACAAGTCTATGTGCTCCATGAATTGTATGTATTGTAGCTTGTACACTCTAGCATCAAATCAAGCTGCAATCTGCTCAATAGACACCCTGGAGCTAACACACATCCAATATATGGCAGGCTGTGAAGCCTTGCAGCAGAGTAATCTGGTGTATATATATGGTGCTTAAGATAGCAAGATGAAAGATCTAGTAAAAGCTTTCCCAAATATCGAATCTTCCAGATGCCAAGTATTCTAGAATCCGGAACTATACAACTTTGTCAGAATTGTTTTTCTCTTAGAGTAGAAAGTAGAGTAGGTGTGTAGATATACTATATAAAGATTAACTCTAATATTATCGAGACTTAGTTTAAGTAGATACTAATATATTTCCAAGTATTGTAGTATATATCTAAGCCTGTATTATTAAACTCTATGTAGTAAAGATATAAATAATAAAGTACTATAAGATAATAAAAGCATCTATCTTTACTTTTTGCTAGCGCAGTGTTTTAAGCAAAGGATTTGAGATTAAGATAATAGTAATAAATCCTATGACTAGAATCTAGAGCTTGTATTAGAATACAATTGTATTCCACTGGACTATCAAGAGAAATAGACTATATAAAGAAGTATATTAAGAAGAAGACTTATAGTAGTCTAGTATAATTTCTGCAAGCTCACTTCGCAAAAGAAGATATAGTAGATACTAGATGAAAATATATCTACTATTACAATAATAATTCTAGGTAGATCTATTCTATACCAGAACTATTCTACTCTATGCAAGCGGGATTACATCAGGTAGTAGAGTATACTAAGGACTAAATAGATTTCTATATACTAGAAGTATAGTCCATAAACAATATACTAAGAAATTAAGACTGTGCTAATTCTTGCTGAAAAGTAGTTATAACAAGTAGTAGAAGCAGAGCCCTAATTAGTAGATAAGTATAGACATTGCAAGACTTATTATATAAAAAGATCAGACTGGTAAAGATCTCAAGATAGTCTACTTTTGTAGGCTGGTAGCCACCAAGAATATATTTATTGTTAAACTGCTATTCAGAGATCTCCTGCTACATAACAGTTTGTACTTTGACCTTGGGCTGATTTGTAGAATCGATTCTGATATTTATATTAACTTTCAGTACTTGCTGTCTTTTGAGTTTTGTCCCTGATATAATATTCTCCCCAGACGGACAGTGATAGGATGAAAAATAACAAAAGAGCTTAGTTCTTAGTTGCCGATAAAAAGAGCAGAGAAGAGGAGAGATATCACCAAGGGAATTATTATATAACAGTAGGCTTAGCTCAACCTAGAACAAGGCGATAATCAAGGAATACCAGCGCACAGGTATAGTGGCTTGGATTATTTATTGAGGGCGATGGAACTGATTGTAAGCGAGAATTGACAAATAGCAACAATTTGCTCCGTACAAAAGTCCCGCTTACCGGGTTAGGATGGTACGCATGTACTGTACAGCAGGGCTGGTATATGGTACCTTGGATGGATACATAGTAGCCTTACCGCTGCCGCTTCAAATAGAAAGGAGGGCGCTCCTACAACAGCAAGGCTTTGCTTATCTCCAGGTAGAAACGGCAGGGCTAGCATCCGTAGGATAATGGATACATACACGTCTGTGGCCACTCAAAGAGCAGACAAATAGTCATGCCGCTGTGGCGTCAGTGAGGAGAAAAAGGATCGGATTCCTAGTAAAGTCTCAAAATGACCTAGGAACTACCTATAGACTTCTAGTTAATTTAAGCCTCAGGTCCACTTGATGGAGCTATTACTATCAGCTGCTCTTAATCATTCTCATGCTAGCCGCTTAGTGAGTCGGGGCTTGTCATAGCTGAGGTCCGTAGTCTGCTGCTGTTTATCATATTTGGTCACCGTCGATTGTGGCCCCACCCGAACAGCTCAGAAACGAGGTAAGAGGTAAACAAAACGATCAAGCTTACCCCACCCTCGAGCCGGAGCGTTCACCCTACTCTATAGAATATTGGCTGGAGGATGGACTTAATGATGCGCTCGGAACAAACATGGGTAGAGTGGAGCTTGAGTCTATTACAGCTGCACTGTTATCATTGTCGTATTGAGAATCCACTGCAGCTGTTTCCAGGTCCTGATCCAAGCTTTGAGGGGCTGAAAGACGCGCCGAACCGAGTGGGTAATCCCCACTACTGTAAATTACAGTACAGTACATGCCCCATACAGTTACTACAGTACTCTCCGCTTGGTCTTCTGAAGGTGTCATCCCGGATACTTCCACGCTGAGATCCGCTATCTGTCACTCGCGATCCCATGTTCATGGAAAATGGTTGTTTCTACCAGACAATTGTACGCGTAGATATAGGAAAAGAAAGAGCCTGCCGTATTGTATTCTTTTCTGATTACCACCTATCCAGATCCTTATTGTCAGAAGAAGGCGAGGGTTGTGAATAAACAGCCGGTCAGTCAAACTCGGAATTGATTTTTTAAAAAAGCAGGCTAGCACAGCCCCGAGGCCAGATTTTACAGGCTTTTAATAATACATAGCTAAGACGCCTAGTTTCTGCCTTTCAATCCTTACATATTATAGCTGGTTTGAGTCCCGGTCAAATCTTTCAATCCATTTGTGCTGATTTTGAATAATGGACGAAAACGATTCTCGAGGTCTTTTTAAGTATGTGCTTGGGTTTTTCGCTAGAAAACCACCGGAAAGGTCCGCGCAGCCCGCGTCGTTGAGATCGCGCACACGCGAAGCCTGGCTTCGGACGGATGCATATCTGCAGCATGATGCAGACGACTTGGATGAGATTGAGCCTGAACGTCTTGCAAAGGCCTTGCGTGTATTTGAAGACTATGTTCAGTACGACTCTGCCCGAGAACCAGACTTTGTAAGCGCTCTTTATATACAGCAAGCTTCAGTCTTCTAGCCCCTCGCTTCCTGCTTGTTAACACGAAGTAATGCACCAGCGCCTACAGCATGATGTGCCGTATCCGAAGCTTCAGACGATGCGCAGCGTGATCGAGCGTCCGAGTCAAAATTCGCATTCCAGCCCTAAAATCTCCATTCGCACTGGTAAACGAAGAAGAGAAAGTGAAGCTGTCATTCAAGAACTGGCGTATTTGGACAGTGAGGCTAAGAGACGCCGGGTTCTACCTCGCGAAGAACCAGCTACGTGCGATGATCCCGAAGACCGAAATGCCGACTTCGCTGTGCTGATGAGAAGACGTTTATTATCCTTGAACAATGCGTTACGAAGAGATTGGATCTGTGTTTGCCACAAGTGCTCAGGACTAAGCGTTCGACTTTCACTGCCACGACAAAAGAAGGATCTGAAGGTCGAGACGTGCTTCGAAGTGTTCTTCGGCGTACGGTCTCTTCTTGCGGTAGAGTTGCAAGAAGCCAGAATAACTGTCAAGTAAGCTTTTAGAGCCTTCGGCAATCGGCAATGATTCTGACTAACGAACTCGCGGCAGAGACGTGCATAAAAGCAGGATGAGGAGCACATCTGAGCCTCTAACTTGCGGCGCTTCCGATTTCGCCCACATATGTCAAAGTATTACAGAGTCTCTTGGCCAGGCTAATTGCTTGAACTTTGCTCTTGAAGATGGGAGGTTTCAGAGGCTTCGTCCGCAACCGAAGACCTTTGCTGGTGATCGCACGTCTGGAACAGTTTCGTTGTCGGCATTATTCAAGCGTCAGCAGGAACTACGCGGGGGCTCATCTGCATTGCCATTCAAAGGTAAACGGATTTTGGCCGTCACTCTGGCTACCGCGCTTCTTCCATTTCTGGAGACACCGTGGCTGCAGCCTTCCTTCAATCACTCAAAAATTCTGTTCTTTGAGCCACTGCAAAGTGGAGAACTTCCAGATATTACGAAACCTTTCCTCGCCATGGAGCACATCCCAATGCATTCAAACCACAATAGAGATATCAGCGTCAGTTCGGAGAACTCTAAACACAGGGTGCATCCCAATGCCAGTGTGCTAGCGCTTGGTATACTCTTGTGCGAGCTTCATTATTGCACACCCGTGGACATGATGCAGGAGGACTCGTCCACCATCAGAAACATCAATACTGACTACTATACCAGTCTTGAGAAGCTTAAATCTTTGGAAGCTGATGCTAGCGTTGATTACTATCTTGCTACCAAGGCATGCCTGCAGTGGGAGTACTTACCCCCTGGACAGCAGGCTGACTTTGAATCGGTCAGCGTACAGCGACTATTTTACCAAAATGTTGTCAAGCGGCTTGAGGCTGAGATACACAATGGGTGGGGACTTCGATTGGAGGACCTGGACTCATTTGAGTCTCAAGAGAATAGGCTCCGCTGGGGCTCCATCGGCTGCGAGGTTGTGCGCCATCGAACAGACAGGGCGGACTCATGTGATAAAAGTATCGGCGCCCAAGCGATTCCGGATCGTTCTAGTTCTGACGTCACGCCCGCGGGATATACATCGTTCAACTCAGATATGGCTCTACGGATGCCGGCACGGCCTCCATTGAAAACGCAACTAAGCGGACATTTAGCGGAGCCGCCAGCGAAGAGCTTGTGTTTCTTTGATGCAAGCTACCGGGCGGATTGTGAGGAAGAGTGAGGTTTCTTCTTAATGGTCATGATATTTTGTGGTTCTAATAGGCAGACAGGAGTCAACTTTCGCAACGATGGATGGACAACCTTCTGTCTTCCATTCATCACTTTGTTGACCCTTACGAATCAATCGAAGCCGAACCCAGAGCATTCGAACCGGTGCGGATAGCGATCCTAGATTCCGGGTTTGACCCTGAGAATCCACTTCTAATGACCGAGAATCGACAACTAGATCCACGGATCAAGGCCGCGCGAAGCTTCATCGCTGATACAAAACCAGAAGACATCCGAGATGAGATCGGGCACGGCACTCATGCTCTTGGACTTCTGCTCAAAGTTGCCACGTGTGCTGAGATCTATATCGCCAGAATTGCGCATCGAGAGACAATCGATCGTAGCACCTACGGCGACATTGCAGAGGTAGGATTGGCCCCTATGGCAGAGCAGAATTTTGATTCAAGCTGAATCTTTCTTCAGGCCATCAATTTTGCAGTTTCCGAATGGAAAGTGGACATCATCTCGATGTCATTTGGGATTCGTGAACACAGCCAGCCAATAAAAGCAGCCATAGCCAATGCTATATACAGTCAGACATTGTTATTTTCGGCGGCATCGAATGATGGAGCGAACCTTGGCAGGGCCTTTCCAGCTCAATATCCCGGCGTCTTTTGTATACACTCAACTGATGGACATGGCAATCCTTCCATGTTCAACCCGACCGCAGACGACAAAGATGTCAACTTTAGTCTACTTGGGGAGTGCGTCTCCTCTCATTGGCCAGTTGGCAAAGATGGCCGCGGTCAAACTGTCAAGGTAATGTCAGGTACATCGGTCGCAACCCCTATAGCCGCTGGGCTGGCAGCATCAGTTCTGTCTTTTGTCCGACAGCAAGACCAACATATCAGGCCAGGCAGTGAAGCACTGGGGCCGTGGCTGAAGGATGCCGGCTCAATGAATGCGGTTCTGAGGAGTATGGTCAGGCATACAAGAGGAGCAGGCTATCACTACCTCACGCCCCATGTAATATTTGATAGAGAGTCGACAAGGGAGCATGTCTATGAAAAGATTGAGGACATCAAAAAACACATGTATAGCTAGAAAGCTAGGTACTGACAATGCTGTCAAAGTAGAGCTGTTCACACTGTTCATTGGGGTCTCAAACAGATTGTAGCATATTTAAGCGGGGACGCAATAGACATCGCCATTCTCGGTCACATCCGGAACGGCTTGAGCGGTGCTAATCTGTGACCCGTCCACTTCCTCGACCAGAACAGAGGCGTTATTCTCTTGTTCTCCACCAATGGCCAAGAATGCGCCCTTGTTGTACTCTTCCACCTTCAGTCTGCGGCCGAATCTGAGCCTTTTCACGCGGAACGCAAACACAAATTCCGTTTCACGATTGAGTTCTGTCCCGTCCTCATTCCTGCTAACCCAGTGGCCCTTTGGGCCGATGGATGTACCCAGCGCAGTCACGTCAAACCCCATGTTTCCTCGAACTGTTGCACTCTGCGAAGTGGAGTATTTGATCCTGGCGCCTTGAACGAGTTTCATGCCAGTGACGAGAAAGAGCGAGACAACGGGGGCGAATCTCTGTTTGGGCTCCCGCAGCCACGTCTGCACGGCAGGTGCTTGGATAGCTTCTTCAACGTACTCTTGCGTTGGCTCAAATGATAGAGTCGTCACCCGGTCAAATGCAAACACCTCCGCCCTTTTTCTGGAAGTCTCCACGCTCACCTCAGGCCCGAGGGGCGATCCCCCGGTAGCCAGCTGCAGGAACTGTGCATAAACACCGCACCCGAGTCCTTGCTCGGTGGAGATGGTCTTCCTCCAGTCGGTGTCCACGACCGGCGGTAATGGCGCGGTCACGGCAACAGATCTCCCCCTATTCAGAGGGTATTGCGGTGTTGATGTGGAGCGGAGTATAGATCCAAGACAAAGCGGACCCGCTGGCGGTGGATGGAGAAAATCCGATGTCGGACACAGAAAATAGGTCTTGGGAAGAGACATGACTGCCAGATGTTTGGCAATGGCGGAGATTATAGTACGCCTCGCTGTCGAGAAGGGTTGGAGTCATTGACTGGGCCAGGCAGGGGTGAGACGGGATTGATCCCACGCCATCGCGGTTCATGCTATCCCTTTTACCTTTTACTTGTTGCCTTCATTTGGTCATTTCAACCCCTCACTCACTCTCTTCCAATCCATCGACTAACCAATAGCAACAGGTATATAACTTAGTTGTCGTGAGTCCGGAAACCCGCACTCAGCGCCGGGCGCCAGGCGTACTAGTCGGTACGCTTCTAGCTGGTCTTGTCATGGTCACGGAGTACTTACTGTCACATAAGTGAGTTTGGCCGCCTTCTTGGTACGCCAATTGTGACTTTGGTGTTTTTGGTACAAGGTTGGCTGGCCTAAACAATTCGGGGGTGTACCCAACACTATTGTACCTTTGCGCTGTGACGCAACTTGTAATTAATTAATTCCGGGCCAAAGTCTTAATTACAGTACAACTCAGCAATAACCAACACATATGGCGGTGTCTCGCCATCTGACACTCCTCGGATCCATGCGACATTTTTGTACACCTTGTCGCAATTGCTTATCTAGCAGCCCCTAGAATACTCTATCCTCGAATAGACGGGATCAGCTGCCTTGTTCTCGCAAACCGCCGGGACCGCATCCATCGGCTATGGAGGTGCTAGATCGTGGGAAAGATGAGTTTATGGAAGATATCTTCCTCCAAGATGATCTTCACCCCACCATCGCAGAGCACGCAACCAAGTGCAACTCGCTTTTCCACCAATATATAGTATTGCCAGACATTGTGCCGGATCCTACCATCATGGATGATCAGCTGGCACGATTTACACTGTGGGCAGCAAACATGGATGTGTATGGACCGCTTAATGTTTCGCTGGACTACAGGCTTCGATTCAGTCCCACGGTCGTGGAGATCATACATCAGCTCCTAGGCCTTATCTGTGATACAATGGTGTCTTGCAAGTACCCGCCGCGCCCAGTCACCGAGAAACGAAACGTCGAAGAGTCAATGCTAACGAGAGTTCTTTCATAAAAGTGAAGCCGATTCAGAACCCACCGCAGACCCCGAGCAGGAAAAGACAGCGTGTGTCAGGACACAGTGACTCGGAAGGCTGGAGGAGGAGACCCGAGGATGATGCAAGTGACTCGGACAGCGACGGAGATCCAGCAGAAGAGAACATCTCAAAAATCACCGATATCATTGGCGGGACGGTCACACGGCTCTTTCGTCTATCCAATGCTGTTCGAAAATCCGCGAAAGCCGACCGGGCGCGTAGGATCGAAAGATACAGAGATGATGAACAAGCGAACCAGGCGATCGCTGAATTGCGTCTCTACACAGATTGCTATATCCGGTTCCGTTTTCCAATGGCACCGGATTCCCTTCGCACAGCATTGATCGAAGCCAATGCGGTGCGCCTACGACGATTGTATTACCAGCGAACCCATCGAAGGCGCATCGGCTTGAGTGTGCAGCATCCGCGAACTGCCCCAACTGTCGTTCAACTGCCGAAGATAAACGGAAGTGCTCCAACTGTACGTTTTGATTCGAGCATGCTCCCAAAGCCTGCGACAACTAGAACGATATTGGGAGCAGCAAGTCCCCCCCCTGTGCCCTTAACCAATGCAACTACTGCTCGACAATCTGCTGTTAGAGCACTCTACGCCAAATCTACGACCGAGGTGCCTCGAGCCAAGTCTGTCCTAGTGAATAACAAGCTGTCGTTCCCACCATTACCGCCGACCGATGAGTGTCCATACTGTGGCGTCATTATTGAATTCAAGAGCAGAGCGAAGCCAATGCTATGGCAGTAAGCAAACCGTTATCTTTTTTCCCCCCTTTTTGGAGAGAAGTGCGGTTAACCTCTTGTAGCAATCACGTCATCAGAGACTTAGAACCTTTCATTTGTGTTTCCGCACAATGCTTGGAAGCAGGTCATCATGGGACCGGCCCAGCAACATTTGAGACGTCCGGTGCCTGGATCAGCCACATGCAGAATGCTCACGGGCATACATGGGAATGCAGAGCTCCTTCTCATGATCCGACCACTTTCGATGAGGAGGTTCACTATCGAGAGCATGCCATTCAGGAGCACGGCGTCCCTGCAACGCATGTCGGAACCCTCAGCCTCGCAGCACGAAGGCCGTTACTTGATAGAATACTGGAATGCCCATTTGGCGATGACTTTCAACCCCCGGACAAGGTCGAGCCCAATGCTGTCTTTTCGAGTGAAGCTCTCCAGTCACACGTTGCCGCTCATATCAAAGAGATCGCCTTGATCACTTTGCAAAAGCTCCCTAGCGATAATGAGGAAGACGCCGAGAAAATTGATAGTGATCAGCCGTTAGAGGATGATGTGCCGGGGTTTGCGAAATTCCGTGCATCCATGTACAGTGTGATGGATGATGAAGCTCTGGAGTATCGGGATGATGACGCCGTGGCTGCAGATGGTAGCAAGGACCACGGCGAAGAGGATATTACAGCATCGGTGACAAAATTAGACTTACAGGACAAAGAGGGCTCGAAAATGGCAGAGCTTTACAATGCCATACAAGCCGGTGATCTGATTTTGGTTCAGTCACTAACTCACGGAGGCGCAGGTCTGGACAACAGGGACGAAGAAGGCAGAACAGCGTTACATTACGCCTCCATGGAAGAGTCCTGTGGTCGTGATATGATGGCTTTACTGCTGAATGCGGGCGATAGGGCCCCCACAGATCTGGGTGATAACCACGGCCAGACAGCCCTGCATTATGCTGCAGAAAGAGGCCTTACTGATATTATATCTATCCTGGTCGAACACGGTGCCGATATAGGTAGAATTGACAATCATGGATTTACTCCGTGTCTCTGGGCTGCGGTTGCAGGGCAAACCCAGGCCACAGACGAATTGCTAAACATAGGCGCCGATGCTAATGCAGTTAGCGCGGATGGGAAGTCTGCGCTGCATTGGGCAGCGGGCCTTGGCTGGTCTTCAGTTGCTGAGCTGCTTCTGGACCACGGTGCCAGCATATCCCAGAAAGCAAATAGGCACAGAGCCCCATTAGAAACGGCAGCAGCTTCTGGCGACCTTCCGACTGTACAGATGCTTCTCTTCTCTGGCGGGGATCCTAATCATCAAGATCAGGATGGTTGGTCCGCAATACACTTTGCAGCGGAGGAAGGCCATTTTGAGACTGTGCATCGCTTGTTGGAGCGAGGGGCTGACGTCAACGCTGTCAGCTCTTATGGTACATCACCATTGCACTGTGCGGCAAACGGTGGCTATGCTGATATTGTGCGCTTGCTTCTTTCACGGCGAGCCAATCCACTTAAGTCAACATGTCATGGTTGGACTGCACTGCATCATGCCGCCTACATGGGGCACTCAGACGTTGTCCAGTGCCTCTTGGAAGACGACCGCATAAGATCCAGTGCCTCGCAGCAGGATAACCATGGCTGGTCCATTCTTCACCTAGCCGTTCATAGTCAAGATCTGGCCACTATTCAGGTCCTACTTGACAGCTTTGCTATCGCAGAACCTTCAGCGCTGGTCGACGAGAATGGGCTTACTGCGGAAGAATGGCTAGATCTCGAGCCAACCAGCTACTTGTACAAAGCCACCAGTAACTTAGCCTTTAGCAAGTCACGCTGCTGCAGAGCCGTCACAGGCCTACGGCAAGCTGTTCTCACCGGCAGTGTTCCTATGATCAGACTCCTCCTCAGACTCGGTCACGACGTCAACGGCATAGATTCCGGAAGACGGACCGCGCTCTATTACGCGGTGAAGAAGAGCATGTTTGCAATGGTGGACCTTCTCCTCGATATGGGTGCAGATCCCAATATCCTCCCCATGGGACGCAGATCTTGGAAGGAATTTGTCGCGGATGACCGGGTGTTGCGACGGCTCAATCGAGCTGTTTGCGCACGGCCAGATTCTGACCCCAGCGTCCAGCGCCGGATCCAGATTGCACTCCGAGCGCATGGCCAGCCCTCCGCCCCGCGTCGATCAGGCCCGTTACTACCGAACCAGTCGATTGTACCATCACCATCGCCACCGCCGCCGCCAATGCGAGAACGATTGCTCTTATCGGCTTCCGCTCCGTCAGCGTCATCTCCGCTGGACCACTCCATTTCGACGACGCCAACACGCCCACCGGCACCTCGAGCCCAAGCATCCGACAAGAAACGTAAAGCGAAGTCCGATGGGTCGGGTCTGACGCGGTTTTTCAGGCGGCTGTTGGGATAGCGATTCCAGCGCACGGCGACGAAGATGGGAAGCGAGGGCTTGAGATTAGAATGCTTCGTGCCGCTTCGGGCTAATGTCTTGGCCCTGCTATCAATCCCCTAGCTTGTGAAGATTGAACATCAACAGTTCGTGCTCACATGTCTAGGGCTGTGGATTTCTTGTGGTGTCACAGCGACACAGACTGCTGACATGATTTGCGAGTCGGCCTGTATCAAAGGGTTTGGCTATCCGGCGAAGGGAAAAGCCAGCTACCGGCACAGGAGGGGTAGAGAAAGACAGAAGCAAGGTTCCGTCGCGCAATTCTTCATATTGGAGGTGATAGGGCCTTGATTGTTGATTTCCATAAGGCGTGCTCAGGCCATGGGCATGAATGCTTTACGGAGCAAGTATTGCGGACTCCTTGCCGTAGCAGCACAGCCACTGAACAACAGATAGCCACTGTATCGCTATCCAGGACTGCCCTCTTAGCACAAAGACAGCGAGAGTCTTCTTTGGCCCTTCCTGAGAAGCACGATTTCGACTGACGCCGAGAGCCATCACCAGCCCGCCGGTAACCAGAGGAACTTTGACCCATCTTCCGACTCAATTACCCAATTCCGCCAAACCGTCACCCATACTATCATGAATATGACCACAGGAGGGAAATGAACGGTCAGTGTCAATGGAGGAAGACGCTCAAAAGCGGAACCTTTTTCAGTTTACAGTCCTTAAGATCGAGATAGCCTCAGCCACGGAGGCGAGAATTGTACTATGATGAGCGTACGCTACAGAATTCGCCCGAAACAGCGCTTAGAGACGGACATCCATGCGGAAAGTTCAGAGAAGACCTAATTAGTGTGAAGACTGAGTGACCTCCATGTGAATCATCGAAAGATAGATAAAATCCCTTGCTGTTGTACGATGCATCCCTCCCAATGTCAAAACACTTCAACAGAACCGCTACTTGAAATGCGAACCTCGCCTCGATGCCATAAGCAAGCAGACTCCTTCAGAAAAGCAAACCCGGTAAGGCCATTCGCAACATGCAATCATCAAGAGGGGGCCCAGCTGTTCCTTGCAACCTGGCTCTCGCTGTACCTCACCACTCTTTAGGCCAAGAGGGTGCGCAGTGCTTCATATATCAATGATCCGGCTTACCATTTCGTGGACGTCGGGCAGAGATTGCAGACTTCCACTCACACTTCGTCGCAATATAGCCGCCTGCAATATCAAGCCATGTTGCTTTCCGATGATCAGGCACTCCACCAAGGTTTTGCACGCCCGCTTTCGAAGCGATCCGGGTGGTTGTTTGGAAATCAAGGTACTCATCAACTCTGGTATCGTCTCACCAATCAGCCACTGGTGAGACATGGCATTCTCCTGGCAGAGAATCAAGCATGCCGCAGAGGGTAAATTGAGGAAGCGGTCCCGTCCTGCCCCTTGCGAGCGTTCGGCAAATTGGAAAATACTTGTCAGGAAGAGAAGTAATCTAGAGGAATCGCGGCTTTGGCTGATGCCGGCCAATTCACCGGCGCATGCCTGATTTGCGTCATTGAACAGGTCAACTTCGTGCCCGCCACCGATGTATCCTTCGTAGAACTCGGCGATGACCCCGGAGAAGTATTCGATCGGCCGCGGCTCGTCATTCTCGATCATGGCAAAGTGCGATGTCAGAAGCACCACAGTCCGAGCCACATTATCCTCCCGGTTGCCGCTACGGATCGAGGTATCGAAGTCGTTCAAGAAGTCGCGGACGCCGTAGTGTAAAGATTCCTCCGCGCCTCTCTGGCAGGCGATCGCGGCCCAATGCGAGAATGCTCTGGCTGTGATGGCATCGCCTTCTCTCCACCCGTGTCGAACAGCTGCGAGCTTGGCCTCCGAGCCGACGAGGACTGCGATCACGAGAAGGGCTTGCAGATCCCCGGGGGCGACCTCCCGAAACACTTGCGTCGGCAGGTCGGTCATGGCCTGCAACCCTTTATGATTCCTGGAAACCACCAGCTGGACGAAGAATTCACGGTACGCTTCGGCCCATTGGCGCATTTCGTTCATCTTACGCCTCCTGGCGACCTCCTGCAGTACAGGCATATTCTCCCAGCGGTCGAAGGCCACAAACTTCAGATAAAGGGTAACCAGGGAAAGAACGATGGGGAAGCGGAAGGAAAGGCCGAGGGCCTTCATGACGAGGTTGATCTTTCGCGATGCCTGCTTATACCGGGCCAGGAAGATCTGTTCTCGAAGTCCCAGTAGCTCTTCCACCCTCTCTTCCATCGGGTCAGAAGGACTTCTCAGAGAGGCGACTCCTGAAGGGGTGGGCAGTTCGTCCACGCGCGCGCCGTGCTCAAGCAGCATCTGGATGATCTCCCTCGCGTTTGTTTGAATGGCTCGAATCAGCGGGGTGTCTCCATGCTCAGACTTACTCTCCAGATGGGCACCATGACCGAGCAGCATAGACACGATGTCCTTGTGCTGTCCATTGACCGCGATATGGAGTGCTGTCAACCGGCCTCGATCTTTGACATTGACACGAGCACCGTGATCGAGGAGCAGCTCCACCATGTGCCGATGACCTCTACTGACGGCCCAGCAAAGCGGCGTTCGGCCGTAGTTGTCCTTGCGCGAAACGAGGCGGACATGCTTGCTGATCAACCATCTAGCCCAGGCTACGTTACCAAGATACGAAGCGAGATGAAGGAGCGTGAACGCGGGCGCGTTCCCGCCGTTCCTCTCCTGCTCCCAATAGAATCTCCACCAGCTGTCTCGGATGGCAGACTTGACTCCAAAAAACGGACGTGAGAACTCAGACGGGTCCTTAACTGCGTCATTGGCGTGATAGAAATGCACCGGCCAGTATTGAGCGGCATAAAGGAAGAGTGGACCGCGGTCGAACCTTTCATCGATCGCTCCGGTGGAGACGTAACAACGCTCGACGTGTGCGAGGCAGGTCCGCATGAGAGTCCTGTGGGTGCTCTGGTCCATGTAGAACATGCTGATCCCCTTGACGTTGACTTGGTTGCTCTGGAAGAATTCTTTCGCCGACTGGTGGACCAGGTTCACTACATCTCCTTCGATCTTCACGAGCGGCCCGCAGAGCCTAAGCCGACCCTTGGTGACTTCGGTTGCGGTAAGGGTGCCGGATGCCTTGATGTCTGTGGCCGCTGTCAATTCGTCAATTGTGAGGGGCCGGGCAGCGAGAACCACCCATTGGAGAATGGGCACCAGCGCTTCCTTGTCGGCAATTTGCTGGAGCAGCCGTTGATATACTCCAGCTAGGCCTTTAGGAATCTGATGGATGATTTCGTTGATTCTGTCCCAACTTCGCCCCTGAAGCTCATTGGCAACAAAGCCCACCCACAAGAAGGTGCCATCGGCGCCGGCCAATAATGCCTGCCGAACTTGCGCAACCATTCCGTCGGAGAGATTTTGCTCGGATGCCAGTTCGGTGACTTTGGCAGAGATGTACCTCTTGACATCACCTGCTATCTCCGCATTGGAGTCGTCCAATTTGATGTGCAGATACTGACCAAGTCTGCTCTCCGAGATAGCTGGGTGGGGCCGGGAGAGCAAAATGAGCTTCAGTCGTGGCCTTCCCACTTTTGGGGTTTTTGACAAATAGTTCCCAACGGCATCGAGAAACTGGCCGAGCAATTCCTTCTCGCATTCATCCAAGCCGTCCAGCACACAGACCACCTGGGAAGACCCACTATGTTGAAGCATCGTGAGGAATACACTCCACAGGGCGACAAAGCTGGAAACGGTGTACTTGGTTGTCTCAGTGCCCTCAAAGGAGTTCTTGATGCATTGGGCCAGGTGCGGTTGAAGATCGATCCACTGGTGTATGAGGCCTCTCAGTATGGTCAAGGCCGTATTCCGATTCTTATCGCGGTTACTACAGAAATAGTAGAGAAGAACATCGCCGGTGACACCACCACCACCACCACCCACCGGCTCTAACACTTCTGTAATATAGATCGCCAACATGGTTTTTCCTTTTCCAGGGCCACCCGAGATCCAAAGTAGTGGTTGATTTGGGTTTGACAACCACTCCTGATAGCGGGGATGCTGTAGGAGCCATTCGCACGTGCCGTCGGCTCTGCGCCCTTTCAGTAGAATCAGCGACTTTCGGTCAACCTCTGGTCTGGTCAAGAGCAAAGCGCTGAGAATGGGCCCAGCCTCGGTGCTGGGTGTCAGAGGTACTGTCTTGAAAGTCTTGGGTATGAACGAAAGGACTTCCTTTGCGTACGCTGCTGCGGCCACTGCGGCATAGGGGTGCCAGAGCTTCGAGCGATGCGAATCTGCATAGTTGCAGATACCTCGGATAATCAAGTATTGGGCAGCATCTTTCAAGCCGATCGCGCCCGTCTCAGAACTCAACACGCCTTGCTTGTACGGCAATGTGTCTCTAGTTGCTCCGTGACGCACCGCATGATGACCGGTAGCGATAAGGCCATAATGCACTGTAGGTCTCGGTGTCTCTCGAGGCTGCCGGGACCGGACTCTCCCTGGGTTGCAATCTCTGCACGCGCTTTCTCCGGAATCAATAGTTGCCTGTCCATAATTCGGCTCGAAGAGAAAGTCTTGTTCAGGACTTGGCCGGGAGAAGATGACGGGGTCTTTGCGAACGATGTCGGCGACGTACTGATCTATCTTACTGTCGCCGAAGATGGCGGCTGTCTCGGCTTTCCTCGTTGCTGTGAGAAGCAGTGATGAAGTCGGTTGTCCTAACGCTCTACCGCGAAGAATTTGATCTTCCATTTGCTCTCCGTTCGCGGCATACTGAATGGCACCCGGCCGACCGACTGCCGAATTGCTTACAACAATATCACCAAGACGAATATCCTCGTTCGTGTTTGGAACCGCACCCGCAATACCAACCATCAGTATGATCCGAACAGATGCGAAATTTGCCTGTAACTGCGTAGCAACGTCCGACAAGGAGGGTTTATCATCATCTTCACCATCCTCACACGCACAGCAATTCGGATATGCCAGTATGACATTATGGCCTTGAAGACTTCCCAGAATATAGTTGTTGTTGTTGTTGTTGAGGTCCAGATTCGGAGGTAGCAAGTTGTCATGAATGCAGTCGAACGTAGCTTTGGCAGCCTCTACCTCGATGGGCAGTGTGCAAACCCACCCGACGGAGTAATCGTCAGGGGAGGCCATACCCAGTCGAAATGCAGATCGACAATGGGAGTACGTATAGAAGGTTAATGCTAAAGTTTGCGTCTTTGAATGTGAGGGGCGGAATCACCCCCTCCGTTTGTGCTGGGTGTGAGAAAGCATGCAGATGCAGTGGAGGCATTCAATCAAAGCAGAAAGATGTATGTAACGTATGTACACAGTGGATCAATAAGTGGTCAAAGGGGGCTCACCTCTGGACCTCTTGTGGGGGTGGGTCAAGATAGGTACCAGATACGATACGATACAGTATAGTATAGTATAGTACGGGATGATACATCCCGTTCGGACCGGGACGACGCGGGTATCCACCCTCCCCGGAGATAGTATGTGTAAGACTCCACCGTAAAGGTACAGGTAGTACGTGCGTGCGTGGTGGGACGCATTGTCCTACAACTCCATGATACATGACTAGTAATACCACAAGCTTTACCATTTACATGACTGGCGTTGAGGCCAGACTCGGCGGGTAGATTGCCATCTTAAATTAGGTGATCTCAACTCTAAGATGAGGCATTTTTGTCATTGGGCGAACATATGCAGCAGAATCACGATGGCTCTTGATCTAGTGCAATGACCATGCCGCCTGAATTGTGGGGCTGGGCAATGCAACGTTGTTGGTTGGCTGTCCTGCCGCTGGCATCTCTACTCCGTACATCCGAGCGCTTACGGCCTCTAGAAGAGCAAATAGGACGCCAAATAGGACGATTTAGGACTTTTGAACTTGTATAGTGCAGCGGTACAAGCATTTGCAAGGCTATCTATTGGGTTTGGCCGGAAACAAAAATCCCCCCACACGACTCTTACCCACTTTCTTTAACTTATTCCCACCCCATTCCCAACCACCCACCATCATTATCATCATGATCATTGCCAGACGTGAAAGCAATGGCATCTTCTACCCGTCTTCGAGTCACATCCCCTCAGATGCAGAGGTCGCCTGATGAGCAGGGAACCCTCCACCGACGGTCTTTAATGAGTCCATCCAAGGCTGCCACAGCATGCAAAGTTCTTCTTGCGTTCGAGGAGTTACCGGAGTGGCATCAAGACAACGAATACATCCTCCATGGCTATCGCCCAATTTCAGGCTCGGCTCGAGTATCATTTGGCAGTTTGTCATACATCCACAATGAGTCGGTCAACATCTACTCGCACCTAATACCAGCGGTCGCCTTTCTCCTCGGCGAGTGGTATATTCAGCAGTATTTGACAAGTAGATACTCCAAGGTCACTGTGGCTGATTGCTTGATTTTTGCCTTCTTCCTATTGACCGCCACTATCTGCCTGGGACTGTCGACGACATACCACACCTTGATGAACCACTCCCACGAGATTGAACAGTTATGGCTGCGGCTCGACCTGATAGGCATAGTGGTCTTGACGATCGGGGATTTTGTATCGGGAATATACATGGTCTTCTGGTGCGAGCCTGTGCAGCGCAAAATCTATTGGTCCATGGTGAGTCAATTTCTGCACATCCCACTGATCTTTCAGGGTTGATCCCGACGCTTACTTCGATTGCCAGATCGGGGTTCTCGGATTGCTTACCATCTTCATCATGATAAGTCCCAGGTTTCGGGGCCCAAAATTTCGCATTTTCCGGGCCCTAACGTTCGTGGCGACGGGCCTCTCTGGCTTCGCACCATTGATACATGGGATCAAGATGTTTGGTCTCTCGCAAATGATGATACAATCTGGAATGCCCTATTATCTGATCGAGGGAGCCTTCCTGCTGATGGGTGCCTTGATCTATGCGGTAAGCCTCCAGGTCCCGCGCAGAATGGGAATCAAATTCTAAATGCGATGATCGTACAGACCAAGTTTCCCGAGAGTCGATTCCCAGGTCGATTCGACATCTACGGGTCCTCCCATCAGCTCTTTCATGTATTGGTGGTTTTCGCTGCCGTGACGCAGCTGGTTGGGATACTCAATGCATTTGATTACAATCACCTGCATCGAACCTGCTAAGAGAAATCTCCACGTGTCACGCACGCAAGACCAGCTTCATGTTTCTTGGTCGTTGAGCATCCTCTGGAAGCCACCGCGGTACATGAAGCGTGCTAGGGTTTTCGGCTACTGCGTTCCCGATGGTGACCCATGCTAGACTTGAGACTAGAGGCCAGGTTTGGAGCCGAAGACTAGAGCGGATCACAGACCGCCGGGCCAGAAGAAAAGACGAGCGTGCGAGGTAGGCCAGCCTCATCAAAGAACGAGATGCCAAAGTTTCGGATAGGATTGAGGATGAGATCCATGGCTTATTCTGCGGCCCGCAAGACCCGATCCCTGTGCAAGGTACCGGTTCGACATAATCTGTACATGACAGTACGAAGTACACGGATTGCTACAGGACACTTTCCGACGTCCCTAGAGAAGTGATGCATAGAGATTCCATAAGGTGCTTTGCGTGAAGTCAGGATAGAGATAAGTGGCTGGCGGCAAGACGTGCAGGGCACCGTCTGCATCGTGCCTTGTTCAATGCATACTTTATTGGTGTCCTGGGATCTCTCGAGCATATTATTGCAGGGCACACGAAGAAACCAGCAGTGCTGTATTAATGCAAGTTGCTGAATTACAAGGCTATACACATCCATACCGCATCGGTCTGCCCTTTCACCACCCAATAAACACTTCTCAACTCAAGGTCCAGCCTTGATTATCTGTGCGGACCCGACACTATCTCTGGGCCTACTATGCAAGAAGGGAGTAGACGTTCAGTGATCGCTTTTAGGGCCAGGGAGTAAAACAGTAATGGAAATTCGGCGCTGGGAGTGAAAATTTGAGCCGTGTATGGTTAGGGAACGACAATCTTGGGTGAGCTTTTGTAACTTACCCCTGCTTTGTACAGTACATTGGCTAACTTTTTCTTTGTCCTGTGGAGAGTTGTCGCTTCGGCTCCTGCTCTAGAAGCCCCACCAGCGTCATCAGATACAGGCCTCAGCATACTAAGGAGATGGGGTGAGCCTAGACATTGGCATACAAGCAGAGTGAGCTACGTACTCTCCTCAGCTCGCTCGCTGAACCCGAGGCTTCTCATAACACTGGGAGATCAAGAAAGACCCCACAACGCCTGGCAACATTGGACATGAATGACACAAGTCCGGGTGCACTTTTCTTGTAGCACGCCAACTGCTTGAACCACAGGAATCTTTCTGACGTTTATGTTGGGATCTGAGGAGACCCGATGATCAAAAGTTGCCTCCAGACTGCATGAAGTTTTATCTATACAAATTGTGTTCTTCGATCCCCTATCTGGCAGTAATGCAAAGGCTGTGGATCCTGAACGAGTACTACTAAAAGAGCTGCTGTGTAAAGGTTGAGTTCTTAGTAACTCAGATTTTAGTGGGGAAAATATATATATCTTATACTTGTAGATCTGATAGGCTTTGCATTGTGGGTAAAACAATGTGACGAAATGTTCTTTTGGATACAAGAGACGATGTTGAATACTATTAGTCTAAAGTGGTCGCGATTCTTCGTATTGTGCTTCTGTCATACTGCTCCAAGACTCGTTCAAATTACTTGAGCCTATTGTTGGACTATAACATAAGATAATAGTGTCATTTGAGTGTGCTGTAGTATCCTTGAATCGTAGCTCAATGAGGACTTTCTTCCGAGAAGTATAGTAACCTAACTAAACACGAGCGGAACCCGGTAGTTTTGGTTGGTGCAGGTTATTCGACAGTCAACAGCATAGCTCAAGCAGCCGTAGCGCATCTGTTGAGCATGACCGACTGAAGCGTAAGCTTCTGATTATTGACAGGAATCAGGATTCTTTGGAGCAGACTATCGGCTAGATTAGTGTCTTGGAATTCTTTTGGCTGAGCGGTGTAATGCTCTCATCAAATATACAACCCTGTGGTCAACTAGTGTTTCAGGGATTCCCGTCCGTTCTTGGTTCCATCTATCATTACGATGCAAGTGCCTAGATCACGTTTTCCACGAGCTATCGACATATCCCCGCAGACAATGCATTTTTCCATGCTTGGAGAAGCCGTTTAGTCCATCTCCATCTCCATATCCGTATCCTCCTCACCCTTTTCAATCGCATTCTCGGGATCTGCAGCCCCAATGCCATGATAATACCCATCCGGAAACGGCACGCCTGGAAGCCGAAACACTTGCAGTCAGTGACCATCATCACGCAAAAAGAGATAAGAGGAGACTGAACTAGAGTACGAGAAAACCCCCTTCCAATGCAACGACTCCGACGGGAAGGACTTACCAAGATAAGGATGCACCAAGAACCCAGGCTTCATCATATCGACGGACCGCTCCTTCTGCCACTCGTACAGCTAGACAAGTTCTATTATCAATATCAATAGTTATATATCCGGATATTAATATAACTGGTTCAGATTAATCATAGACTTAGAGATAACTTTCTAATATAATAGAAAAATATAATATAGAAATAAAGAATAAATAATCAGATAGAAATAATAAGTAATAAAGATAGTTAGTAGTAATATCCAGATAAGATAGATCAAGTAATCTATAAGATAAGTAGTAGAGAAGATGGAATATTTGATATGAACGATTCGTTCTGTGGAAGAAGATAGTTGTTCCATTCATGGAGATGAGGATACAGGAAGCCGCTATAACTGTAGACACCAACACCACCGATGACACCCAAGGCAAGAACGACAGTGTCACCGGTGGAGGGGACCGACGACGGCTACAATATTACAGTGATTAGTAAGAACTACAGGCACAAGACGCGATTATAAGGGGAATAGATATTAGATTAGGATGTCTGAGACAGTCAGAAGAAATAAGTATAATAATTATTAAATTAGAACTTAATATTTGTTAAGAACTAGATAAATAAGAAGTATATTAACAAGATAAAAGTAAAATATACAATATTAGTAGTATATAGATTATATATATTATATAACTAAATTATATAAACTTAGATAAGAACTTAGAGTAATAGTTAGTTACTTCTCTAGTATTTACTACTAGAGTAATCTGGGATTGCTTAGGAATTGCTCAGGACACATACTTCTGTGCTTCTCCCACGCTCCAGGCCACTTAGTGAGCAAAAAGCCGCGCCAAGTTCGACCTAAAGTGGAAAGGGAAACTCGCTCGATTTCCGCAGCAATCCAGTTCGTTAGTAACTTGTATACACTTCCAGTGAAATGAAGAAATACGCGGTAATGCTTGCTTTGGGACTAGCGGCTCAGCCTTACAGTTGGTGCATGGCTTCTTTCTTCCCCTCCTTTCTATCTTATCCATCTGCAATCAGACGAACAACTTGAAGTCAGATGTCATGATCAATCATAATGTCTCTGCCCACCGGCCAGGGAATCCTCCAACTGCAAGTCCCGAGTGCGCAGCCAGAGCGCATCTACCATGCCCGTCGTGCGCATCGGAAGTCCCGCCATGGATGCACCCAGTGTAAACAACGTCGAGTCAAGGTACGGCTGCGGGGAAACGAAGACACACTCCGGAGGAGTCTGACCGTTCCAGTGCGACGAATCCAAGCCCCATTGTCTCCGCTGTCAGAAACTCCATTTGGATTGTAGCTACCGCCCTAGTCCAAGTAAGGAGCTGGCTCAGCTCCTGACGAGCTCGCCGGACTCGCGCGCCTACACCCTGGCGCTGAACGCCGTGGGCACTCGCATCCAGAGTCTCCTGCAGTTACCCTCGGGGGCTTCAGTCAGTGTGCGCATCCAAGCTCTACATCACTTCTACGGCCTCTCCGACCCGGACTTAGGACCGGAAGCTCCGCAAGTGGAGTTCCAGAAACGACTTATTCAGAAGGGGTTTGAGGTGAGTTAGTTTGGATACTCCCATCCATCCTATCCGTCCGTCTCACAGCCGCTCAATTACTAGCCTGCCAACCTGCATCTTCTATCCTCCCCTACCCTCCTATCAATACACTAACTAAAAGTCACAAAAGACCCCCTTCCTAATGCACGCCATCATCGCCACCGCAACCTCCCACCTCCGCTACCACCACCACCACTCCCTCGCCAACCACTCTCCCCAAACCTACCGCACCACAGAATCCTACCACTGGCACCAAGCCATCACGCAATACGCCCGCGAACTCCACACCATCGGCCCCGATAACATGGACGGACTGTTCTCCGCCTGCATCCTCCTGACGGTCCGCGCCTTCGAGCTGGAGACGTACGACCCTTCTTCCTCGTTCGTGTTTGCGAGCCACCCGGCGCCGGCGCTGGGGTGGTTGACGGTGCAGGTGGGGTTGCGCAGACTTCTGGAGGCGACGGTGGCTTGGCAGAGGGGGAGTATGTGGTGGGATGTGTTTATGAGGGATTCCCGGAAGTATCGGGGGATTTTTGAGGGAGGGGAGCAGGAGGGGGGTGGTGGTGGTATTGGTAGTGGTAGGGAAGAGAAGGGGGGATATGGGGATGGGTTGGATCCGTATTTGGTTGAATTGTGTGGGATTCGTTCGCGGGCGGCTGGTGGTGGTGGTGGTAGTGGTGGTAGTGGAAATCCGTACTATGAGCCGGTGCGGACGTTGTGTGGGTTGGAGCTTTTGGAGCCTGGGATGAGGAGCTTTGGGGCGTATGCTGGGTGGATGGGTCGGTTGGAGAGCTCGTTTTTTGAGAAGTTGATCCAGAAGGAGGTTCCGGCCTTGGTGGTGCTGAGGAGGTGGTTGGTACTGATGGGGAGCTCGGGGTTGTGGTGGGTTGGGTTGCGGGTGAGGTCGGAGGTTGAGGCGATTTGTTCGTTTCTTGGGGATGGGGAGGGGTTTGTAGGTAGAGGGTAGACTTTTGAGGTGGTGGTTGTTGTTGTTCGGGGCCTGGGTTCGTCTCGGTGTAGGACTGGACTTCTATACTACAACACTACACTACACTACATACCTATAATCTGTTGGCTCAGTACGGCTGGTCTAGATTGCTCTAATCTCGTGTCTGGACTACTCGAAACTAAAGTTGAGACAGTACCTCAGGAATGAAGGGGCTACTTCAATGCCAAAGAATGCGGGATGGGACTTCATAATCAGACATTTCATACACCCAGGGCTCCCGTCGACTACATCGGGACTGCCCTGCAGACAGGTCTAAGACCTTATCTGCATGGCAGGACAATTATTGATGCATTACTCTCCTGCAGGGGGTGTAGCCAGCACTCTCGTCTTCGATAATAAGACGCCCGCGCAAGCCCGTCTCATCTCTCACCAGACAACAATGCCAGACACCAAGGCTGAACTGGGATCTACCTATCTGGAGAGCACGGTCTTCGACCAGCCAGAAACTGACACGCCATGGGAATACTCGATCGAGGCAGCCAAGGCGGCAAACGCCAGGGAGCACGAGATGACCGTCACCCAGGCACTGAAACTCTTTCCCTGGGCCGTTGTCTGGTCACTGGTCCCCTCTATCGCCATCGTCATGGAGGGTTACGATACCATCCTCATCACTAGTTTCTTCGGCTATCCGGCCTTCCGGAGGCAGTTCGGCGAGGAGCACCCCGGCCAGGGGTACCAGGTGGCCGGGTCCTGGCAGTCGGCCCTAGGGGCCGCGGGAAATCTGGGGTGTATGATCGGTGCCCTGATCAATGGGTATTTCATTGAGCGGTGGGGCTTCAAGCGGGTTTTCCTGCTAGCCCAGGTCCTGATGTGCGCTTTTATCTTCATCCCTTTCTTTGGCACTACCGCCGGGCTTCAGGTGGCGGGCCAGGTTCTCTGTGGGTGAGTGTTGTGTTTTTCTGGGGGGGTTGATGTCCTCGACTAAGCATTGCGGTAGACTCCCTTGGGGCATGTTTGCGACCCTGGGTCCTGCGTACAGCTCGGAACTGTGTCCGATGGTACTCCGCCCGTATCTGACGGCGTTTGTCAACGTCTCCTTCGTCATGGGCCAGCTGGTCAGCGCAGGAGTGCTCCAAGGTCTGATTGACTTGAACGATCAATGGTCATACCGCATCCCCTTCGCCCTGCAGTGGATGTGGCCGGTCCCGTTATTCATCTTTGGCTGCTTCATGCCCGAGTCCCCGTGGTGGCACGTCCGACGGGGCCAGTACGATGCCGCAGCAAAGATTGTCAACCGGCTGCTGGCTGCACCTGACACCGAAACCGCCCATCAGACGGTTGCGATGATGGTTCACACCAACAACCTAGAGCAAGAGATCAAGGAGGGCTCGTACCTGGACTGCTTCCGCGGGCCCAACGCCCGTCGCACGGAGATCGCCTGCATGGCGCTGGCCGGACAGGTGTTTTCTGGGCTGTCGTTTGCGTACTCGCCCACCTACTTCTTCGAGCAGGCGGGCATGGGCGACGACGAGTCGTACAAGCTTGGCCTCGGCGGCGCGGGCCTTGCCTTTGTAGGCACGACCGTCTCCGCGCTGGCAATGCATCGCCTGGGCCGCCGCAGTATGTATGTTGGGGGCATGGCGTTGATGAGTGTTTATCTGCTGGTCGTGGGGGGTTTAACCCCGGCGACGAGGGCTCATCCCAGCAGCACGGCGGTCCACTGGGTCCAGTCTGTGCTTTGCATCATCTGGATCTTCACCTTCTCTTTGACAGTTGGACCCATCGCATGGGTGATTCCGCCCGAGGTCTCATCCACGCGGCTGCGGTCGAAGACGGTGGTGCTGGCCCGGAACTCCTACTACATTGCGTGCGTGGTGGCCAATGGGCTGGAGCCATTGATGATGAACCCCACGGCGTGGGATTGGCGGGGATACACGGGATTCTTGTGGTTTGGAACAGCTTTCCTGACGTTTGTGTGGAGCTACTTCCGACTGCCAGAGACCAAGGGACGCACGTATGAGGAATTGGAGGTGATGTTTGGGCGAGAAGTGCCGACGCATGAGTTTGGCACGTATGCAGTCGATGCTTACTACGACGACCGCCAACTGGCAAGGCGGGAACACGGACCAATCAGAAAAGCGAGGAATCTCGATGCCTGCAATTCGAGGCTGAGGCTGTGTCAGCCTTGATTTTCCCTCCCATGTTTTGGGGATGACAGCGTCTTTCTGCTTTCTTTCCTTTCACTACCAGCGAGAGGGGACACCGTGGATGGTTCCTTTTCCACTGTTTTTACCCCATTTCACTGGCGCTTTCTTGGCCATTCCACTTTGTTATAATTCTTCATCATCCATCTCCCTCGCCCCCTATCGATAGGGCAGTGACCACTCACTTATCTCCACCCAATCCACCGATAACGCGATAGCACCACTGCCCACGGGGTCTGGGGTCTGCATCAATGTCCCCCTTCACCTCCATCGCCAGCTGGCTCTGCTGCATTCCAAGCCATAAGTCAGCCCCTTCGGCTCCTCGAGATTCATATCCAGCCCACCAGCAGCCTGTCCACCCCACCAACACGCCCGACAATGAAGGCTATCTGCCCCCCACCCCACCTCTCCCCGCCTACACCCCCCATCCACACACCCTCACCGAGAAGACCCTCGCCCTCCACCCACGACCGTCTTCAGCCTCCCTGAACGAGAAGTCCGCTGCAGCGACAACCTCGACCTCAGAACCAGCATCCTCGGTTGCACTGGGGTCTGCAGTGCCACCGCCAGCAGCAACACCATACGCACACCCATACCCCACCGCGCCCCCAGCAGCGCCCACCCCACCACCAGCCCCTTCCTATCCCCCATACTACCACAACTCTACGAGCCGGCTCTTCGACCCGGACGACAGCAGCGACACCTCGTCGACGCTCTCCTTTCCCAGCACCAGCAGCTACGGGAACACCTCGACCGCGACGCGGGAGACGCCGCCGCCGCCATATTCGCCGCGGAGTCTGGCGACAGGGTCGCGGACGATGTCGCCAGTTCCATCACTGATGTCGGATTCGGGGCGGAGTAGTAGCAGTAGTAATAGCAGTAGTAGTGGGGGGAGTGTTGTTGCGAGTGGGGTGGGGAGGAGCTCGGAGGAGATGGTGCAGATTGCGGCGCCGAGGCCGGTGGTGGTGTGGGATGGGAGGACGACGGGGAGGGGTTGGGGAGATCTCTATGACTGATGAGTGGGTAATGTCGGTGTTGGGTGTTTCTTTTCGATATACTTGCATGGGGGTAAGGTGTGCTTTGCGAGTATATATACTAGTGTTGTTTCTATAAGATGATGAGGTGAAGTCATCTACTAATAATGGAGGTCAGTGACTTTTTTTTTTTTTTGACCATCTGAATGGCGCCTTTCGGAGCCACTATCGACAGTTCGAAGATATTGACGGAATTCAGCATAATCGTACAAGTATTCACCTATATTATTACCACCCCAAGCACAACCCCCACATTCTCACAGCCTCGTCTCTACTGAAACGTGACCTGCAACTTCTCACTGCTCAAGATCTCCGGCACCGCCTGCACACTATCACTGTACGTATCCTGCACGGCATACAGGGCGGCGCCACTGTCGAGGTTATACGACTTCCCATCGGCGGTCTTGGCCACACAGCCGGTGAAGAAGGCCTCATCGAAGTCCACCAAGGTCAACCCATCGCCGTCCACCGCGAGATCCTCCACAATCCACTCCGCATTCTGGCCCTGCAGCTTCGAGCTGCTGTCCGGCGCCGTCGCACTCATCGTGATCTTCTTGCCGGTCGTCATGTTCTCGATCACCGCCGTGCCAGCCGAGTCACTCGTCGCCTCCACCGAGGCGAACACCACGTCGCCGATCGAGAACTCCATCTCCACGTCCACCGAGTTGGCCGGGTACCACTCGTACCACGCGGCGAACGAGGTCGCGTTGTTGCTGTCCACGTAAATGTCCACCCCGGTCTGCCAGATCGAGTTGCCCGCCGTCGCCCCGTCAATCCCCACCCAGAACGAGACCGCTTGCGTGTCGCTGCTGGAGGCGGCGGCCGTCGGGGTCACGGAGGGGAGGGTGAAGGTCGCCGCGACGTAGGTGTACGTCGCGCTGGAGGCGGGCGCGGACTCCAGTACCGCTCCCGCCCAGTTCTCGTTGACGATGTAGTCCGCGCTGTTGCTGGTGCTGGCGCGGTGGTTCGCGTCGGTCGGAGCAGGGGTGGATGTTGCACTAGTAGAGGTGGCAGCAGCAGCAGCGTAGCTGGTAGGCGCCAGAGTCTGGGTGGGCTGCTGCTGCTGCTGCTGGGGAGCGTTGAAGCTGGCGCTGGGGAGAGAAGCCCCCCAGTTCGCGGCGGGCTGGCCCTGGCCCTGGCCCGGGCCTTGGTTCATGCCGCTACTTGTGAAACCACCCCCAAACCCACCCCCGGGGAAACCATTGAACCCCCCGTTGCCGCCGCCGAATTGACGGCGCTGCGGGACGTCATGCGGCGCGGCCAGCGCGGTACCGGCCAGGAGGGCGCTCATGACGAGAGGAGAGGTGAACTTCATGGTGCTGTTGCTTCAATGACCCTCAAAGGTTTGTTTTTAAGTATATAAGTATATAAGATTTTGTTCCAATGAAAAGAAGTTCAAAGAGTGTAAGTATACGATTCAAAGGTGTGGGTGGGTCGGTGAGAGAACGGAACGAGCACAGCTCAATTTAAGAAAGAAAGAAAGAAAGAAAGAAAGGTATAGATGCCAACCCAAGAGTCACGGATCACAGAACAGAACGAAAAAAAGCTGAAGACCTGGTGGTGGTGGCTGCTGTTGTTCTTATAGTACTATATGTATTACCCGACTTGTCTGCCGACTTAGGGCTGGCTGGTTTGGGATTGATTGCGGCTCGACCGATCATGAAACGCCGTTAGTGTCGCTGGTGGAGAGGCGTTAGTCCGCCGGGCGTTTGACACTCGAACACCTTCATTTCTCGCACGGGTGCGGTGGGGAAAGTGCCGGAGGGAGGTCGGATTAGGGGAGTTCGAGAGCTAAGGCTTGTGCATGTTGCCTGCTTCTTGTCTGGTGCTGCAGCGATCGTGTCAACGATAGTACTGGGGCTTAAATGCTGCCCACACGTCAGGAGTATGGTTGGCGGGTCTGCTTCAGACACTGTCAAGCATAGCAAGATTGTGACATGTTCTAGTCAAATTGCCAACACTATCATCCTCATCCAGCGAAACCTGCTGCTGTCCAGCCATCGATGGTCACCCTGGCAAAGGGAGTCTAGTCTAGACTATCCTGTCGGCAGCGTTAGTCGAGGCTGAACTTAAGCATATCAAAGAATAGATTGAGGGGCATCATCCGGACATAACGATCATCCAACGCTGCCTGTCTTGGTACAAGCTATGGCCTGGTAGATGGGGTCTACCGACGGGACTTGTCCGTCTTGCTTGATCCTCAACAGCCTCTCAACTACGCTTCACCCATCGGTCAATTCCCCTGCGCTAATCGCATATATTGGAAATAACTGGTAAAAAAAAAATAGCGCTAGAGTCACAACAAGCTAAGTCCAGCTAGACTTTTTGTATATCCGCAACTCCAATATGTACAAGTCAAAGAGCTAACCCCCTTCTCAAGTCTATTCCCCTCTATTCTCCTCCGCGCCCCCCTAATTCATCACGTTTGGACACTCACCCTGAGCCCGCTTGAACGCCCCCGCGAAAAGGTCCTGCATCGCGAGGTAATGGAATAGAATCCCGCCCAATACTGCAAGGTGCCAGATGTTGTGGCTGCCGCCCACATAGTCGAACAACCCCGGCCGCCACCGCTCCGGCACCTGCGACGCATACACACACGCCCCCACGAAATACACCAGCACACTCTTCACCACCGGTGCGTAGAAGTAGAGGCACCAGAAAAAGCCTCGCGTGTACGTCAGCTGCGCCAGCGGCGCAAACCCGGTCAGAGCGAGCGAAACATAGAACGCCACTCGTGCCCACGCCATGTCCGCCCGGTTGAAAGTCGGGTGCCACGGCAGGATCACTCCGCCAATACCCAGGGACATCGTTAGGAGGATGTAGATCCACCGCGACACGGGCTCGCAGTAGAAGGCGGTGTATTCGGTCGTCACAATCGAGGCAGCCACCAGCATCGAGATGCCCGTGTAGTCCACACATGCGAACCGCTCCATCAGCGTCTGGCTGGCAATGCTGTTCATCGTATGCCACAAGGTGCTGCACACCAGACACTTGCACGCCGCGAAAAAGAAGACGGCTGCCACCATTACATCCGTCTTGGTGCTCAGGTGGAAATTGGGGTTCAGCGGGTAAAAGTAGAATGCCACAGACAGCACGATGAACAAGCCGATCAGGTGTGACCAGATGTTGACAAGTTCGTTGGAGAAGGTGAACATAGAGGTCAAGCATTCCACCTTGGAGTGCGTGAACCGGTATCCCTCGAGGATGTGGGGGTTGACCCGCCACGGGTGCGGGAGGTCCGCATAGCCGATCAACCGCTTCTCCTGGGCCAGCAGGATCGCCCGGTCAATGTTCTCCTTCATCGCCTCCTTGGCCCGACGTGCTCGCTCCATACCCTCGTCAACCACCTCCCGGGCATGTACCAAGCTAGAGTCCATCGCCTTCCACGCCCCATCCAACGCGCCGTCCAGACCGCGATCCCATCCTGCGTGAGCACGGGACTCTAATTCGACGAGGAAGGACTCCATCAGCCGGACACCGGCGTGAGCCTTCTGCTCTAATGTTTCCTTCGTGGCGAGAGCGTCCTTGTAGCGGTCTTCCAGGGTGTCCACCAAGATCTTGGCGCGCTTCTTGCCGCTGCCCATGAGCTCGCCGGAGGCGTGAGAGCAAGAGTCCCGCACAGCCTCTAACGTGGCGTAGCCGCGACGGAGACTGGCATCGATTTGGTCCATATGGGACTTGCCATATTGCTCGATCCACAATAGTCGTCGCTCTAGCTCTGTTAGAAAAAGTTCAACCTAGGTTCATTAGCCCAAACACATGACACGGTATGCATGCAGCGGCGGCATACCCTCAGGAACACCGCATCTGCGTCATAGTCCAAGGACAACTTCCGAGCCGTGTGAAAAGAGTGACGCCGCCGACGGTCCCGTAGCAAGCTGGTCTCCTCTGAGGGAGTCGCATAAGCGGAGGTATTTGCCTCGGGATATGACTCGATGGTCATGGATTGCGCTGAGCAAGCCATGGTATGTACCGTACGCCGTTGCAACCGTCAATCGAACCCGTAACTATGTGCAGAGATTGTATCGCATATCCTAGAGAGAACAGGAGCTAAGAGGAGGAGGAGTCAGTGGGAGGAAAAGATCAAGGTTGAGGGTGGAGATCGGGAAGATCGGGAATCGGCGGGACGACCGAAGCAGTTCGAACATACAGCTGCAGGTTGGCCAAAACTAGAGAACTCTCGGTTGGCTGCAAGGGACAAACGCTAAGGTGGTAAGTGGAGAGGAAGGAAAGGAAAAGGAAACTGTAACAATAATAATTATAATCCCGAAGAAAAAGGAGAGACACCTCGTAGGAGGGGAGAGACTTAGGTAATTAGTAGGTAGAGGAGAGGAGAAGAGGAGGAGGAAGAAGAAGAAGCAGGAGAAGCAGAAGAGGGGAACCGAACAATATTAAATCCATCAATAATCTATTAGTATCCTTTTCCCCCTCCCCGCCAACCCTTAGTTATAATCCTACTTGACTACTTCACAATTTATCCACTTTTTTGAAAGGCTCAACTGCTAAGGAACTATCTACTCCCTACCCTATCCTTTTCCCGTTTGGTTCTTCAGTTCGCCGCCTTCCTGCTGTCAGAATTCACTTCAGCCCATCAGCGCCCGGATTGCCTCCACGTTGGGTCATTCTTATCGCTCTCGCCACCAGCCACCCTCCGAACCACCTACCATACCTCCGTTCTTCCACTTGCAGCCAACTGCGACTTTCACCTGACGCACAGGAATTCTCTCACCATGGCCATTCGGGACATTGTTGTCAACCCGTCCCTGCTGCCTGTGCTCAACTTGAGCGCTGAAACCCGCGATCAGTGCATGCAGCTGCTCGCCGTTCTTGACCCATCGGCTGACTCCTACCCTGACTCCGAGCAACGCGCCCTCGCAGCGTCCAAGGAACAAAAGCATCTGTTCGCTCTCTTGGCCCGCCTACGTGGTCTCAATCGGGATGCTATTCTACGCGTTCGTGAGACCAAACAGGCGACCGCAGAGGCCCGCCAGGAAATCGATCGCCTCCATTTGCAACTGCAGAATCTCTACTACGAGCAGCGACATCTGACTGGGGAAATCGCTGCGTGCGAGTCTTACGAGTGTGTTCTGCAAACGCCGCAACTTGATCCCCACGGAATGCTAACCTGACCATCGCAGTCACAAATACCTTGCCCTCCCATTGATCCCGCTCGAGGAGTTCCTCGCCTTACACCCTGAACACCGCGAATCGGACGAGCATGAGCTCATGATCGCTCGCATCAATCACGAACATGCCGAACGGGAGAAGCTGGAGCAGGCGCGCCAGGAGCTTCTCAAGCGGAAACAGGCGTTGATCGCGGAAAACAACAAACGCAAGGAGGACTTAGCCAGTTTGGACCAGGATTTGGAGCGCTTCATTGACGTAAGTCTCTGCCCGGGCAAGTTACTAGCGATGTGCTAACCCCTGGCAGGCTGCCAAGCCCATTCAGAAGATCTTCGAAAAGGAGTATTAGCGGTGGGATGAGTTTTCTAATTTTGTAGTACCTGCATGGAATGGCGCAACGACTAGATACCCAATCTGATTTAATTTGAACCAACCAGGATTTTGAGTAGTTTCCTGTAGAGCTTGACTTTGCGTTGATGACCATCGGCAACCCGTGGCCTCTCTCCGCCTTCCGCCCGCCTCTCCACTACTAATGGATCGCATCAACTCCAAGAACTCCAACTCCCTTCCAATATTTCCCCCCATCTGGTCTTGCGCCAGATTACGCTACCTACCTCAAAGCATGCCCTGGTCATGAGCACCAAGAATGAAGACCTGTCATCATCTCAGACTGTCTCTGCTCACTCCGACCACATCATGACCGTCAGTACCACCTCGCAGCGTCCGCCGCCCCCGGAGAAACCGGAGGCTATACGGACGCGATTCAAGGTCATTGCAGCCTTCTGGGCTGTGATCATTTTTCTGGGATTTCCGATTTGGTGGAAGACCACCTCAATCTATCGAGCCTCCTTGCCCATCCCGGACATGATCGATTGGGCCGATGGAAAGGTAAACATCGCAGGACCGCAAATATGCATACCTGGCTGACTGGTGTCTCCTACCCTAGACCTGCCGTCCGGTTTTCCCACTGGAGATTCGAGTCGAGACCCCCTTCCTGCCTGAGCCAGAGGCCCAGCACCTGGTCCGGACGACACAGCATACTCTCGATGACCTAAATGAATTCTCCGCACATCATCTACGGCTTAAGCTATCGAACGATAACGGCGATGACCCGCTACAAGAACCGGCAGACACGGCCTTGACCGTGCGTCTCCTTTTACAAGAAGATCTGGTCAACCCCAAGTCTGAACTCCAGCACGATACCACTCAACTGGATGTCTATTATACTCCGAGCCAGGTCCCGCCCCTGTCGTCAGTCAACCCACCGTTGTCCGCTTATATCGCCGGGGAGCTTCAGCAGCTGTTCACCGAGGAGAAGGCCATCATTGCGCAAATCCTGTCAGATAGTCCTGCAACCGGTGCGGCAGCCACCAGTCAGTCGCCCTCGGCTATGCTTTCCTCCATCTCTCCCCAGCTTGCGGAGAGCATCGCCAAGCGCCTCCGACGCTCCATGAAGTACGCCGATACCTATCACCTCGCCTTTTCCTTGTTCACTCCCGGGGCGGAACCCTCGTCGTGGGACATCCAGGCCGCAGTCCATGAATACATCGTCCCGCTGCTGCAAGCCTTCTCCCCGATCAGCAATTTCACAGTCGACACGCAGGTGCAGCTGTATGCGACTTTTGCACCTACGGCACCCGCGCCCGAATACGATGAGGAGCACGCAGCCTGGACTCTGAAGCCTGAAGATCTCAGTGCGTTCATCAACGCAGCTGAATGGCCTCTCAGCCCCAGCATAGGTCCGGGCCCGACTATCAATTTTATTCTCTACGTGCCGGAAGCAGCGCAGTCCCCTTTGGTTGTCAAGGACAGCCTGGCCACGAGCTGGGTCGTCCCTCAGTGGGGCGGCGTTTTTCTTCTCAATCCCGCCAACAGCACCCAGCTGCGTCACCTCTCGCGCGAAGACCTTCAAACCGCCTTTTTGACATTCTCCCATCAACTCCTCACCCTGCTCGGGGCACCTGCCACCCCGGCTGCGCTGCCTTTCCGACTGCAGACCCTCACCCGCATTCGCGCTGCGAGCCTGCTCCTCTCTGCTTCCTCTACTATGGGCTCCCTCGCCCGGCTCACTGAGTCGCTTCCATCCATTCCCATTCCTGCCACTGTGGCTACATCTGTGGCGACGACACTCTCTCATCTGACATCAGCGTGTGAGCATCTCCGGCGGGGACGGTTCCAAGCCGCGCTCGCGGATGCTCGAGTTGCCGAGACGGCGGCCGAGCGCAGCTTCTTTGAAAAGAGCATGGTGGGCCAGATGTATTTTCCGGACGAGCACAAGGTGGCTGTGTATTTGCCTCTGTTGGGACCTATTGGCGTTCCTCTCATTGTCGGCTTACTAAAGGAGGTCAAGAAGGCGATCGCTTTGCGGAAGGCCCGGCAGGTATCATAGTTCACAGTTGTACAGTAAATAGTCTCATTCAAGCAACTTCTTTTTCTCTGTCGCGCGGCAAGACATACTACCCAATAGCTTGCTAAACTGATGAGCAGGAGTATTAAAATTAAGCCATACCAGAGGCATGATCATGCAACGGAGCCGTCAAAAACAAGACAAAAAGACCCAAAACAAACAAGGAAACGCTATACTCAAAACACCACCATCACTAATATACTAGGTACATACGCACATCGAGGAGCACAAACCACGTGTCTATCTCCGCTGCGACCCCAGCCTCGAATTCCCCCGACTCAACCCACTACCCCCGGCCCCCTCCGATTCCTCCGAAAACGCTTCCATCGCCCTGGGGTTTGTCGGGTACGCGTCTGGCTTCAAGACCCCAGTCGTCGCAAACACACCAGGAGGCGTATACACCCGGATACTCTCGGTGCGTGGCAGAGCGGGGATCACTGGTGCCGTACTATACGTATACGTACTCACCCCGCCGTTCCCATTACTTCCACTTCCACCCGCCTTCCCCTCCTGCGTCTGCTTCACCACCAGATTGCCATTAATGTTGAGGGGCAGCGGCGGCACCGGCACGGGCACCCTGCCGCCACCTTTCTCCGGCACCAGCGCCGTCTCCCCACCTGTCGGCCCGTCTGCACCACCTGCACCCCCAGCTCTCGTCCCCTCCCGCTGATACACGGGGTTCTGGGGATTGAACAGACTCCGCACGCGCCCGCCGGTCTTCTGGATCATCGAGCGCGTCCGGGACCGGGACCGCGAACGACGAGAGCCCCCGGCGGCGGACGTGGCTTTCGAGGCACGGGACTGCGTCCGCCGAAGGAGGAAGTCGGTGCGGCAGGCGGTCTCAGCTGAGGGCATGGGCGAGGAGATCCCAATCAGGGTGCCCTTGGCGGAGCGGCGGGTGAACTGGGCGACCTTGGCAGATGGGGGCAGATGTTTGCGGCGGTGGTTGCGGTACAGGAGAAGGGAGAGCAGGGTGGCGGTTACGCCGAGGAGGGCGCCGGGGAAAAAGCCGGCTAGGACGGCGGCGGTGGGATATTTGGGGCAGTTGGTCAGGGCGGTTGCTGTTGTAGTGGTGTTTGTTATGTCTGAGCACTGGGAGACGCGGGGGTCGGTGGCGGAGATGGCTGTTGCTAGTGATGATGAGGAGGAGGATGAGATGGTGCTACTAGTTGATGAAGTTGAGGTTTTGGTGGTGCTGGCGGTGGATGCGGTCGCGGTGGATGCGGTGGAGGTGTCCAGGCTGCAAAGGGAGTCCCCCGTGCAGGTGTAGCCGAAGGGACAGCATTTCGAACCGCAGGTCGCGAGGCTATCGTCGAGCCGGGTCGTGTGCACGCTGTTCTTTGGGTGAGAGGTTGCGTTCTGGAGTTGCACGTCGCAGGTGATGGGCTCGATGTAGTCGCAGCTCTGGCCGGCTGGGCAGCAGATGGCCGAGCTGCCGTCGTCGAGACTGATGCAGGTGGAGGTGCTGGGGCAACAGAATGTGCTGGGAAGTCCGCTGCCAGAGCATTGCGTGTAGTCGCTGGGACAGGTGTCGCTGCTTCGCGGTAGTAGGATTCCAACGGCCTGCGTTGGCGATATCGTGGATGCGAGCAGCCCAAGTAGCAGTAGTAGCATTGGCGAGGAGCTCTTTTTCGTGGTCATTGTACTAGCGAGGGTCTGAAATGACCTCAAAAGACGTTTGTCGAACGAAAGAAGATAGTAGAAGAATTAAAAAGAAGGGAATCGCGGGTATATGCTTTTGCAAAGTGGTTGGAGGAGCAGTCAAAGAGTGTTGTGAGTCTGAAAGAGAGTGTCTTAGACAATGGGTTTGAAAGTGGAAGAAACGACGAACCGAGCCACTGTCGAACAAAGAGCGCTTTAGAGTGGCTTGCAGTCAGCATGGTCCTGAAGAAAATCACCCTCCTCTCCAGCGCGACTTGCTGCCCAAGTTGTTCTGCACGCATCATGCTATTAGGATCTGAAGATCCAGGACGGTAGTACGGAGTAGCAGGCGCCGAATCCCAGAATAGTGACGAAGAATGGGGCTCATGGTCGATGGACTAATGATGAAGAGAGGTCTAGGCGCCAGAACGGGTCCTCGGGGCTCCGACTGGATGAGAAGGTGTTTTGACTGTTGCAGATTGTCAGGTAGACCGGCGCGTAAAAGATGCTGCTCTGTTGAATCCATGATGGTGTTTCAAGCTTGGCGGTTTGATGCAGAAGTAGATCCCCGCATGATGATTGGCCGATGCTGGCGCCCGCTTACCTCATTCCCGCCATTCCCAAAGAGGGAATCTCTCACTCTGGAGCGGAGGAAATTCTGCGGACTTGGACTCAATTGCTGCTTGTCAAGCACGACCTCCCCTGCCCCATTCCTCCACCCTCAGATCAAGATGTTGAACCGACTTCTCCGGCCGCAGCCTGCGCTGCGTGCGGCTTCTTCCCTCACGCAGGTGAGCCTTTTCCTTTTCGCTCTGGCCGCATTGGGCACCTCAGCTAACAGCGCGGACAGAAGTCCGTCTCCGCGCTCCCACGCATCCAGAGCCGTGCCATTCACCGCGTGCCTCAACTCGCCTTCCAGGAGCAGTACGAAAAGGAGGGCGTTCCGGGATTTTTGTCACCTGAAGCCTACGATTTCTCCTGGACACAATACCAGTCCCTACTTGTTGATAAGCTGAATCTATTGACGCAGGGTGAGTTACCGGCTCCGCGGACCTTGCTCGGCCGGTGCGACTCGCTCGTCCTCTAACACGCACCCGATCAAATAGACACCATCGATGCCGATGCGAAGCCCGGAGAACTGCTGGTCAAGTACTCCCGGCGCCCGGAGATGGCGTCAGTCTTCAACTATGCCTCAATGGCCCACAACAATCACTTCTTCTTCAACTGCGTGGTACGGGCCCAGACCTTGAACGATTCGTCCTAACACGAAAGCACCATCTAATCGCATAGCAAATAGTCGCCCCGCAATACCCCGATCCCCGCCAAGCTTGAGGAAGACATCCGGGAATCGTGCTCCTCCGTTGAGTCGCTGAAGCTCGATTTCCTGGCCACGGCCAACGCGATGTTCGGCCCCGGTTTCGTCTGGCTGGCCAAGAACCTGGAGCGCGAGGGCATGTTGCACATTTTCTGCACCTACAACGCCGGCTCGCCCTACCCGGCCGCTCATTCGCGCCGCCAGGCGGTCGACATGAACACCCACACGCCCGACACTGCGCTGGGCAACCAGTTCGCCGGCGCCATGGGCTCGTTCTCGCCCACCCAGAAGGAGATGGCTCCCGGAGCGGTCGATGTACAGCCGATTCTGTGTGTCAACACTTGGGAGCACGTTTGGATGATGGACTACGGTATTGCTGGCAAGGAAGAGTATCTGGAGCGGTGGTGGTCCAGAATCAACTGGGAGGTGGTGGTTGACAACTATAACAAGATCAGCGTGAACCGGGGGGCGCGCGCGTCGAACGCCAGCTTCCAGAAAACTCTGCACATGTTCTAGTTCTTCTCGCCCGTCCGGTTTGCTGGTTTGATAAATTGTATTATACACATAGGTTTCTCTTTTTTTTTTTGATTCGATGTTGGCATTGATGGTCTAATTAAGTACAAGCATTTCCTTGGGAATCTAGACATGAAAAAGAAAAGAAAGTGTCTCTTGAATATTGTGTGCCAATAGATGACCAGGACCATGGCTATTCTTTCTTTTCTTCTAAACCCTACTTAATACCCCCCGTATCACCGCCCAACCACCTCTCCGATCCTCTTCTCAAACGCCTCAATCATAACCCCAGCCATTTGGCCCTCGACCGCACTCATCATGGTGGCATGCCACTGATTCTTGAACTCGAACCCAATCTCCAAATGCACCCTGGTCATTTTTTGGGTCGGTGCACCAGCACCACTGCCTCCCATCTCCGCCGTGACATCCGCCAACTCCCACTTAGTGCTCAGATACTCAAAGATCCCCTCCTCCGCCCCGGGGAACCCAAACCCCCCGAACCCCCCGGCGGCCGCCGCCGGCGCATCCTGCCCGTCCTTCTTCTCCACACCGAAGCGCGCGCCGCTCTGCGCCGTGACCGTCAACCGCTCGGGGTCACAGTCCACCTTGGAGGTGAAGGTCTCGCTGAGCGGGCCGTAGCCCACCGTCAGGAAGGCGCGCGTCGGGTACCGCGTCGTGGGGTCCCGGTGGGTGACGGTGCTGGCGGTGAGGAAGGGGAGGAAGGAGGCGTAGGACTGCACGTCGGAGATGACTTCGAAGAGCGGCGTGGGTGGGTAGGGGAGGGTGCGGGTGGCGGTTAGGCGGCGGGTGCGGGAGGAGGGATCGCTGTTGTTGTTGTTGGAGCCATTGGGGCTGTTGCCGGGGAGAAAGGAGGAGAGGAAGGTTCGATGTTGTTGTTGGTTTGTGGGAGGGGAGGATTGGGGCTTGCCCGGAGTGCTCGTCGGGGTGGTCGTACGGAGGGGAATGGTGGTTAGTGTTGAGAGTGAGTGTTGCGTGCCCTGGGGTACGAGGTGGCGGGTGGGCTTGAAATGCCGCGTGGTGGATAGGAGTGGTATGCGCATTATGATGCTGTGGGATTGGTGAGGACAGGAGGAGTGGAGGGGTGTAAGTGATGAGAGAGAGGAAAGTATGTACTGTGTTCAGTTGTGATGGCTCGCGCATTCGGTGTTTTTCTGGGGGCGTACAATTTGCCCGTTGGGTCCGCTTCCGAGGCGGAGTTGGTTCCGCGGTTTATACTTCTGTACCTGATCAGATCGTACTATGCGCTTTTAGTGCTGAGACATCTTGAGTTCTGGACTTATGATGATTAGAGAATATTCAGTAAGATTTCTTATGCGCATTGCTTGTTAATGCGATGGTTCCAAATGATCAGGAGCTGGTGCCTATTAACTACTACTTGAGCATACTATATATTTTGACCACATTCGGCTACTCGAGTCCGCCATAAACCACTGCATACTGCTCGCCACATTTTAATTCAGATTCAATGTAATACTAGTAGCGCGCAACCAGACCCCAATAAAACACTTTAATCGACTGAATCTTTTATGTCAGCAAAAGGCAGTGCTAACATGGTCGGATTCTGTTTCTAAGTCTTGCTAGGACCAAGGGTATGAGGCAAACCCCGTACAAACATCGTCTCTTGCAAAAAGATCGAATCGGCTTCTCAAGTGTCATTTTGTCTAGCAAAGATATTCCGAATCGCTACGTATTCTCATTTCTGGATGAATTTTCCGGAAGAGCTCCGTGGTCGATGGCGACTTATGGGGAAAACCAGGTGCAGTTCAAGTATCGAGGAGTATAAGGGCGGACTTAACCGGAGATAAGGCCACTAGTTCTGGACGGGCGATAACGAGCGAATCCCCACCATGCCATCACAGGCCCATCTCATCATCTTGATGATCACCAACCAGTCTTCTGAGAAGATTTGCAAGTTAGCAGTCTCACTCGCTTGATATATCTACTAACTCGAAGTATTCAGGACTATAGCTGTCGCATCTCAAGACATCAACCTTCAAATGACTGACGCATATAACGCACCCCACCCGAAAGAAGGCAAACGCACTCGCGTACAACTATCCTGTACAGCATGTAGAGCACGCAAGCAAGTGACCCACCCTCGCCTCCTCCAGTCTTCTCTTTCTTTAAGACCCATGAACACAACAGCCGTTACTAATGCCGTCATAGGTTGAAATGCTGTCGCACTCACCCGTGCACCAACTGCAGAAAACGCGGCGAGGCCAGCTCCTGCACTTTCGTCGGCCGCGGACCGCGGGGGAAGACGCAGGGGCGGGCGAGTCCCACTCATGTTCAGGATCGCTTGCAGCACTTGGAGAACTTGATCTTGTCACTTACGCAGCAGCGACAATTAGAGCAGGCTGGGGGCGAGCAACAAAATGCTGGAGGGATCGAGCGGGAAGAGGTGAACTTCAATAGTCTGGAATCGAACCATGCAGGTAATGTCCCTTTCGTGGGGAGTGGAGGGCTTACCACTAGAGAGAATGGGACCAATGGGGACCAGCACACACCATCTTCGGGACCGGGATCAAGGTCACGTACCTTGACACCGGAAGATTCTCCGTCAGACCCCCCTGGAAAGCTGGTGGCCCAGGAAGCGGAAACGAGGTATATTGATGGGGCACATTGGAGAGCTGTTCTAGAAGAGGTATGTCGTGCATAGGTCGAGTGGTTATTTTCCTCCAGTGGCCTCTGTATGGACGCAGCTGACTAATGGATAGATTAGCGAAGTTAGGGAGTATCTGCGTGAGCAAGATGTGCCTTCCGATGATGAGCTTGTTCATAATGATACGACGAACGCGACCTCACCGATCTTGTTGCTGGGATTGCACAAAACCCTCAAGAAAGAGGAGCTGCTGGCACAGATACCGCCGCGGTCGGTAACCGATCGACTAGTTGCACGGTGGCTCAGTACAAAAGAGCCTGTTATTGGTAGGCTCTTGCTGTTCGGTTCTAATCTTAACAAGGCGAGCTGATACGTGGTTTAGCTATTATTCACATCCCAACATTTCAGAAGGAGGTACATACGTGACGGGCAATCTTCGTTGACATTCCACTGACAGCAGCAGTACAATCGATTCTGGGACAATCCTAAGGACGTATCTCTGTCGTGGCTTGCTATGTTATCGGCCTCCATCACAATGACATTTGCTTTCCATCAACGCGCCGGAGATATGGTGCCACTGTCGTTCGAAAACCCCGCTGAGACTCAGAATTCATTGCGTAAGCTCACAGCCCAGTGTCTCGCTCAGGCAAACTATACCGTGCCTGCAAGGTACAAAGTCGAGGCGCTTTTCCTGTACACCATGTGTGAGTTCTTCCAAAGCGACGACGCGCAAGTCGGTGTTTCTTTTCTCCTCGGCATTACAATCCGCCTAGCCATGCGAGCAGGCTATCACCGAGACCCCAGGCACTTCCCCGACATGTCAGCCTTTGACGGTGAGATGCGTCGACGGGTTTGGACCATTCTCTGCCAATTAGACACTCTCATTAGCTACCAGATCGGTGTACCTAGAACCATTCAGGACTGGCAGCATGACGTAGACCTACCTCGCAATTTATCCGACGAGGATTTCGACGAAAGCACCGAGGCACTACCCCCTTCTCGCCCTGAGCACGTGTTCACTCTGATGTCGTCACTCGGTCCAAATCACGAATCATGACGATTTTCGGCAAGATATCAGATCTGGCTTACTCGCGCGAGCCCATCACCTATGACGAGACTCTGGCGCTCGATCGACATCTCGACGAGGCGCATGATCAAGTGCCTGCCACGTTCAAGATGCGTCCGATCAATCAATGCATCGCGGACCCTTCGGACATCATCCTCCGGCGATACACCGTAGAGCTTTTGTACCTGAAATCGCGGTTGGTGCTGCATCGGAGGTACCTGGGCGAAGATCATACCAACCTCCGCTATGCCTACTCTCGGTGGGTGTGTATGAGCTCCTCAAAGGCCATTCTACGCTACCAAGCGGATCTCTACCATGAGACGCAGCCGGGGGGGCTGTTATACCGGGATCGACATTTTCCCAGCGCGCTTCAATATGCGGACTACCTGCTTGCGGCGATGATTATCTGTCTGGAGTTATCGCATAACCGCACAGGGGTAGCACCACCAGTCGGCGCAGGCACCAATGACGACCTCGCAGTTGTGATCAAGGGCCAAGAGGAATTACTTTCCGCATTGGAGATGTCCCATCAGATTTTCGCTAAGATGCGGCACCGGTCAACGGACGCGCAGCTGGGGTATGCTGCGATGACGATCATGCTTCGCCGGGTCAAGCAGCAGCATCGGGAGCCGGAGGAAGACGACAAGCTAGGCAGCCCAAGTGAGTATCCAGGCCTCTTGCTCTTCAATGCATTTGTCCTGACATATATGTAGCCCAACCCCCGGCATACGGAAGCTGGCAGATGGAGAGTGCAGACTCGCTAAACGCGCTGGATCTTCAGCCGATGGACGGGGTTACCCCGGGGCTCGCTTCATTGGATGTCATTGAGGAAATGTTGAACGCGCCAACAAATATGGATTGGGTGAGTGTCTTGTCCGCTCACGAAAACATTGATGTACTAATTGGTGTAGCGTCTGTGGGATCTGCAGATACAGGGCGTCGAGGGGCCGAATGCAGGTAATGCTTGGACACAACCAGGGATGAACGATGTACAAGCCGATTAGCAGCGATTTGCCGGTATATTTGGTAAGCGAGGCGGGACAATAGTTACTAAACTACCAAAAGAATACCTCTCTATTGTCTTTGTTCCGAGTTGATCTAGTAGTTAGTCCTTACCTAGGGCTGCTCCAAGCCTGACTCACATCCTGTTGTTCAACCAAGGGCTCCAGCATCTTGAAGAGGTCGAGCAAAACGTAACCTCCGAAAAGGGAATCGGACTTCCGGCTGCCATGTGAGAGACAATATGATGTATATTGCTTCCTTTGCGGCTTGTTGTCAGACGTTTATAGTTGATGATTTGTGATCGATGCAAGTGAGTAGATCTTCGTAACTTCCGAAGCAGTTACGACTTGTGTATGAGTGTGTTATATTGCAGAACAGATCCAGGTCGAAGTCAAAAGATTTGATCTAAACTGCTAAGCGGAATATCATCCGCAAGCCAGCTTCCTAGCTTGTGTTTTGTTCTTCTGCCTATCACACGGTACCTCGGGGTTCGATTTTCCCGCATCAGGGCTCAATTCAATCGCATTTTGCGTATCTTATATCTTGCTGGCTGATATATCAAAAGGCAAGTTCACACTAAAGCCAAAGATGTTTTTTTGATGGGGGGAAGGGGGCAACGATTCCATACCCGATATGGCAGGCACCTCCTCCGTAGGCACCTTCCAACAATGATCAGTTGATTAAGACATACGATTATGACCAGCAAGTAGTATGTAACTTTCTATATAAAGTATAAATAAAACAACGAAGGATATCCTGCCGGAGAAGACAAAACAAAAGCAAAAGATAATCCTCCGATGCGGGGAATCGAACCCCGAGCTGCTGTGTGAGAGACAGCGATGTTAGCCATTACACCACATCGGACTTTGTTGAAAGAAGGCTGTACTTTTGACATCATATTCCTTGTCTGTTTCTGCATCATTCAAGATATTTCTCTGGGATATGATATATAAGTATAAATGTTACTCTCAACAACTCAGGCAGCTCTGTGAAAGCTAGTAATCTGCCTCTGATTAAGTTGGGGTGGGTCCCATGATAAGTGATGTAAAGATTGGTACTTATCGACCGGTCTGTCTTTGACTGCCATGTCTTTTGCATTTCTTTGAATAGTAGTCATTTCTAGTATCTGTGTGATTAGATAGGATACTTCGGCTCACCTCTGATCTTTTACATTACTATATCTTGTCTATAGTATGCTACTACGTGAGACGCAGACCTGCATGGGATCCTTTTAGCTTCCGTTTCCGCTAAATACCATTTGGTAAAGAGATCTGCTCAAGAAGCGAACGGCTCGGTCGAAGGGTACTAGCCCCTAATCAGATGCTGGTGCTTTTCCCCGAATTAGGGCTCGCAAGGGGAGATACGGGAAGGGAAGAAGTGTCTTGTATAATCGGCTGGAAATGTTCAACCAGCATCGCTGCTCCGCTAGTAGTCGACGTTTGTCACTGTTGCTCGAGTTATCTTGGTTTGGGCATGGGTCATATTATCTCTGACACCTTAGTAGGATATCACCACCTACAGCCGTGAGGGATGCTCACAAAGGCAACGCAGCAGATGACGAGCACTCTAATGAACTGCTACCAGAATCTACAGGTAAGAAAAATATCAGACATAATCGGTAGGCTTGGTGTATCTAGTTCTTGTGAATGCCGTCTGTGTAGCATCATCACTCGCAGCTAAAGACTCGCCTACCCACTTCTTCCAATCAAACTTGGATACAAACCGCAAAAGTGAAAGGGAAGCAGCACTTGTAAGCGTTTTTGGTCCATTTGATGACCGTCAGCATAGCATCGACAGGAACAACCCCTTCTATGAATCATGAAGCTGATATGCCCCGAACTAGCACCACATTCTCATACGGTCACGAAAGAGCGAACAATCATAGACAAGCGCTATGCAATCTACTTCCGGCATATCGCCTATGCACCACACCTGCATCATAGATAAAAACATCGAACCAGACTCAGTAGAGGCAGAAAGTGGCGGTTTCACGCACAACAAAGTCCCCCAGAAATATCCACATCCACTTCCACTTCGAAGCGATCAGACATGTTCCCTGACTCCCCGACTCGGCAACGGGTGGAGGTCTGGGTGGAGGTATGATGATTACAGCGCTGCCGAGGAGATCGTGGGCGATGGTCATTGTGTATGGTGGCTGTGCTGGTGAAGGTATACTGCTCGCTAAATCGGTTGTCGCTGTGCCAATGTGTATGGTGGTGATGGTAGCTGATGGTGTCGCTGCTGCCGTGGTGATGCCAGAATTGATGGTGGGCGTGCGTGCAGTGCGAGACATCCATATAGCAGTCCTCAATACGTCTTTCCCTGCTTCTCAGTAAGTGTACGTGAGCTTCGACCCAGAAGGCAGAATGAAAAGAGCTTGACTGAAGGAGATCACGCGTACGGTCGAAGGCAGCGAGGGGATGGCACGAGCGCACCAGAGGCAAGAGGCACAATGCGAGCCCCTGGACGGATCCCGACAAGGACATTGTCGTTGTTTGGTGCAGGGTGAACCTCATTCTTAATGTAGTAGGTCACCCTGTCAGCGTGAGTGTTGAAAGTTTGCGTGAGGTTAATAGGGGCATTGTTTCGGGTGCGAGGCATGGTTGAGCGAAGTCCACTGATGATCAAGGGAGAAAAGAATCCTTGTTTGATTCGCACAGTTGGAGGGATGAGAGGAAAAGACCGGTGGTCACTCTACGTATTTATTTCCAAGACCCAACAGATGAAAAGCTGCAGCTGGGCTGTGCGGTATTGCCTGACTGAAGCGGTTCAACAACAACCTCGCCGAGTCTGATAGCCAATGTACTGAATAACTTATGTCATGGCCATGTCACACAGCATGTCATGTACCTTGCCTTTTCCTGTGATGCCTGCCTGGGGTCTGGGCTCTGACCATCTCCAATCACCTACACTCAGGATCAAGTTACTTCCGGGAAAAGTGGTAGTGGTATCTCAGCGCTGTATTCAAGCAATCTTGCAATAGCGGGAATCAAGAGTGGGGTCCAAGCCTCCTGCATCCTATGCCCCCACAGGAGCTAGTAATGCCCAATGTGTTTCACGGCGTGCTAGATAGCAATCTCCTCCGCCGTGGAGTTCAATCCAACCTGAAGATATGCCCAGAGGATGTGGGAAGCTCTCTGCTATAGGTCATCGATGGGGCAAAGGGTTGAACCCATTCCTTCAGCACAGCCAGGAACGTGTCACTGACTGCCTTCACAGTCTCATCGCGGGAAGGACCAGAGCTCTCAATGTAGACTAAAGCACATCAGTCAGCAAATGAGAACGTGTAGTTGAGATACGCAACTTACTCTTCACCTTCGGCTCGGTGCCAGAGGAGCGGAATGTGAACCGAACTTCGCGATCAAGCCAAAGAGTCAACATTTGACTGGTTTTATCGATTGGCAGCTTAGGTTTATGATCCTCCGTGCCTGAGTCATATCCTTCTGTCATATCACGCCATCGATGAATCTTGAAGGACCCAAGTGACTTCTCAGACCGAAAGGGACCAGCTCGGATTGCGTTAAACAAGGTCGCTGTAACCTCGGGGCTGGGTGACCGGAAATAAGTGTTGAGTGTTTCGTGGTGGCCATGCTCCTTGAACAATTGCTGCAATCTCATGTAAGGCGTCATGCCCTCTGCCTTCCATTTTGCCTCGGCCAGGAGGAACACCATGGCGGCAGAAATCCCATCCTTGTCGTAAGACACCTCGGGAAACATGTACCCAAGAGCCTCCTCGTAGGCGAATGGAACATAGTAGCCAAGCTCCTCTAGCCTGCGAGCTGTGTTTCCCATCCATTTGAAGCCCGTGAGCGATTCCTCATAGTGCATGCCCTTCGCCTTCGCCATCTTCTCCAACATACTAGAAGAGACAGCGGAATTCAAGACTGCAACCCGTGTGTCACTGTCGATGGTTTCCAAGGAGTCAAACAGATGTGACGCAAGGAGGACCCCTAAATGGTTCCCGGTGTAGATAAACCACGATCCGCTACACAAGGGGTCTCAGTCAGCGCAGATCCAGCAACTGAGAAACCAGTAATACGTACTCCACCTTCTCCGCCGCAGCGAATCGATCGGCGTCTGGATCATGAGCAATCACCAGAGGCCTTCCCTCCTTGTCCGCCAGCTGCAGCGCCAGGTCTAGAGCGCCAGGCTCCTCCGGGTTTGGGAAGGCAACCGTGGGGAAGTCCGGGTTCGGGTCTGCTTGCTCTGGCACCACCGTGAAATCACTGATACCTACCGAGCGACACAACCCAGGAAATACCAAGCCTCCCACTCCGTGCAAAGGGGTGTAGACAAACGGCTGCGGTTGTTTCCATTCACGGACAGTATAAGTCTGCAAAAGATGTCAACTGTGAAGAATACGGCAGGACGGATGATCCCTTACGGCGTATTGCCAGACTGCGGTGTTGTAGTGTGGCAGGATACTCTCGTATATCTTGTCGCGCAGGTATTCGCTTGGCTGCAGCTTGTCCCAGGCGGTTGGCCATGGGACTTGATTCTCTTCGATCGATTGGGCAATTTCCACGTCCATGGGACTATTGATCTGGGCACCATTCTTGAAATAGCTGTGATTTGTCAGTGGTACTCAAAGAAGTTGGAATTGTGGCGTTCAGACACTTTGTAGCCTGCATCACAGTCCATCAGCCGCTGTCAATTCCAATCACCAAGTTAAGGGGATGCGTAGAGTGGTGAGGGCCTACCATTGTCCTGCGCTGGGTTCTAGGGTCGTGAATTAGCCACCAGGGTCAGAGCTGCCCAATAAACCTGCCACAAAAAAGCTTACATGGCTTGCGGTAACCATAATGCCTGCAGCAGCATGCAGATGGGTTACACCGAAAGGGACGGTTGGAGTAACCGAGGCCTCCGAGTAGAACCAGACCGGGATCTCTTGTGCGATGAAGGCATTGGCAGCCAATGCGGCGAACTTGTCCGAGTGATACCGCGCATCGTGGCCGATGACCACACCGTAAGATGCAATGTCTCCGTGGCGGGTTTTCAGGTACTTGGCTAAGCCTTGGGAGGCCTGAATGACGGTCAAGGAGTTCATACAAGAGAAACCTGCTGCCATCCGTCCGCGCAGACCCGCGGTTCCGAATTGGATGCCTGCGAGATGCGATTAGACATAGCTAGGAGAGAGCGTCGAAAAGCAATGGGCCTGAAGGAGCCAATCGAGACAATGAATGGGGGGGGGGATGATCCAAGAAGGCCATCCAATTTTAACCTACGTGTTTGCAAGCGCAAAGCCAATTCGACCCAGTCACCCGAGTCACGAAGCTGCTCAATCTCGGCACGGGTAGATGGATCCTGTCATGGGGCGTTAATATTCACGTTTCAAGATCCGCCGCAGACCCTATCGATAAACGTACCTGGTCCCACTCCAGCCACCTCTGGATCAGTGGAGTGAGCGCCTCCTACGCCAACCACAAACCAAACGAAGTCAGAAACGAAGAAGTTGATCCGGGAAGCCGTGGATTGCCGGAAGAAAATAAACTATACCTCATGTGGATTGGTGGCCATGTTGAATCATACGATGAAAGAAAGGATTGATCGGAATGTTGACGTCGGAAAGAAGACCGATGGAGGGAGAGAGAGAGGGGGGAAAGAATAAAGGGGGAAAGGAAGTAGATGGAGAAGAGGGAAGAATAACAAACCAGCAACTTCGAGCAATAATGATAGAGTTATTTAACTCCAACAAGTAGAGAAGAAACCCAAAAGGACCAAGCTTGGGGATAAATGGAAGAGTACAAGTTCAAGATTGCTGTGGTGGTGGTGGGGTTTGGGGGTGTTTTGGGGGGGCAGCAGTGGATGAACAGCCAGAAAAGAAGAGTCTTTGGGCGGACTGTCTGGATGCGGTGACGATCGGCGATTCTCCCCGCCTTACGCAAGTAACTCAACTTACTATACGGAGTAACTTAATTTAGTTGGTTGTGTTTAGTTTGACTGTTTGTCTCCGCCATTCCATCCGCCGCCCACTGCCCTGCCACTAACTAAAAACTACGGAAGTACTCAATTGTCCTTGCATTCTTTCTCTTCCTCTTCCTCCCACTCCTCCTCCTCCCTCCCTTCGTCTACTTTCTCTCTCCCGAACTCCCTTCTTCTGCTTCTTCTTCTTCTTCTTCTTCCTTTTTTTTTTTTTTTACGTCTCTTCCTTTCAATTGACAGTATCAGCAGTAAAATGCCCTTTCCTATTGACCATCACTAAAATCGTGTTCACTACGCAGGCAGCAATGGCCGCAATGGGGAAAAGTTCCGCGACCCGGAAGGACTCCGTCCTCACGCGCCGCTACATCGAGGGCCTCATCGCAGATGGCAAACACGTTATTATCTTTGACGGTCGCGTTTTGAGAGTCGATGCTTGGATCCCATATCACCCTGGAGGTGATAAGTCTATTAGACACATGGTGGGCAAGGATGCAACGGACGAGATTAATGCGTACGTGGCTTCGCGCCTGGGCCATCCTCTCTGGTCCCGAATCATAACTGATCTCATGCTTGAATATAGGTTGCATTCCCAGGAGGCGCGTCAACGTATGCTCTCGTTCCAGATCGGTCGCATCCAGGGCCCGTGGTTAAACTTCCTGCCTCCGATCCAGGGCGGGAAGTTCCGTCCGTACACCGAAGATTGCTTGTCCGATGATGAAAGTTCAGGCCAGGAAAGTTCCGGCCAGGAAACGTCACAGCCTCCGTCCCCGATCTTCGACGCAATAGACTCGATTGCTTCGGTCCGTCAGCGGAAGCCTTCGGCGGCCGAAGCCCCAACTCTAGCCGCACCACTCGAAGACGAGTCAAAACCGAAACCCTTCTTTCTCGATGCGCGCACGCAAGAAGAACTCGACTTTGACACGGCCAAGTTCCCCTCTCTCGACTCGGCAAATCAAGAGAAGATCAGGCAGCGTTATCGTCTTCTAGACAATCAGATCCGAGCAGAGGGGTTGTATGATTGCCGCTACTTTTCGTACTTCATCGAGTGTTGTCGGTATACCCTGTTCGCGGCCCTCTCGTATTACTTCCTCAAGCTGGAGTGGTACGGGACATCTGGGTTTTTCTTGGGGTGCTTCTGGCACCAGCTTGTCTTCACCGCCCATGATGCTGGTCATATGGGTATAACGCATAACTTCCACTTCGATACAGTGATCGGTATCATTATCGCAGACTACCTCGGAGGACTCAGTCTCGGATGGTGGAAACGGAGCCACAATGTTCATCACATCGTGACCAACGCCCCGGAGCATGATCCTGACATTGAGCATATGCCTTTCTTTGCCATTTCCCACCGCTTCCTAACCAGTCTTCGAAGCACCTACTACGACCGCGTGATGACTTATGACGCCGTGGCTAAATTCATGCTGCGCTTCCAGAACTATCTATACTATCCCATTCTCCTCTTTGGGCGATTCAACCTTTACCGGCTAAGCTGGGAGTATCTGTTCACGGGCCAAGCACCGAAGAAGGGTCCCGCTTGGTGGCATCGCTGGTTCGAGATCGGCGGCCAGGTCTTCTTCTGGTACTGGTTTGGCTACGGTGTGTTGTATTGCACCATCCCGGACTGGAAGAGCCGGTTAACCTTCCTTCTGATCTCGCACATGGTCACCTCCCCTCTCCACGTGCAGATCACTCTCTCCCACTTCGCCATGTCCACATCTGACATGGGTGTCAACGAGTCCTTTCCCCAGCGAATGCTTCGCACCACCATGGATGTAGACTGCCCGACCTGGCTGGACTGGTTTCACGGCGGCCTGCAATTCCAGGCCATCCACCACCTCTACCCGCGCATTCCCCGCCACAACCTGCGCCGCACGCAACGGCTGGTTTTGGAGTTCTGCCGCGACACGGGTATCCCCTATACCATTTTCACCTTCTATGACGGCAATAAGGAGGTCATTGGTAAACTCGGCGATGTGGCCAAACAAGTCCGGATTCTGGAGGAGTGCAGGAAACAGTGTGCTCAACAGGGCGTCTTCTCGGATCACCACTAGAGCTGGGAATGGGAATAGACCGGTGTTTGAAACTTCATGGTTGAACAGTCGGTTGCGGTTTCGAGCTGTGGCGGTTGTTCTGGTCTGTAAATGTAGAAACTATACTATCCTGTACAGTACTTAGCGCTGTGGCCCAGATGCACGAAACAATCACTGTATAGTTGGACATGAGAGACTTACGGATTGGCGTTTGAAGGGCCCTTTATGACAAATCTGGTATTCTTTAATGATATGATGATGTTTTGATTGCAGTCATGTTCTGGTCACTGGATTGATGGCCGTCCCCTGCGCGTTGGATGTTAGGCCCCAGATCGCGGAGGCTTCCTTCCCAGCCTACAAATCTAGATACTCTATGTGTGGTGTCTAGCTCATAGAATCTATTCCCTCCCTGGATCAACCAACCATTCCCCCGGCTCTGGCCACCTTCTTCGCTCTCTGCTGCCGTCGATTATGATTCGCACGACTAGCCTTATTCTCCTCTTTCCTTTGCCTGGCAGCAGCCGGGTTCTGTCCCTGGCCTGCACTGGCACTGTCTCCAGCACCGCCGCCACGTCCACCACCCCCTCGTCCTCTGCCACCTCGGCCTCTCCCTCTCCCACCACCACCGCCCCTTCCTCTCATGGAAGAACCACCCGGATAACTTCCCGGCGTCTCGCTTCCACTCTCTCCATCCCCGTCCCCATCCTCCGCCGCAGCACCCTTCCGATACGCCGTGGAGGCCAGCACCGGCTGATTCAGGCCCCCTGCCCCACCCTGCCCCGGCGCAAACCCAAGCGCCAGATCTTCTAGCTGCTTCATGCGCTTCGGATCCCGCGCCAGCATCACGGCCCACCCCTCGATCGCCTCGTCTGTCAGCCCGGTCTCGCGCTTCAGGGCGGCGCGGGGCTGCGCGCGTCTCGTCGCAGAATCCCGGCCGAATAACGCGGGGTTGGATTTATAGGCGCGGTAGATGGCGAGTTCGTTGTCCTCGGGGGCTGCGCCAGCGCCACCACGCGAGGTCGTGGTGGTGCTGGTGGTGGTTTCGTCTTCTGCGGCGACGGTCGTGTCCACTGTGCCGCCGACGTCGGTCACATCGTAGGTATCGTCGCGTTCGTCGTCGTCGGAGTCGAACGTGGCGAGGGCGGACATGATGGCCGCCTTCTGGGCGGCGTGGTTGGAGCGGTCGGAGAGCAGCGCGTCGGCGGTGAGGGTGGGGTTGGCACGGCCGAAGCGGAGGGTCTTGTCGTCTGAGCGGGCAAGTTCGGCAAGATCGACTTCTGTGTCGAAAATGTTCTTTCTCTGGACTGGTGGAGGGGTTGTGAGGGTCGGGGAGTGTGGGGGGAAGGGGTCGTGGTGGTGGTGGGTTGTTGTCGGAGTAGGGAGGGGTTCGGATCTATCGAGGGATTGTAACTCCGGGGCGATGGAGTCGTCGAGGAGGTGCGCAACGATGGTTTCGGGGTCGTCGTGGTAGTGGTCGAGGAGACGTGCGATGTAGCCCGTGCCGAGGTCGGGGAAGAGGTCCTGAACTTGCGTGATGAGCGACATCTTGTGGATGTGGAGGTCCTCGGCCGCCTTGGGGAGGAGACCTTCGTCCTCGTCAGTGGCTCGGTCTTTGCCTTTGTTGATCGCCCGCTTGCGTGGTTTCTTCTGGTAGCGGCGGTGGAGCGGTTGGGTTCCTGCTTGATATGCGCGCAGGCTGGCCAGGAGGTCTTGTCCGCGCTTTTGAGGATTGACGTCTGCATTGAGGTGACGGTCTAGGCGGGCTAAGAAGTCGGTGCTGCAGATGACGTCGGACAGTAGAGTAGGCTCCTTCTTCGTGCTAGCGCCAACCGCCGCGCTGGCTTTCATGCCGTACAGCTGGTCTAGGAGAGACGATAGATTGGGCTTGGGGCCCTTGATAAATGAGCACAGCCCGACATAGACATTCGCCACGAGTACTTTCCGCACGTCCTCCCGTGGATGTGTTTGATATGCGTCGAATACAGTATCGAGAAAGTCAGAGCCGGCCATGAGCACATGGCCGCAGCCGGGCAGCGCTGAGGCCAGGACCGTCAAAAGTCTGAGGTCCATGAGAATCGCAGGGGGCTTGCCGACGTTCAAAGATGACAGTTCCCTGATTGCTTGGACCTTGGCCTTCTCCAGACTGGAAGTGATCGCATCCTCATGCTGGTCCCAAGCATCAGCCAGTAACCTCTTCAAAGCGGAGCTGGAGGGGTAACAGCAACACATGCCAGCAAGTACTCTCCAGTCCAGTAGCTCTGGCGGGGTTGTAGAGGCATCGAGGAGCAGCCTTCGCGTCAATAGAAAGCACAGTTTCCGTAATGAGCGTGCGTGCGGCGCTGTGTGAGACCGAAGTAAGCCGGGGTAGGTCGACTGGTAGAAGAAAGAGGTCAAGAATGTAATCGTAGACGCGTCATTGAGCGCATGTTCCTTGAATTGTGACTCTGGCAGTTCGACGCGCAATTTCAATAGCATGACCCATGCATCCATATAGAGCTCCCATTCCGCCGCGGGGATGTTGCTCTGCACCTCCGGAGGTGGAACCGGCGCAAGAGGTGGTAAACCGGGCATGACAGAAAGGCTGGACTGGAATCAGCGATGCGGAAGTACCGAGCAGCTCAGGGATCGCAACAATGGCACAGTAGCCTGAAAAGAAGGACAGATATCATGAATCATCAACATCGTCACTGATCGTTGCGACATGAAGACATCGTCATCATCATCGGCTCCATCGCCCGCCCGCCGAAACCATTCTTGGCTTAACCCGATCCAGACGCCGCCGCGGAGTATCTGCTGACTCAGCCCGACCATGCTCTGGCACTCAATCTGGGTTAGCGTGTGATAGGCGAGGGCGCCAAGGCCGACTCCCGCACAAGAGCCGCTAAGCGCACGATGATTGAAAAATAAAAAATACAGGAGGAATTTCCCAGCTATTAGTCCGCGATAGCAACAGACCCTCTTTCAACAGCCATCATCACCTTACCGAACCCCGAAGTTCAGGTCTTGATTGGTAGCCAGCCTCACCTACGGTATGTTCCCTCTCCCTCCTTTTTCTTCCTTCTCTGTGAACGACAGCTGATCCATCCCTCAAAGCCATCTCAATCCCACGGTCTCACCCCACCGCTCAACTACATCCAAGATGTCTTTCCAGAAGCCCGAGAAGGATTTCGGCGAGGGCCCCGTACGTTCATGATGCCTCTTCTATCCCTCTTTCTCCAACCTCGCTGTCTCAACGAAAGCCTTCGCGCCGGACATGCATGGGGGTTTATGGACCAAGCCATCGTCCATTATCAAACGCGACGGCACATGTGTGACTAACGAATGTCTTTGCTCTCGCCCATCTACAGAAGGTCCACAAGATCCGCATCACCCTTACCTCTCGCAAGGTCGCTTCCCTCGAGAAGGTCTGCACTGAGCTGATCGACCGTGCCCGCTCCAAGTCCCTCCAGGTCAAGGGTCCCGTCCGTCTCCCTACCAAGACCCTTCACATCTCCACCCGTAAGACCCCCAACGGTGAGGGTTCCAAGACCTGGGACAAGTACGAGATGCGCATCCACAAGCGTCTCATCGAGTAAGTCCTCCCTATGGACCATTGATCAGCAATCGCATCGTGAGCCGGATGGACTGACACCTCGTAAAGCCTTCTCGCCCCCACCGAGACTGTCAAGCAGATCATCATCAACATCGAGGCTGGTGTTGAGGTTGAGGTCACCATTGCCGCTTAAATGCGCGCCTAACCTCTTAGTTGAGACTGGTGGCCGGGGCGGCGGTGCAGACTATATGCTTGTCTGGATTTATGGAAGAGATCGCGCTTCCAGGCCCGTGCCAAGCAATCGTCTATATCCGCTCAAACTTGGCATGAAAATGAAAAATCTTAAAAACGCGTATCAAAAATCCTCGTGCTTGTGTAGTCTGAAGCTGTAATCGTGATCCAGTAATCCTATCCAGTCCGTTCCAACCTGGACGCCGATCATCTGGGGAGATGATCAGTAAGCAGCTATTTACAATTAAAAGTAGATCATCATGACACTCGCTCCGTCCAAACTATCTATTCATCAAAAGTCGAAGCTCACCCACTCAGTCTTGGGCGGCACACTCGGAAGAACGCCATCCTCGAAACACCCGTTCGTGATGAAGTATCTGTACTGCTGAGTCACCTCGGAAGTATATTCCTCGGGGTGCGCCTGGGCATCCCTCAAGCTTGCTTGATCGGGTGGTCCATCAGGGAAGAAGATGCGAACCCAAGTTTCACCATCCTGAGGGTGACGATAACAGGGTACGTCCTTGATATATTGCACAGGTTGCCCCTTCCAGCTAGTGAGCCGGTTCGTCCGGGGATCACGAATTGTTTCTCCATGCAATGGTGGGATTGGGTTCAGCTCGCTGGGGTCCTTCGTCCTGATGACGGGATTGGAGCCAGGTCCGGACGATGCAGTAGGAGTAGCCGGTGACGCTGTAGCTGCTGCTGGTGTCCCAAACCCAGAACCTGCCGGAGTTGATGCTGGCCCGAGCCTTGAAACGGACGGCGCTGAAGGTGTTCCAACTCCGGAAGCTGGTGCTGTCCCAAACCCAGGCGCTGCCGCTGCCGGTGCTGTGCCAAAGCCCGGAACCGATGGTGATCCAAAGCCAGGAGCCGATGGTGCCCCAAACCCAGGAGCTGACGGTGCTCCAAACCCAGGAGCTGACGGTGCCCCAAACCCAGGAGCTGACTGTGCTCCAAACCCAGGAGCTGACGGTGTTCCGAACCCAGGAGCTGATGCTGTTCCAAAACCCGAAGCTGCCGCTGGCTTTGAAGTAGGTGCTTGTTGGCCTAGCTGCGCGAACCCAGACTGGCCAAAGACTGGCTCAGCTGGTCGTTGGTTTGCGGTCCCAGAGGATGAGGTTGCTTGACCAAACGGGTTCGACGATTGCTGAGCAGGAACCCAAGGCGAGGCCGATGCAAGTCCAAACCCTGACGTACCAGTCTGTGATTGTCCAACCGTCGCAAATGGCGAAGGAGTCGATGCGGACGCCCCAAAGCCGCTTGATGCTTGACTGAACGGTGAGGCTGTAGTCCCTGTCGTTGAAGGCTGTCCAAATGATGGCTTCCCAAACCCGGATCCTTGATTGAAACCACTCGATTGACCAAAGCCAGATGTACGGTTTGTGAAAGGGGTAGGTTGACCGAAACCAATTCCTGGACCAAGAGTTGGCTTTGCGTATGCGTTATCACCCAATACTGCTGGCTCCCCGAAGGCTGGGCCTGTGGGAGCTGGACCCTTGATCTCGCCAAACAGCTTAGGCGTGGCACCGAAATTCGATCCGGTCTTGTTATTCACAATGTCGATCCGGTTCGGATGCTCCTTGGCTCCATCCAGGACATACTTGACAGCACCGTCCAGGTCATTGAGCGCGACTTCGATTTGGTGCCGTACTTCGTTATGTAGACCCTGAGCTTCTGAGACTGCTATCTCGAGGGGTTTTCCTTGCGCCATTAGTTCATAGTGACGGAGTCGGAGTTCCTCGAAACTTTGCTCTCGCTGGGGACCTCCGAATAGCTGTCTCGGAGCATCTCGTCCAGGACCATAGCATGAAAAGATCCATTCAGGAAGACCCTTTCCTGGAGTCAAGTCTGCTTTGATATCTGCTGCAGTGACACCGTATCTGAACGGGATTAATGTGAGTTCTGAGTCCATGAGAAGACGGAATAATGACATACTGTGCATTTTGCTGGTTCTGTCCACCGCGGCCTAGATAGCAATTAGCGAGCGCATCACATCGGGTAGGTTGCTGATGGTAGTATATGATAGCTCTAAGAGACGAGCTAAATCATCATGGAATTCTTGTAATCACGGTAAATTTGCACACAGAGGGACAAGGTGCAGTGAGTTCAAGAAGTTCAGGGAGGATGAAACAGAGGGCACATTGAAGGGAAGATGCGTATAGGGTAGCGTTCGACATACCTCCACCTCCGCCGCCTCCGCCGCCTCCTCCGCCGCCACCGCCGGAGAGAGCTGCGAATTTATTTCCGCCTACCGTTTGCCTGCCAGGGTGCTCATTGTAGCATCTGTCTGTAGGGGGAGAATCAGTGATTGGTCATGTGTCCGTGAGACATGATTCAGAGCCACAAAGATACGGCGGCGAATTCATACCTCCGTATTTACACCGGCCTTTCAAAAAATGCTGGCAAACAGGCATCTTGCGATCGTGTCGGTCGTGCTCACTCGGCCACTAGCAGCATGCGATGAACGTCGTGTCGAGTCTTTCCAATGGCGGCCCCTCGGAGCCCCTACTTTCAAAAAGAACAGCCTATTCCCAGATATGTGTGAATCAACCCAGCAAGAGACAAGGGTAAATCGAAAGTGATCTAGGATAAAGGATTTCTTGCGGCGTTTAGTGACTTGTAAATGAGTGTTGAATGTTAAGTTATTCTTTGTTGCAGTTGAGCTTGAAATGTTCCGGTGACAGTACGTTTCCCCGACCCGGACCCTGGTCGCCGCCTTTTGCCAGCAGTTGCCGTGTATGGCTTGTACCGCAAATACATTATCATGTGCTCTCATCACTTCCTTACTCCGGAGTACATATTCATCTGTGTTCTGATTCTCGAGGTCGATAGTAGTCATTACTGATGCTGATTGTCTCAAGCACAGTAAGAGCCCATAAAGGAGGAACAGAGCCACCGTAGCCTCTAGTCAATATCCCGATGCATCATAAAATTACATTAGTCCCCATGTGAACTCCTATTCTCCAGATAACTTCCGAATAACTTGCTTCAATCCGCATTGTAGCCGATGCCGACAATGTGCCTCAGGTTTGCTGATTGGCGCCACTGGTAGATGACACAAGTTTTGATTGAGCCAGGCTTTGCCGCAGAACGTCCCAGTTCAACCCATCGACTTTCTCTCCACCTAACGACTCAAGGTCGGTAGACAGGGTATTCAGCCTCCCTGTTGCCAGGCGTCGCATCATGACCGTGTCTCTGTGTCCTTGAAGCCCACGCGCATTTCCACGGAGTAGAGACTCCTCGAACCACTCTTCCTCCTGCGCATCGAAAGGAAGACCAATCAGTTCCATAGCCCTTGCACTTCGCGCGGAGCCAGCCTCGCTTGACAGGACAAATTCAATGAGCTTCTCCAGGTATCTTCGGCGGAGTTCTTCATCGTGCTTGCGCGTGAAGTAGAAAGCCTCGGTAATACTTGCGCGGCACAGGGTTTTGAAGAAGGCTCTCTGCACTTTCTCGGAGGCCAGTGGCGGGGCCACGGTGAGGTAATATGCCATGACGAGGCTGTCATCATGTTTGGGGAGATGAGGAAGGGTCAAGACGTAGAGGATCTCGTCGGGAAATGTGGGAATAATGGAGGGCTCGGTCAGGTATTCGACAGCTCGCTGCTCACATAGGATAGTCAGAAATCCGCGTCCAACCGTGGCAGCCGAGGAAGCAAAAACATACTTTGAAATCCAATCTATCAAGGTTCCATAACCCGTCTATGAATAGCCTATACTTCTCCGGCAGGTGACACCGGCGCGAGAACTGCGTAGCCGCATCGTTGCTGGAGCCGCGGCAATCTTTGAGAATGTAGTATATCAACGATTGCTTGTGATGGATGTCGAGCGGAGACGATACAATGTGCCCGATCAGTGTACGGAGGTCAGCATTGGATCGAGGAGGATAGAGACGTGTGACTGTAGTTTCATTCTGGTCAGCCAGAAGGTCAAGTTTCCATCCTTGGGGTGGGGAGAGCTACCTTTTCTGACGCCGAGCAATCCCAAGAGTCTGTCTGCGAAAAGCCGTTCCTCTAGAGCACGGCGATTGGATATGATCTGTTCAATAAGCTTGCCATCGTAGCTAAAGTCCTTGTTGAACTGAAAGATGGAATCAAAATCCTCCCAAGGCGCCATCTTGACCTTTAGCTGGCGATTCCTGCGCCGACGGTAATATTGAAGCCGATGTTGACAGTACCGTACGACTCGATCCGTACACGAAAGGCGGTCAACCATGTGAACCAAAGGATGCAAATGTTGTGGCAGAAAAATAACACCATGCCACTTCGGGCGGGGATGTAAACAACCCACTTTCCACCTGCGGCGCTTTCAAATGTCAACTTTGGCACCTGCACACGGTCAGAATTCCGCCTCCATGCAGCATCCACAGGCGACTAACATCGATACAGAATAATGTCGTCAATTGCTAGAGGCCGGCCATCCCGGCGTGCTGCTCCTCGCAGGAGTTATGTCCCAGAAGAAACGCCATCAGAGGAGGAAGATCCTGGAAATGTTACCCCCACGGCGCCGTCCCGGCATGAAGATGATGACGACGAAGAGGAGGGCGAACGCACCCCAGTTCCCAAGAGACCCAGTGGAGTCAAAAGATCATCTCGCAGACAAGTAACGGCTGAACCGACAGAGGCGCCTACATCCATATCGAGTACCACCCGCACGACACGCAAACCCCGCAAGTCCAGGACGGTGGACCCTTCGGAATCGTCGCAGCTGGTCGATGAAGGCGAAAGTCTTGCCAGCATTAGAGAACCACAAACTACATCCACAATAAGCGCTTCTCGTGCGACACGCAGGCCCCGCAAATCGAGGACGGTCGACCCATCGGAGTCATCGCAGTTGCTCGACGAAGGTGAAAGCTTTGCAAGCATCAGAGCGCCAGAGGACCCAGCTGCATCCAGCGCTCCTCGCACAACACGCAGAACCCGCAAGTCAAGAACCGTTGACCAGTCCGAATCGTCGCAGTTGATTGATGAAGGTGAAAGTCTCGCCAGTGCCCAGGATCCAGAAGAGACGAGCGCACCTCGTATGGCGCGTAGAACGCGCAAGTCCAGAGCTGTAGACCCATCGGAGTCATCGCAGCTTGCAGAAGAAGGTGAAAGTCTTGCAAGCGTCAGGGAACCCGAAGTGCCCCTCACCTCCAGTGCCCCGCGGTGCAGAACACGCAGGTCAAGGACAGTGGAACCGCTGGAGTCATCGCAACTGCCGGAGCCCAATGAAGAGGGCGACAGTATTGCAACAGTCACAGCACCGGATCTCTCGTCTGAGAAGACGCCCGTGCAAGTGAAAACAAAGGGTATGGCTTCACCCTGCAGGTCGTGTCCCCAGCTCGAGGCAGAGCATTGCTGACATCCACTTTTCAGAGCCCTCCACCTCACCCCCACCTCAGCCTCAACTTCAAAGAGAAAGTGTGCCTCCACTTGGCGATATTACCGAGGCGGCAGTGAATAAGTCGTCGTCGAAGTCACCATCGAAATCGAATGAAGATGAGAAGCCACAAATTCCACTCATCGACCCGAACACAACGGTGCTCGAGAAGCCCATGGACATAATGCTGAAATCCCGGACGATGGCTCCGTCCGCCTCCCAGGAGCCGTCGGGCCCGACTAGTCGCTTGATGATCACCACTTTGGTTATGATGAATTTCAAGAGTTACGCAGGAAAGCAGATCGTTGGTCCCTTCCATGCATCCTTCTCTTCCGTTGTCGGACCGAATGGATCGGGGAAATCGAATGTTATTGATGCATTGTTGTTTGTATTCGGATTCCGAGCAAGCAAAATGCGTCAGGGCAAGATATCGGCTCTGATTCATAATTCTGCCAATCACCCAAACTTGCCATCGTGTGAAGTCGAGGTCCACTTCCAGGAGATCATTGATCAGCCGAATGGCACTCATGAAGTAGTACCAGATTCCCAACTAATTATTTCCCGGAGGGCGTTCAGAAACAACAGCAGCAAATACTATATGAATGCCAAGGAGACGAGCTTTACCGCAGTGACGACGCTACTTCGCGACCGTGGTATTGATTTGGATCATAAACGATTCTTGATCCTTCAAGGTGAAGTTGAGTCTATTGCTCAGATGAAGCCTAAGGCCGCCAACGAACACGAGGATGGGCTCTTGGAGTATCTCGAGGATATTATCGGAACTTCAAAGTACAAGACGCCTATCGACGAGGCGGCCACGGAGCTTGAGCAGCTGAACGATGTCTGCGTCGAAAAGAATAATCGTGTCCAGCACGTTGAGAAGGAAAAGGTCGCCCTCGAGGACAAGAAGGACAAGGCTCTTTCTTACATCCGGGACGAGAATGAGCTATCTGAGAAACAGTCGGCTCTCTACCAAATCTACATTGATGAATGTGCGGACAATATCCGAGTCACTGAAGAGGCCATCCTACAGATGCAAGAACTCCTAAACATGGAGCTTGAAAAGCACGAGGGTAACGAATCTGGTATCAAAGAGCTCGAGAAAGCCTACAAACGTGGGATGCGGGAATATGAGAACATGGAAAAAGAGGTGCAGGCGCTTGTCAAGGAAATGGCTAAGTATGACAAGGAGAACGTGAAGTTCGAAGAGAAGAAGAAGTTCCTGGTCGGCAAGCAGAAGAAGCTGGAGAAGACAATGCAAAGCACTCGGCTGGCTGCTTCCGAATGTGAGAGTCTGGTGCAGAAACATTCCGATGATATCGAGAAGAAGACCAAGGAAACATCCGAGCTTGAGAAAGAGATGAAGGTCGAAGAGCAGGAATTGGCCGACATTCGTGAGAGTCTAAAAGGCAAAACCCAAGGCCTTTCGGATCAGATTACCGCAAAGCAGAAGTCGCTTGAGCCTTGGGATGAGAAAATCAACAAAAAGCTCTCGGCTGTGGCTGTGGCACAGAGTGAGCTTGACATCCTTTACGAGCGAAGCAACGCTGGTGCTGTTCTGCTCGAAGAAGCGCAATCAAAGATCACTTCGATTGAGGAAACCCTAGCAACCAAGGAGAACGATCTTGAGGAACGCAAAGCCCAGAAAGCTACCCTTGAGGAAGAGGTGGCTAAGCTGAAACACGATCTCAAGAAGTACGCCAATAGAGAGCCCGAGGTACGAGCCCATGTCTCCAGTGCTCGACAGAGGGCGGAAGAGGCACGAGCCAGCCTTGCAAGCACTCAAAATCGTGGTAGCGTCCTATCTGGATTGATGCGTCTCAAAGAGTCTGGTCGCATCGAGGGCTTCCATGGTCGCCTTGGAAATCTTGGTATGATCGATGAGAAGTTTGACGTTGCTATCTCGACGGCATGTCCTGCTCTGGATAACATGGTGGTTGACACGGTTGAAGTTGGACAACAATGCATCGACTATCTACGAAAGAACAACCTTGGTCGGGCCAACTTCATCCTCCTTGACCGTCTCCCTCGTCGAGACATGTCCAAGGTCTCTACTCCGGAGAAGGTTCATCGACTCTTCGACCTAGTCAAGCCAAAGGATCCCAAATTTGCTCCAGCTTTCTATAGCGTGATGCAGAACACGCTAGTGGCCGAGGACTTGGAACAGGCCAACCGCATCGCATATGGTGCCAAGCGCTGGCGAGTCGTGACTCTTGATGGCCAGCTCATCGATACTTCTGGAACGATGAGTGGCGGTGGTACCCGAGTCGCACGGGGCGCCATGTCGTCAAAACTAGTTGCTGATACAAGTCGAGAGCAGGTGGCCAAGCTGCAGAGTGACTTGGAGGAGACGGAGAGGAAGTTCCAACACTTCCAGGAGAAACAAAGACAGATGGAGGCGGCAATCAGGGAGAGGATGGACGAAATTCCACGGATAGAGACTAAGATCCAAAAGATCTTGATTGAAATCGACAGTGCCAACCGCAGTCTTGCAGATGCTCAGCGTCGCGTCCAAGAGCTGAGCGCTGAGCACAAGCCATCCAAGACGGATGCCAGCCGAGCGAGGAGCCTTGAAAAGCAGATTGCCGCCCTCGAAGAAGAGATCGAAGATCTCCGCGAACAGAAAGGCGGGATTGAGCAGGAGATCCAGACCCTGCAAAACAAGATCATGGAGGTTGGCGGTGTGAGACTCCGTGGACAAAAAGCCAAGGTCGACGGCCTCAAAGAGCAGATCAACCTCCTATCCGAGGAAATCTCGAATGCTGAAGTGGGCAAGTCCAAGAACGAGAAGCTCATCGCAAAGCACTCGAAAGCTCACGCCGAGGCGGAGAGGGAGCTTGAGCATGTTGCAGAGGAGCTTGATAAGTTGAACGAAGACGTGGCCAATCAGGCCAGCGATGCATCCGGCTGGAGGCAAAAGGTGGAGGAAGGCCAAGATGTAGGTTATGGCTCATCAAAAGTGCTGAAGCAGTGACTAACTGGTTACAGGCTCTGGAAACCAAGCAGGAAGGCCTCCAAGCCATGAAGGCCGAGCTTGACGAGAAGGTTGCTGAACTGAACGAGTCTCGCGCCACGGAGATTGAGATGCGCAACAAGCTTGAAGAGAACCAGAAAGCTCTCGCCGAGAACGAAAAGCGCGGCCGCTACTGGCAGGACAAATTATCCAAGCTGACGCTGCAGAACATCAGTGATCTGGGCGAGGAGCATCAGGCCACCGAGCTTCAGGTGTTCACGAAAGATGAGCTGTCCGAGATGAACAAGGAGTCGCTGAAAGCCACGATTGCTGTCTTGGAAGAGAAGACTCAAAATGCGTCGGTCGACCTGACTGTGATTGAGGAGTATCGCCGTCGAGCAACCGAACACGAAGCTCGCTCGGCCGATCTGGCCACTGCGCTCGCCGCACGGGATAGTGCTAAAGCTCGCCTTGACGGTCTTCGGTCCGCCCGTTTGAACGGATTCATGGAAGGGTTTGGTATCATCTCTCTTCGCCTGAAGGAGATGTACCAGATGATCACTATGGGCGGTAATGCCGAACTGGAGTTGGTCGACTCACTCGACCCTTTCTCCGAGGGAATCCTGTTCTCGGTGATGCCACCGAAGAAGAGTTGGAAAAACATTGCCAACTTGTCGGGTGGAGAGAAGACGCTATCCAGTCTGGCACTGGTGTTTGCTCTGCATCACTACAAGCCTACACCTCTGTACGTGATGGACGAGATCGACGCTGCCCTGGATTTCCGAAATGTGAGTGAAGCCAAGAATCTACAGCCCGTGTCCCGCCCACTAACAGGGTATCAGGTCTCTATCGTGGCATCTTATATCAAGGAGCGAACCAAGAACGCCCAATTCATCGTCATTTCGCTGAGAAACAACATGGTAAGTCTACTTACTGGTCTCTATTGTGTTGCTCATACTTACGACTGTTCTAGTTCGAGCTTGCCTCCCGACTGGTCGGTATCTACAAGGTCAATCACATGACCAAGAGTGTCACAATCGAGAACAAGGACTACATCAATAGGCGGTGATTCGGTGCTGGACGCGTGCTCATGACTTTTTTTTTTCTATGTGTTCAGTGTATGTATTCAGGATGGTTGGGACAGGACGGACAAACGGTGTGCGGGTTTGGAAATCACTTGCTCTTGCTCTTACTCCACGGCTGGGAAGAATGATGACGATGATGACTTTTTGCTTAATGGTGATTCGGGACTGGATGAATTCCATTCTTGTTCTGCGGGATTGGCTTGTTCCAGTTTGGGGCACTTTCATGAGGGGTTTTTTTTTTTTTTTTTTTCGATGTTGATTATTATTGATGTGGATTACCTTGACAGAGTACACACAGTATATTCCATTCCAGTTTCCACCTATTCCCGCGAGTAGACACTTCATTTTGCGTTGCATCTATGCAGGCTTCTCCCGATTCCATACGTAAGTATCGACTTGAAGTACAGCATGCCGTACATGCAGCATTGTAGCCCGGCCCCGTCGAGAGTGGATAAGTTAGGAAATTGAATGTGGATGCCACAGTGGATTAACTGTATTAGATCTGGGCTCGGGAATTTTGGTCGTGGCCGATGCCGTAGTGGGTGGGGGGAGGGGGAGGGGGAGGGAAGGGAAGGCAAGGGAAGGGGAAGCTAAGCTAAGCTAAGCTGAGCTGAGCTGTTGAGGTGGCGGTCCCGGATTTGAACCAAGCCAGTCTTGTCGCTTGGACTAGACTCGATACCTACAGGGTAGGTTGATAGGGTTCTATGAAATATGACTCTGTAGTCTGTCTATACGAGTTGCAAGTACTTCTTGGGGCTTCGAATTTCCTTGTCAGGAGCGGGGAGGGGAGGGGGTTGCCTTGGAGGAGAAACATCAAAACTTGGAATTCGAGGGGGAGGAGGAGAAGGAGGGGTTTAGGGCTTACGTGAGTATCAGTCGTGGTGTGGTGCATATCTGACTACATGTGATTGTGAGTTCAAAGAACGAGGAGGTATATAGAGGGGTGGTTGTTGGAGGGAGTTGGAGTTTTGTGTTCTTTGCTATGTACACGGACGGTAACTGGTTAGTATATGCTGTACGGAGTACCCAGCACTGTGGGATTGTTGATAGAAAAGAACAGTCCGGCCGTGGTGTACTCCGGAGTATCATACGTACGGTGGGCTACTCGGGATGGGCTGCTCCGTTGGGATCTGGACGACATCTACTTAGTAATTCAGTCTCCAGATAGGCGGCGGGGCGGCTGGTAAATCGTTCTTTCTGATGGCAATGTCTCAAGGGTTAGTGTTCATGACAAATGGGTGCGTTCTGCTTGGGAGAGAGGGAGGAAGTTGTTAGGTAACTTCAATTGCTCATTGCGGGCCGGAGATGCTGGGCTGTGGAGGGAGGACCGCCTTTGTTTGTTTACTCCATCCCCAGTAACCTAGTCCGTCCATAGTTAATTTAGTCAGACTAGATCTCTATAATATCCCTTGATATAGGCTTTGCTAGAAAGAATCGAAGGATACGGTCTATTCATCCCTGGTCCAAGAAGTGGAATAATCACTGTAAGCATAGACCACAGCACAGGCCAGGTTCACGAAAGTGGGAAGCAAACTTGAAGAATGATATTCAGGAACCAAACTGAACATTTGACCTTAATCCACTAGTAAGTTCTGTTCCTCTCCCCTGCCTGCGCTGTCAGTGTCACTAGATCAATAAGTTGTCTTCGAGAGCAGTTCACGGCACTGCACGAGCAATTCGGTAGGGCTAGCCTGAACCGTGGAAATTGCCTACTCGGTAGTCGACCTGCCCTTTAGCGCGAACATCATGCAGCAGCGTCGAATTTCATGTATAAACGGAGTACAATTCGCTACTATACTCCTTCAAACTAGGCTTCGAAGAGCTTCTCTCTCTCTCCCTCTCTCTCTCTCTTGCATCTGCAAGAAAGCGGAGAAATCGAGAAACCCTCGGCTGGAGCTGCTGCACTTCAAAGTCAAGCATCGAGATTCAGGAAAGTTTAAGATTTTCAGACAAAGCCCGGTCGGTGGTCGTCGAATTGAGCGAGCGATTTTCTCCTAGTTTCTGCTTCAGCCTTTCAGCTTGCTTCTGCCGTCCGATTTCGTCGCGCGGTGTCAGGTCTGAATCCCTGCCGTGGCCAATCACAGCTTTGAATTGCCACGTGGAGTTAGTTCTGTTCCAGTTTTCCTGGACTCCGCTGTGTTCAGAGTAATGAATTTGAGGTGGATTGATTGGAAGGTCTTTACTCGGTGTGTGGTGGATCCCCCGGTGGAGCACAAGTGGAAAGAAAGTGGGTTGGAATGCCCGCAGTTTTGTTCTTCCGCAGTTCCGCTACTAGCAGCCATTGCGTTTACCCGCCACAGCGGGCTACAGCGGGCCACAGCAGGCTTCTCTAATCGTGTGCTTTCTTTCCTTCTGCAATCTTCGTGGTAAATACCTTTAGTTACTCAATTTCTGGTAGGTAATGGTAATATACCTCCATGTTACGATGCTACTGTAGGCAACCGGATATTCCTGGGCCACGATCGATCGCAATCCGACCACGATTGCGGAAATCAAAGGCAGCCATTCTTGCATGCAGCCCAACTCGCGGGATAAGAGATCTCAGGGACTGCAGCGGAGGCTGAAGATAACCAACCCGATAAGCCCCAATGCGAGGGGACCAGAGATTATCGGAACAAAAGCACCATCCAGGGGACGGCTTTGGATCATGCGGAGGCCCGGAGTATAATCGACCCTTCTACGACGCACATAAGTACGAGTTATAGTTATATGATAGGAGCTATCCAGCCAAGCCCGAGACTGTTTAGGGGGGCTATCTTGCTGCTGATAATACCTGTCGAAATTCACCTCCTATCTCACCCCTGGAGCACTGCCTCGAATCGGTCGATCGCAACAGCTCTGGTGCTTGAGCAGGCAGCAATTGAAGGCCAAGGTACTCCGTACCTTAGTGTATGATCTGGTCGCGATAAACAACACAACGGGCTAGAATGATCCAAGATGTACTTGTACAGACTCCGTATAGTACTTCATCCTTATGATGTAGTGTGACGTGATGACTACCGTTAACCAGGAAGCTGGCTACTAGTTTATCCTTGGCGGCGATCGACTTGAAATTCTCGTGGAAAATCCGACGGTAAGACACGCTCCCCGATAATGAATGCGACAGTCGCGTTGCCAGGACAAACTGGCCAAACCACAAAAAAAAGTCTCCGTGAGCTGTCAATTGACGGTACTCCGGACTTGCATGGGAGATGCACATCGGCGACCGCGGCAGCTACGGTGACAGCACGCCTGAGATGAGATGCGATGAGATGTATGTATGTATGTATGTATGTATGTATGTAGTCATATGTACGGAGTCCAGTTGATGGATGTGCTGCATTCCGCATGCAGAAAGTAGACTTCCGAAACTGCTAGAAACATTGGGCTGAACGCGCGACAAGGTTCCTTCGAAGGGAAGCTTGGGGGCATGTACTCTGTAATGCCTGTTGCTTTTCAATAAATGCCGTGAGCCGATGAGGGTTCAGGGTGTTGCCGTCCTTCGAATCGAAGGATTGGAATCCATCCCGGTTGGGCCAATCCTCAACCCGACCGTGAGCAAATCGGAGCGTAAGGAATTGAAGTCGACTCATCCTTTGTTGTCTGAATCGACATGGATATATCGATTACCTACTCCGTAGTAGTATTAGTAGTTATGTGATCACAGCATCCTCATATATGATCGGGAAGAAAAGGATAGGCAAGGCAATCTACGGAGTACTGTACCTACCGTATACTTTTCCTTCTCTTTCCAAAAGTTCTAGATTTGTTTTCTTACACACAGTAAGTAGGTAAACTTCAGGGCAAAAGGTTATAGCGGAGAAGGATTGCGTTGCTTTTCTCCAAAAGTCAACTCTTTACTTAACTTAGGTAGTCAAAGTGCTGTAGTGCCTATGGAGTAATCACTCGAGACATTTTTTTCCCTCTCCGTGTCGCAAGCCCATGACGATCACACTCGGGTTAACAAGAAAGCCTCGCTTGGATCATCTCATTATTGCGACGCATTGAATCAATCTCCTACAGCCGCGGACCGAAACACCCAACGAACACCGCCTGTTTCGTCGGGTCTTAACTGGTCATTCGGACCGTTGCGTTCTCTCTCTCTCATTGTCTCTCTTGTCTCTCCTTTTTTTTTTTTCTTTTTCTTTTTCTTCTTTTCTTTCTCCTTTTGCTCTTTCGGATCTTTCATTGCATATTACCGGACTATTTGATCGTCCCTAGGCGGGCATGTGACAGGCAGCAAGTTCTGCTCGCATTTCGACCCTTACTGCCGCAGTAAAGGTTTAAGGTCCCCAGGTTGGGCTGTACGAAAGTATTGCACTTGGGGGGAGGGGGGAAAGAGGGAGAGAGCATCGCCTGCAGAGCATCATCCAATATTGGTTTGATTCTACTTCCGTACCGTAGTCAGTTAATTGACTAAAAACCAAGTAATTAATGGATGGATGCTGGCAAGGGTGGCGGCAAGTAGTGGTCATGGTCATGGACCATTCATGCCAATCCTCTCTCCTGTGGGAGTGGAATTGCGGTCATCATTTCTCGAGTCCCGTCTGGATAATCCATTCCCGTCAAAGGCATCAAATGAGAGGGGAGGCGATTCCGTCGAGTATGTGCGTGCAGTGCGTGGTCGAGATGTGATCGCGGAGAATTGGGGAAGGGAAGAGGGGGGGAGGGGGGGGAAGTAAATTGGAGAAAGCTCCCCCCACTCATCACTCGCTCGATCGCTCTTCATACTGAGGGTATGTACGGGGAGTAAAGAAGTAAGTAAGTACATGTACTTACCTACCAGCTTAGTAGGTACATGGTTATCTGAAAGGTGTTGTCTCTGCCGCAGCCCGCAGGGATCCCAGTGGGAGCAGGAGATAGAGTAACCCTGGTTTGCGCTATCGGCTATCTCGGACATGGGCGGCGGCAATTATTTGATGTATGTATGCTTAGTATACGGAACTTACTACGACTGACTAAGGTACTCCGTACTAACTAACTAACCGAACTTTACATCTGTGGTGCTGTACGCAGTACGTCTGATGGATCTCGCCGCACACTCTGGCAGTTGCATTCCTAGCTTGTGATTCAGATCGGATCCTGCATCTCATTTGCTTTTCCCCTTCGCCGCCCATCAGGAGAATTACAGGGAGAAGAGGGGTAGAGCAAAAGAAAAAAAAAAAAAAAAAGCAAATCACAGTAACATAACCGCGCTGAGCACAGCGGAACATAATGAGGGCAAATACGAATGGGATGAGGGGGTCAGAAGGCGAAAGGCGGGCGAGATCGGAGGGCGGTGGAAAAAAGAGCAGCAATGGTCGTCGAGTATTGATCATTAACAAAGAGAAAGCAAAGGAAGAGGAGAAATGTTCAATTCGGCGCATTCCAGTAAATTGAAGGGGATCCTTGCCGATACTGCTTGGCTGATCGGAACCAACAGCCTATCTGGGAATATGTTTCTACGGCGAGTGTGGTGTGTGCTTGGGAGGGGGATCGGAAGCTGACTGACTGGGAATTCCAAAATAAACATCATCATCATCATCATCATCATCGATTCCGTAGACGAATGTACCGTCAATGCTTTGTAGAAAAGTATGGAAGAACCAAAGAGCAAAGGAGGATGTGTGGGCGAATAGGCTGGGCCTGAAATAGAGCATCGCCGGTGGGCATAAATTGACTTCTTCCATCTGCCGTTCTATAGAGCTTCGATTGCGTAAAACGAAGCGGATTAACTTAGCGGCCAGAAGCCGTCCCGTCAAATTGGGTACGGAACTTTGTTAGGGCTATGGGGCGTTTGGCTAAGTACCGCCAGAGGGCTCCGAATTCGTTGTCTGGGTGTTACTTTAGTTACCATGAGTAAATTAAGCTAACTACTTACCTTTCGAAGTCACTGCCTGCCTTTTTTCAGTACTTCTTTTAGTTACTGTATACTCCGTAGGATCAGTCAAAGTAGTAGTTATCAGGCGCTGGCTGTTGCTTCCTTACAGCCGGCAGGGACTATGGTTCGAGGATCGGCAAAGTTATTCGCAGTGCTCTTGATGAAGGAAGGACGGAAGAGAACAGTAGGTGATTAGAAAAAAGAGAGATGACGACTATAGTACTACGATCCCATGCTCTCGTTCCGAGTCAGGCTGTCAGCATCAGCAGTCGAATGCTTGTTCTGGTGTCTTCAAGTGGCTTTCCTGCTAAATCGCCTTAGGCCGAAACCGTTTTCTGTCGGGCTCCATCCGGCTGACGGGCTGAAGGGGACTAGCTGTCTCGGGCTTTTCAGAGACTACCTACGGAGTACTGACACTATGAGTACCTAAGGGGTGGAATGGATGAAGCGTGAACGATCTATTTTAAATCAATTTACGAGCATATACTCCGGATTGTTGCTGCTGCTCGTAGAAACCGAAACCTCTTCCATGGAACGGTGGGAGGCTTGGAAGTATGAGCAGTGGAAGTATCCGGCCACCACTGCAAGTGTACATACTTCGTACACACTGACTTACAGTGCTTGGTTGGTGGTCATTCAGTGAGTGGGCCTTTGGATTGGTGGTGGTTCATCGGTTCATGCCTCAGGCTGGTGGTAGGTAACGTTACAGTCTTGACCCAATTGTTACCAAACTAAAACCCAAGCCGGCACAAGGCCAGACCAGCCCATGGAGAGAGTGAATTTCTGCCGCGCGCCCGCTGCTGTTGCTTTGCTGCTTGTTCATGGTTGGCGATGCACTCCACTTCCGGCCCTGGTCCCTCCATCTCTCTCTCCTTCTCCCCCTCCGTCCCTCCTTCACTCACTTCTCCCTTTCCTTTCCCGATCTTCATATATTAATTTTTTTTTCTCAACAAAAGAAATAAAATAATTAAAATTAAAATAATCATCATAATAAAAAAAAAAAAAAACTACGCTAAACAGGTATCAGGAAAATCAAACTAAGAAGAAATGTGTCTCTGATTATTCTACCTTCTTCCGCTTTGCCTTCGTCTCTCTTGGCCTCTCTCGACCTGTCTCTGCGCTCTTATTCTACCACATCCCCGGTTTCCACATTTCTTTACTTACCCTCTTCTCTCCCTCCCTCTCTTCTTCCTCCCTCTTCTCACTTCCCCCTCCTTGTCTTTGCTTTTGTCCTGCAAGCTGGTCTTTGCAGTTGCAGTTGCACTGACTGACCAATGCTTGTTGCTTACTGATTCCGCTTTTCCTGCTTTCTGGTTCTGGACCAGCCTCACCCAGAATTTCAACCTTCCCTCCTACCTCTAATCTCTCTCTGCTCTGCGTGGTAATTTTGTGTCATTGTGCCAGACTACCACCACCGTCGTCATCTACATTACACCCGGGAAAGCATGCATTGCAACAATGGTCTAGTATGGTTGTTGGGCATTGCTAGACCTTAAGCTTTTGCGGACATGGATTTCATAGTAAGTGGCACACCCCTGTTACTCTCCTTCGTCGCGCAATCGAGTTTGGCTCTGCCTGTGAGAATGTGTGCCTGGGATGTATTACCTCCATTGGATATTTCAAGCGCATGGAATCATATTGCTTCTTGGGATCATCTTGTGTTCAAATGGACGCGATTTGTCTTAAGACAAGCGTGCGAAATGGCAAGGGAATTATTCTGTTCTCTCTTAACGTTGCTCCTGTTCCACCCCACTCTGCAGCCTCAAATCTAGCGCGCCAGTACACTAACGTACGCGCCTCTAGCTTTCTTTGACGCATTTCTGCGAGGTGCATGGTCCAACCTCCATCATCTGTTCGCAGGTTCTCCCATTCTCCTGTCAACAATGCTATCCCGAAACCTCCGACTATTCTCCCACTGATACCCCTGCCACCTCACACGATACCGCCTCCTCCCATGGCCTGCACAGTCAGACAAGCAGCAAGCCCCCTTCGTCCGCTAAATTATCTGAAAGGAGCCCGGAAGCCGGCAACCGGTCGCCTCGCATTGAAGACCATCCATCATTTCTGAAGAGCCAGACCACCCCACCGGAGGGACAACCGACCTCGAGCCATTTGGGAGGCGCCGAGGGGGAGACCTGTGCCAGTTGTAGTCTGACGCTCCCAGAAGATGTAAGCAAACAGCTTCCGCCAGGGGCGCCGGGAACAGCCAAGAGTGATGGCAAGGGTCGGAACGGCAGTCCGGTCCTGCGGTCCCGCCAGGTGGTTTACACCTGTGGCAATAGTCCCGCCGATCATGAAGATGGCGCACACGACCCGCATGTCCATCAATCTTACCCGGAGTCTCTCCATTCGTCCTCTGTTACGTCAGATCCTGCTTGCCATTCGCATATCCTCACCTACCTGTCCCTACGTGGACCTCCTAACCCTACCGATTACGCCATTCTTCGTCGCTCTTCTATCCGCACCCTGAGTTGTGAACTCTTGCCCCGCGGGCTTTCTTCCGGACCTTTGAGTTTCGGGGATGGGATCGCCGGCTATACCATTGCGTTCATCTTCCGCCTTCCCGATCCTATGGCCCGCGGGAAACGACGTAGCTACGCTCTTCTCGCCTTGGCAGGCCGGGATGCGGGTAGGGCCTTTCGGGCGTCGCCCGTTATTTGGCGCACCTTTGGGCGCATCGCGGCTGGCATGGTGAATTCGGCAGAGAAGTTTCAAGAAGAAGAAAAACGCCGCGAGGAGCAGAACAAGGGCCCCGATCGAGACGGAAACAGACCATACACCCCGGTTTCTTCCTTTCTGACTGGACGGGCGCTAGATCCGGCCAGTCAACTCCGCCGTCCTGGTCCGGTCCGTGCCAGGAATCTGTCGGAGATTGTGGGTAACCAGTACATTTTCGCTGAAATTCACGCCCACTTCGTGGCTCTTCTCCAACAGCTTGGCCTCATGTTCGGAACTTTTCCCGTCTCAGAGGAGCAGATCATCAGCACCATCCGTGAAGAAGAGGATGTGACTGCAGCGAGGCGGCAGTCTACCTCGATGGCAGGTGGGAAAGAGAAGTCTCGGCGCAAAGCCTCCCAACAGTACGATGATGATACCGATTTGGGAATGGCGACCTTGAACTTATCTTCGGCTTCCGGGCCCAAGCCTATCCCTATCACCCCTCGCAGACCTGTTGTCGCTTGAGTTATCATGGCGCACATCATTCAAACACGTGGATCTTCGTCTCACAAGCAAAACCGATTCACATTACGTTTCCGAGCGGCGTCTTGAGACACTACCGCCCACACTTTTCTGTTCATGTGATTCTCATTTCGGACACTTTGATCGAGTTTCTCGGTCTTCGGATCCTTTTTTTTTTTTTTTTTTTTTTTTTTTTTTT